TTAGTAATCGTTGTTGTTTAGAGACGTAGAGTTGTTTCGCTATTACCTCCTACGCTTAGGAAATCGCAAGCTCTATCTCTTATAACAAGCGTTCCTCTTTACGCTAGAGATGCTCCTAGTCCTTAAGAGAAGGACTAGCAGCGTTACACTTAACGTTTAATTTAATACATTTAGCACATTACCTAGAATCGCTAGACATTACGCATTTCGTTTCATAGCGCTTACACTAACTACATAGCAACATTTCAACCCTATTAGTAGCGACTTAGAGAGTAAGCAAATGACGTTCCTTGATTTTTGTATGTTTAGAGGAAGACATAGTTACAGCCTAACCTGCCCTATAGATAGTAGTAGGCATCACCCTACTTAAGTAGTTAGTACATTTCTTAGTTAGCAAGACCTAGGGACTAGGCCTTTTAAGGAGGGACCTAGTGTTACAGCTAGCGTTTACAGCTGCACTTTTGCTAACACATTAGTTATGTTAGTAATGAACATGTTAGCGATTTAACTGCCCTTAAGGCAGGGTTAACATTAGGTAACGGAGTTTTCTTAGGCACCTGCTTCTATAGGTACTAGAAGATTCGTAGGCACCTAGGAATGGCTAGGTACTAGACTAAGTAGGCACCTAACTCTTTCTAGGTACCTAACTGTTACTAGGTACTAGACAGAGTAGGTACTAGACTATTTAGGGGCACCTCCTTATAAGATCCCTACGTAATGGAACTATAAGAACTATAGGAACTCTTATAGTTCCTCTAGTTCCTTATAGTCCCCTTTAGCACAACGCTACTATATAAGTAGATAGTTAGTTCTTAGATAGGAGCTTTATGCTTAACTTAATATAGTATTTGTTATATACTAGTAATGTGTTTTATAAAAGCCTTTAAGTGTCTAATCCCCTACCTCCTCTATTAAGTAAACTAACGTAACAGAACCTCTATAAGTCTTATAGCTTAAGACCTAGCGTTACATTTACCTCCTAAAAAAATTAGTAATAGTATCTACTTCTAATAAAAATCATCCTAGAATATATATAGCTACCTTAGATATAAAGTAAGAACTCTATAGATTATAATCTAGGTATAAGCTATCTTATAATTAATAATTTAGATGGAGGCTAATAACTAGAATAAGTGTATGTTATATATATATAGGGCTACTATAGCTCTTCTAAAATAGGTTTTAAAAGGAATAAAATCATTTAGCTATAATTTACAGAATTATATTTAGGATGTCAATAATTGATGTTTTTAGGGTGTCGAAGTTGTGGCAGCTGATGCTAACGACGAATCCTCGCTCGTAAAAGCATTTGCAGTTAGTGTGACCTAAGAAGTATACTAGCTAGAAGAGGTAAGTTACTAGTAATAGTAACCTTATCTAGTAGAACCTATTATAAGGCATAAATGCATAAAGCAAGAGATGTAATAGATTTATAGTGCCTATCTATATCTATAAAACTTATATCCCTTTATTACCTCTCTAGTAGACGCTGTCGTTACGTATCTAACTTCGACACCTAGAAGTCGAGGATCAGCCTATCTCACATAATACTTATAATCGACAAGCAAAATATGTCTATCTCTAGTGCTGAGACAGATCGAATTATGCGATCTGTCTGGAAACACGGCACAAACAACGGATCTTTACTACGGACAAGCTGCGTCCAAGTTGCGGCAGACGGCGCTTCCCAGAGGCCACGACGTGCCGTAAATGTGATTCCTCCTATGCAGGCAGCTTGGCCGTCCCGCATCGCCAGATACACGCACTGCACATAGTTGCTAATGAGCCAGATTCTGCGGATGCTCTCTGCCAGCAACCAGTCGCGCCATGGTCTTCCCGAAGGCTCGTAATGGCGGTCATTACTTAAGTTTTGAGAGAACAGCCCACCGAAGCCAAATGAGGTTTGCAGACAGGCATCTAGGTTCGCTGACTCCCAGAGCTTGCTGTTCCATTCTATTAGCGTAGGAATATGCATTTCAGCCTGTGCTCGCTGCCGAATATCTCCGTCGAATAGGCGGATAAACTGGTATATAAAGAGAGCTTGTACGCGGGCTAGATGCTCAGCTGTTCGGAGAGGTGGCATCGCTTCAACATTAGAGTCCGCAAGAGATGGTTGCTGGTTTAGTAGTTTGTTTGCCTTTTCTTCTATAATGCTCATAATGACCTCTTCGTTTTTCTCATTCTTAGACTGGTAAACGATCACAGCTGCATAGGCATCCAGCAGACATAGAGGCAACCCTAAGTCGGTGTATAGTTGCCCATGCATGAATGGACAGTGATTCTCTCGGATCCAATGCAGCAGCCATCTCCTCACAGTCTGAATAAAGTGCTTAAGGTCAGATAGACGGATGCTAGGACTATCATGAGGGTCGGGGTAGGAATGGTCGATGACCCAGGTTTCCGTCCGAAGGAACCATGAGCTGGTTGTAGCTTCAATGTCGTTTACGGGGCTGTTCAAATCCAATGTAGGAGGCTCGTCACCGCTGTCATCTCTGCCTGCACGTGAATTGTGGGCTATTTCAAGTGCTTCTGGAACGCCTGCCTGTCCGATCCTCGGATGAAGCAACGAGTCTCTCGGGTCTGATTTGGGGCTCTCTGCTGTGTTTGATAGAGGGACCTCTCGGCGGGCATAGGGGCGATTTGAAGGGTACCGGCAACAAGCGTCCTTCTCGACGCAGCGTTGGCATGCTGGGAGACATTTGTCGCATCGGCGCTTTGCACGAGTACAGGGGATGCACGCTTTCCGCCGTTGCGGGCTAAACAAAGTTGGCTGTGGAGGATCCATCCGGACTAGACGGGTGCCAAATTACCGAAAGGCGGAACTTCACAGGCTCCTTGTCACCTCTTCGGAGGCTAATTAGGGGGATATATCGCCGTGGATTGAAATTTGTGCAACCGGACAGAGGTTAACGCCGGGGTAGGTGGCGTGTTCGAGTGAGCGGCGGAAGACCGGTGGAAGACCGGTGGAAGATTGGCGGAAGGTTAGCGGAACTTTGCGGCCACTACGTGACGGAGGGCGGGGTTTTTTGTCTAAGCAGGCTTATCAATACGGCAAGCTGTGTCAAATATGGGATAAGCTACATGTAAAGTGCAGCAAGGAGTTCGTTTTTTATCTTCTGTAGAGCCACTTTGATAATATCGCGTGGAAGTACGTTATGATAGTTTGTCAGCTTGCAAGCCGTCCCCAAATGGTGGGGCCGCCCTGCGATATACATACACATGAAGCAAATGAATATTAAATGGTGGTTCGGTCTCTGTAAGTAATATCAAACATCCATCTCATTTATCCTCCTCTCTGTAGTAGCTTACTCCAACTCCAATTTCACGCCGTCAAAATGTCAGCCGATAGCTCCAACTTCACTACGACCACGCACCGTGCGCCGTATGCAGGCATATCTCCATCACGTCCTGAGCTGTCTCAGAGAGGAAAGGTCGTCCTCATTACTGGAAGTTCTGGCGGCATTGGCTTTGCCATTGCACGGAGCTTCGCCAAAGCTGGCGCCGCTAAAGTTATCATGACTGGCCGGCGCCAAGGACTGCTCGACGAAGCCGTCACCACCCTGAGCGTTCAGTTTCCAAAAACAAGCTTCGTCGCCCATCAGATCGACATTGCCAAAACAGCCGACGTGGAGAAAATCTGGAATCAATTTGATGTTGAAGGCCTAGTCGTTGATGTCTTGGTCCTTAACGCAGCTCGCATTCAACACGTAGGGTCCCTTGTCGATATCGGGTACAGGGAAGTATGGGCGGACTTTACCACGAATGTCGGTTCACACATGGTATTTACCGACCTTTTCTACCATCAGAAGAAAAGACATTCAAGCAAGAGATTGGTATGTATTTGCGTCAGGGGACGCCTTTTCTAGTCAAAGGCTAACAAGGTACATCCGAGCACAGTTCCTTGTGAACGTGTCTACCTGCGCCATTCACGATTTCGAGATCGCAGCTCAACGTCCAAACTATTCAGCATCAAAGAGTGCTGGAACGATCTTGCTTCAGCAGGTGGCCAAAGGTATTTCGGCAGACGATATGCAAGTAGTTAGTTTTCATCCTGGAGCTATCTTTACCTCTGCAGCGAAGGATGCCGGGTACAACGAGACTACCATGAAATGGGATGATGGTAAGTGCCACCTCTAGCTGCCATATCAGACCCCGGCTGCTGGCTAGTGACGTCACTGATATCCCTCCTTTATAGAGGATCTCCCTGGACATTATGCAGTATGGGCTGCATCTAATCAGGCCCGATTCTTGCATGGACGCTTCACTTGGGCAGCATGGGATGTTGAAGAGCTCTCTAGTGGTGAGAAGAGGGCTCGTATCGACAGAGATGCCAACTTTCTCAAGGTGGGGGTCGTCGGTCTTTAAGAATATCTTACTCAACATGTCATTTATGCTTAGCAGGCAGCCCTAACTACAAGAAATAAAAGGTCTTATAGAAGTTGTAACTTTATGTTCCTCTAAGTAAAGGAAGTGGAGCAATTACCGGCGTCGTCCAAATGCACAAAAGTGATGTGAACACTGCTAGGGACCTAAAGGGCGTTAGGTCAGTTAATAAAGACCCTCTAAAACTAAACCTGTACTGTTAGCTCTAGGCCTTCTCCTCCATCGAGCGTCGCCTGCGATCACGATGATGGAGGGTAGCTAGGGACATTGCTATGGTCAGCAGGGCCCGATATGATTTAGGCACTCTAGGAGGAACGACTTGCGCTAGTACTTGACTGTCCATCCTGGCCTACCTGTCGTGACGAGGATGGAGGAGCTGTAGACAAGAGCAGACACTATCATAGCGGTTAGGCACTATAAGCACACGGCGAGGCTAGAGGCTGCCGAAGGTTCAAGAAGCCGTAATTCGCCACACACGTAATACGCCACACTTGTAACTATGTTTATAGTTGTAGCTAAGTAAAATATCAACCCTTTTAGAGACAAAAAGCGTAATTCTATACGTTTTAGCTAAGACTACTATAAGATCTACCTAGTTAGATTATAGAATATAAGATAGGTAAGCTAAGCTATAATTATAAGAGGTATAGTAAGTAGAGGAAAACAGTATTATTACTACTTATAATACTAAGCTAAATACCCTTTAAGCTAAGGTACCCTTAAAGCTATAGCCCTTATAGAAGCTATTCTTTCTAAATGTCTTACTTATATTATAGGTTATAATAAGTAGCTACTACTATAAGAGATAAAGGGTTAAAGTAACCTTATATAAAAGACTATACCTAAGTTCCCTCTAATATAAGGCTTACCCCTTACCCTCTATAAGAGGCCCTAACCCTATTCTCTACTTTCTTCTCCTTTTCCTTTTCTTTCTTATAAGGGGTAAGTACTAGGACTAACTTTATAGTAATAGTAATAATAGTAGTACTTACCTCTACTATATTTACTACCTTCTTTAACAGGCTAGGAACCTCTAACTACTCTATTTAAAGATAGTATAATAATAAATAAATAGCCTAACTTAGGTTAGTACTAATACCCTACTAAGAAAGGAGATTTACTTACCTTAAGTCTTAAGTTAAGAGACTTAAGAGTAGTATAAGTGGTTTCCTGTATTAAAGGAAACTAGAACAGAGGGTTACCCCTTCATCTTTTTAGTATCCTTTGTAGTAGACCTATAGGATTGTACCGACTCATATCCAACTCGCACTCCTATATGCAACTTCTCGTGATACGGTGCCCTGTGTCCTTTCACTCGCTTAGCAACCCGCTAAACAGCCATAAGACTGCTATATAGCTGTTTGCCCATTTAACGGCAAGGTAGGGGAATGCATGATAGTAGCAGAGACTTCGACTATATCAACATTACATCTTATAGAACCTCCTCTCTAAATCATAAGCCATAGTTATTGCACTTATGATATATACACTACGCTTAACTATGCCAAGGTATCCCCCCTCAAATCCCCAACGCCAGCCTAACCCAGTCCCAGCTCACAAATTGAACCTCGTACGCTTCTTCTCCATATGCGCCTTCCATTCCCACTGCAGCCCATCATCGCCCTGACTCCCCGCCCGTCCAATACCCTTATCAACCCGCCTAAGCTTCAGTGTAAACCGCGGTCCCAGCTCCTGCAGCCCCGCCCTGATCTCCTCCACGCCCTTCACCTTCTCTCCATCCGGCCCGACGACGCTCTTCTCGGTCGCCCGCTTGTCACGGAACACGTATCGGTGGCGTCGGACGAAAATGTAATCGCGCTGGTTATGCAGCGTCACGACCTGGCGGCCCTGCAGCTCGGGCTGTGGTGGGAACAACGTCAGGAACAAGCGCGCCGTCAACAGACCCAGGGGCGTGCGGAAGTTGTTGAGGATCAGCTCGGGGTAGTGGTTCGTGGGGTTACCGTGACCTGGCAGCTTCTTGCCCTCGACCCAGTTCGCGATGCTGAAGTGGCAGGTTGGACCGTGGGGAAGGTGCACAATAGACAGCCCGGTCGGCTTCTTGGCGTCCTCCTTCACAACAACAAGAGCGGTGTATTCCCTGTTTGTGGCGAACTTGGCGATTTCTCGGACGGAGAACTTGTGTCCGTAGCGATGGGCGGAACGAGGAATGTAGGTCGAGTTCGGGAAGAGGGTGCACAGCAGGTGCGCTTCGTTGTGGAGGGTCGAGTTGAGGGAGGTCGTAAGTAAAACCTTGGGTGCTGGCGGAGGCTCATCGGTGAAGAGAGTCGGAAACTTCAGAGCCAGACTCTCAGGTGTGAGGTCGAGGTTTGTGCTTGTGGTCGAGGCGGCGAGAGAAGGTGCGCTTGACGCATCTCTTTGACGACGTGCAGAGTGCTCGGTATCCTCCTCCTCATCGTCCATCTCCTCATCCGATCCCAGCATAGAATCCACGTCGTCCTCGGCGGCTTGCTCAGGCAAATCCTCATCCATTGCGTCTCCTGCCTCTGCTGCTTCCAGTCGCCGCCTTCTCAATTGCTCGACGTCCACAGACACATTCAGCCCATCGCCATCCTCCTCATCCCAAACACGCTTCTTATCGATTGTCATTGGCACATTGCGAGCCAATCGCTCCCTCCTCAGCTCGGGATCTTTGTCCTCCTCCCTCTTGCGCTTGAATCTCTCATCGCGGCGGAGACTGTCTCTTGCCTTCTTTTGCTTGACATGTAGATCTTGACGCTTGAACTTGTTGCCCGTCACAAACGGCAATGCCGCCTTCGAGGACAGCGGCTTTTGGCGTTTTGCTACCATGTTGAGCTGCGGGGTATGTTTTCAATCTTCGGTGTGAGAAGGCTGCACATATTTTGAGTTTGGTCCAGAAATTTTGACGGGGCGGAAAAACAAAACCGCCGGCTAAATATGACCAGACAATTCTTGGGGATCAAAAGAGTCACAGACAGTCACACCGAACCATACATTTTCAATCAATCAGTACGTACGCTGAATTGATAAGAGGCCCCCGTTCGCTACTGCCTTTGTTTTGTTTTGTTTTGATTTTTCCTCTTCCATCTGTCCACATACTTCATGCGCATCTTGTGTAGATTTGTTCCAGCCAGCAAACAAACACTTACCCCACTTATAGGGCTCAGAAGCTTTACAACAACAAATCGAACAACCAGTCGCTACAGAGTAGCAAGATCAAAGCACGTCCAGCCCGGCATGGCTTCGGCTACTACGCTAAAGGGCCAGCCCCTTGATCGCCCAGTTCTCGATTCGCTGCTCCGTCGGCGCATGTTCTACACCCCCTCCTTCGATCTATACGGCGGTGTTGCTGGCCTCTACGATTATGGCCCACCAGGCTGCGCGCTGCTTACCAACATGATCGAGTTATGGCGCAAGCACTTCGTGCTAGAGGAGGATATGATGGAGCTGGATTGCACGGCACTTACTCCCCACGAGGTTCTCAAGACATCCGGCCACGTTGACAAGTTCTCCGACTGGATGTGCAAGGATCCAAAGAACGGCGAGATTATCCGCGCCGACCACTTCGTCGAGGAGATCCTGAACCAGAGATTAAAGGGCAATCTAGAGGCGAGAGGCCAGCAGGTCGAGGAGAAGGAGGTTGATCCTGCAAAGAAGAAGCGCAAGGTCAAGGAGACCAAGGCTATCAAACTTGATGATGCCGTTGTTCAGGAGTACGAGGAGATCTTGGCAAAGGTATGGATCGCTACAACAGAATCGAAGGAAACATTCGCTGACATGCACAGATTGACAACTACAATGGCGAAGAACTTGGGGAGCTCATTGCGAGATACGAGATGAAGAACCCCAATACTGGCGTTATGCCCGAGCCACCAGTGGCATTCAACCTCATGTTCCAGACCAGCATCGGCCCCAGCTCCAACGCCCCTGGCTTCCTCCGCCCAGAAACTGCGCAGGGCCAGTTCCTCAACTTCGCCAAGCTCCTCGAGTTCAACCAGCAGCAAATGCCTTTTGCTTCCGCGTCCATCGGCAAATCGTTTAGAAACGAGATCTCCCCACGTGCTGGTCTGCTCCGTGTGCGCGAGTTCCTGATGGCTGAAATCGAGCATTATGTCGATCCTCTCGGCGGCAAGAAGCATTCTCGTTTCGCCGAAGTCAAGGATGTCGAGCTTGTCCTTCTCAACAGGACTACCCAGTTGTCTGGCAAGACTAATGTCGAGACTGTGACTATTGGCAAGGCCGTTTCTGATGGCATCGTCGATAACGAGACTCTCGGTTACTTCTTGGCCCGTGTCCAGCTTTTCTTGAAGAAGCTTGGCGTTGACCAAACGAAAATCAGGTTCCGCCAGCACATGGCGAACGAGATGGCGCATTATGCGACCGACTGCTGGGATGCCGAGCTGCTCACGAGCTACGGCTGGGTGGAGTGTGTAGGCTGCGCTGATAGAAGCGCATACGATCTTACTGTCCACTCCAAGAAAACTGGTATTCCTCTGGTCGTGCGCGAAACTCGTGCCGAGCCCCTCGTTATCGAGGAGTTCGCTGCCGAGGTTGACAAGAAAAAGTTTGGTCCCTTCTTCAAGAAGGACGGCAAGGCCGTCGAGGCCGCCATTGCCGCCACTACGCAAGAACAGCGTGAGTCGCTGGCCAAGGATCTTGCCCAGAATGGCAAGATCGCCATCGAAGTACCAGGCGTCGGCAACGGCACCGTCGAGATCTCAAAGGATCTCTTGGTCATCGAGAAGCGCACCCGCACCGAGCACACAAGAGAGTACACGCCCAATGTCATCGAGCCTTCCTTCGGTATTGGACGCATCCTTTACTCCCTCCTCGAGCACAACTACTGGACCCGCGCCACCGAGGGCAATGACGAGTCCCGCGGTGTTCTCTCGTTCCCACCCCCCATCGCGCCCACCAAGGTCCTCCTCGTGCCCCTTTCCGGCCACGAGTCCTTCAAGCCGATCATAAAGCACCTTTCGCACAAGCTGCGCGCCATGGGCATCTCCAACCGCATCGACGACTCATCGGCGTCCATCGGGCGGCGCTACAGCCGCAACGATGAGCTCGGCACCCCGCTGGGCATCACGGTCGATTTCCAGAGCGTGCAGGATAAGACGTTGACACTAAGAGATCGTGACTCGACGAAGCAGGTTAGGGCAGACGAGGCGACGATTATCAAGGCGATTCAGGAGGTGGTCAATGGCGAGAAGGAATGGAAGGATATAGAGAAGGAGCTGCCTGCCTTTGAGGGTCAGGATGCCGAGGTGGCCATTCCTATCCGGTAGGGGGGGATATTAGGTGTTGGCTTTGTAACGTTGTGCATAACTGCATGGGGTAGATAGTGTAGAATGGAAAGTCAGCTCTTGGTATTCAATATGCATTCCTGTGAATTATTTATCCTGGAACGGACTGGATGCTTCAGATACGAGCCAGCAGGGTTTGGATACCACCAACTGTCATCTTTATAATAGCGGGGTTTCAAGTTTCAACAGGTGATATAAATGAACTTTCGGAACTAGTGTGAACAACCTCAACTGTCTACTCGTAATTTCGCGACACTATATTAACCCTATAACCCATGACCCGACGATCACCATCCGCTGTATAGTTTTCAGATCAACATCGCCCGTGTTTTTAAAATAGCAAGGGCGCCTTTCAGTGACACCAGCCGAGACACCCGTATCGGTCGGGTATCGCTTGCTCCCTTGTGGATACACTACAGCCAGCCGCCCACTCTTGCCGGGGGGGGAGAGGGAAGGGATGAAGGAGGGAGGTTTGCGCATGGTGAAACCGTTGAAGGGCCCATCTCGGCTGGGCGATGGCCCCTCCCCCCGTCCAACCCCAGGGGAAGGTACTCCGCCGTGAGCGGTACGGTGCGGGATATATCCTTCATACGGAGTGGTTGATATGGGAAGCTCAATGGGGAAGTTTGAAACCCTTTCAGAGATGCCGCCACATACTGCCCTCGGCCGGACAGCGGGAGAGGTTGGGGTGGTGTTGGGGGGAGATTCTGGGGTCGTACTCCTCCTGTCGAAGATACTGTAGTGTAGATCTGAGCAGATGAGGAGGCCAATCAAATGCGCGATAATCCACAGAGATGCGCTGCCAACGGGGACATAGGAGTGTAAGAAGAGAGGAGCACTGGAACACTGCACCCAGCTTGCTGTTGTCATCGTCGTCGTCGTCAAACGAAACAAACCCCCAGCCTCTCTTTATATGCCGTCTTCATGTTGGTTGGTTTGCCTGCTGCTTTGTTAGTAACCCAGCATTCACCAGATTAAATTATAGTATCCAACTGGCAAGGCTGGATGCGTCCATCTCCTTGTTGATCGCTGAACATACCGCCGGTCCTCTGCCAACCTGGGAACTCCAGCTAATTAGTGCGGGCGTCTCCACCAACATTGATTGTCTTTATGTATGTCAAAGTTTGACTCTCGACAACCAACATCAACCAAAAAAAAGGGCCCTGTTATAAAGATATCTTTACTTCTCAAGGGCTCTCCTCCTCAGTATCAAAATCTCAAAATATACTTCAATACCGCCGACAACCATCGGACGAAACAATCTTAATCGCCCCAGCCATTCACCGTCGCTGTGACAGAAATCCACAAACGCCGATCTGGGATAAGCGTACAAGCGAGACGGTGTAGCGTTACTCGAAACCATCCTCGAACGCAGCCTTGAGACACAACCCACGCCTTCGCCTTCCCCTAAACAACCCGCTATTCTATTTGCGATTCGATTAAAAATGTAAGTCGTGTGCTGCTCTATTATCTGTCATATATTGATCTCTTCTAATGTTCCTGCCACAATACAGACACGTTGTCGGCGATCAACTCTTGTTCTACCCCGCCACGATAGGGGGGATAGATACCACATCGCGATACCCTCCCTTCATCGCAAAGACCCTTGGACTAGGCGCAAAGATCTAGATTATCCACGATGCCGAGCCCGACTGACGGACCAATGTGAGTACATGTCAGAAGTTTCTTTGCCATCAACATGTCGACTCGTCGACGCGCTCTCTGAGACCAACTGTGACAATCCGACGTTGTGTTCACTTCACCCGATCGACACCGTGCAACCCTCAGAAGTCGCAATAATAGCTGACAAACGACAGCGGTGGCTACGCGCCAGGCCAATTCATGAATCCAGGTCCAGCTCCTCGACCTCCCACCGATAGACCTCGTCTCAACCTCACTCCTGCGACCGCCAACCTCCCCGGCAACATGTCTTCTCTGAGCATCGCATCCCCAATCACGAGAACAGCCACATCGACCTACTCAGGGTCAACAGTATCGCTACCACTGGCCCGACAGAATACCAATCCCTCGCAGGACGGAAATACTGGACAAGGTGGAGTTTCTGTGATCAAGGAGGGCTGGGCCATCGTCAAGGATGGAAAGTTCATAAACCCCTGGCGGCAAAAATACCTGGTCCTACGAAAAGAGGCTTTGGACTTTCACAAACAAGACGGCGGCAAGGTGTCATACACGATAGTTCTGAAGGATGTTGTGGGTGTCTCGCGCGTGGAAGCTACGGGGATAATATTCGAAGTCAAGAGATATTCAGATGGTGCCTCGACTAATCCTGGAGACGACACCGACGGTGTAAGGACGCTGCAGATAAAGGTGAAGAGCGACGACGATTTATACCAGTGGATCGATTTCATATATGCCCGCTGCCCTGGAATGGGTGGAGTGAGCAATCCTACTAATTTCTCGCATGCGGTACACGTTGGATTCGACAACACCACCGGAAAGTTTGTCGGCCTTCCCCCGGAGTGGTCCAAGCTCCTCAACTCTTCTGCGATCACAAAGGAGGACTACGAGAGGGATCCGCAGGCTGTGTTCGAGGTCCTTGAATTCTACTCCGACATCACGAAGCGCAACGAAAACCCAGAGAAGTATCCCAGCTTGACACCGACGCCGCCAGCTCTCGCGAACCAGCAGCACAAGCAGCTTGGGTACTCCAGCTCCGGGTCATCAGTTGCGCCTCCACGACAGAGCCCAAGCAGTAGCCAGCGCAGTGGCAGCAATGGCAGCCCATCGAACATGGCGCCAGTTTCTGGAAGCCAGCAACAGCAGATTGAGCAGATGCGACAGATGGCGTCTCAATTCAAGCCACAGGCATCCAGCCGCGAAGATCTGCGCCAAAATGAGATGCAGCAACAGCGCGATCGTGAGCGTCGTGAGGATGAAGAGCGCGAGCGGAGAGAAGTGGCCGAGTATAATGCCTCGCTACCAAAGACGAGAACGCCAATGGCCCAGCAAGAAATTGGTGGAGGAGGCTACAGCAGCCCAGGTAGCACCGAGAGATACAACCCAACGCGTGCAGCTCCACCTGCCCCAGGCGGTTCGCGAGCTCCCCAGGCAAACGGCTCTCTTCGCACAAACCAGAGACAAGCACCACCCGCGCCAACATCAGCCAGTGGTCCTCGTCCGGGCCTAGGCAGCCAGCAACAAAGCTCATCGTCTATACCACGAGATGCCCAGCAGAGCAGAGAGAGGGATCAGAACGGCCGCGCCTCACCTAGATCCGAGGCAAGCTCGCAGAGGAGCGAGAGCCCGAGATACCAGAACGGCGGCCAACCACAGTCACAAACTCCACGCACACAGCCCAATAGCCAGGCCCAGCAGCAGGCAAGCCGCATGCAGCAACCTGCCGTATCGCAACCGAAACCCCTCAACGTCCAGAAGACCGCACCAAGCGCGCAGGCCCCTGCTCAGAGTGATGGTGTCAAGGCCGCAGAAGCTGCGCTCACTTCCAAGCCTCCTACGCCCCGCAAGAACGACGTTCGAATGTCGACCATGTCGGAAGCCGATGTTATGATCAAGCTAAAGGAAGTCGTCTCGAAAGATGACCCGGGACTCTCGTACGCCAAGCAGAAGAAGATTGGTCAAGGTGCCTCCGGATCCGTCTACGTTGCCAAGGTCAAGGAGAATGCTGTTTCGCCAATTGCACGCCAGGTGTTGCGCGACCAAGGACCCAAGGCACAGGTCGCGATCAAGCAGATGGATTTGGCGCACCAACCAAGGAAGGAGCTTATCGTGAATGAGATTATGGTGATGAAGGACAGCAGGCACAGAAACATTGTTAACTTCCTCGATGCATTTTTACGAAACAATTTCACGGAGCTGTGGGTCGTCATGGAGTTCATGGAGGGTGGTGCCTTGACGGATGTCATTGACAACAACCCTGTCATTACAGAAGACCAGATTTCAACTATTTGTCTAGAGGTATGTGGAGAAGATGCGTTTGGCTTCGATTCAACTAACGATATTTGCAGACTTGCCGTGGTTTGGAACATTTGCACCAGCAGAGTATCATCCATCGTGACATCAAGAGTGACAACGTCCTCTTGGATGCACGTGGAAACGTCAAGATCACCGATTTTGGTTTCTGCGCGAAGCTCACGGAGACCAAGTCGAAGCGCGCTACCATGGTGGGAACTCCGTACTGGATGGCGCCTGAAGTTGTGAAGCAAAAGGAATACGGCCCCAAGGTCGACATCTGGTCGCTGGGTATCATGGCCATCGAAATGATCGAGTCTGAGCCGCCGTACCTCAACGAAGAGCCGCTGAAGGCGTTGTACCTCATCGCCACCAACGGAACGCCTCGCCTCAAGAAGCCAGAGAAGCTAAGCAAAGAACTCAAGGCCTTCTTGTCCGTCTGTCTCTGCGTCGACATCCGTAGCAGGGCCAGCGCAGATGAGCTCCTCAAGCACGATTTCCTGAAGCACGGCGCCGGACTGGGCAGTCTCGCTGAGCTCCTTGCCTTCAAGAAGCATGCGAAATAGACGACGGCCGGGATAATGAGCATCGAGGCACGAGTACCAACATGAAAGAATGTATGGGTACCATTTTTGGAGGGGAGTTTTGTGCAAACTATTACAAATATCTCAAGGCGGGTCCGCACATATCATCCAGTTGGTTTAGAACATATCACACTTTTTCCCACTGGCGTTTGGGGACATTGGCTTTCTACAACTAGCTTACAATCACTACTCTGCGACACCGTCGGGGCGGGATATGGAGAGGGCCACCATGGATAGAGTTTAAATTTCTATCAACGCGACGCTTATTGGACGCTTTGCCTGAGCGGTGGCGGGTTATTGAAAAGGCAGCTATCAATTTGAGCGAGCGTGTGCGCGGCGTTATCATTTTTTGCGAGATTTTTTATTTGGTGGGATGGATGATAGGTGATGACGATGGATTGCCAGGCCGGGTTGTGGGCTGTTGGGTAGGACGGTGCCTGGGGAAAACCTTCTCGGTGAATAGCACATAAATAGTATTTATGTTAGGCTATTAGGGGGTACAGGAGCATGAATCGGGACGGGCCGATATGCTTTATACACTCGAAATGGGAAGTTCAAGAGGATAAAACGTTTTGTGATATGTTCGGTACACTATACATGATGTGACAGGGAATAAACGCTTGAGCTGCAAGTTAATGTAGTTTATCGTCTATATTGTGTTACATTCCCATATATACAGCGACTAACCCAATATACACCGCCTCTCAATACATCTACAACCGCAACATGCCCTTCCCCTTCTCCACTCCCCCTCTAAACAAGTCCATGACTACCTTGCCCTCCCCCAGCGTCTCGGCTATAATACCCTCCACATGCTTCGGCTCAACCCTTCCGTACCAAATACCCATGCCCCTCAACGGATGCGGCTCTCCCCCCTTTAACTTCGCCGAGGGCGGGATATACAGGATCACATTCCCCGCAAACTTGTGCCCGCCAATATGGCTAATCAACCCCACTCTGGCGCTCATACCAGGCCCAGTCACTGGGCCTGGTATGAGCGAGGACGGCGAAGATGTCGCCAGTGGCACGGGACCATCCAGCACCTCCACCCCAGCTCTGGATAGTGCCCCTTCAAACCCCTTCGCCAGTACAGGCCCCAGGACGCCACATCTCGCATCTCGGCCCCCATGTCCGCAGATTAGGACCAGGACATCCTCAACCTCCTGCGCCGGTGGTAGGAACGCCTGGTATGCCTCCGACCGCTTCAGTCGGTCTTGATGGATGGGTGAGAGCACCTCGTGAGCAGGGTTGAGCCTGGTGGGGAGGAGGTAGCCTTTAACGAGGGCTTGGACGGCATCGAAGGAACGGGGGATGAGAGGGACGTATGTGAATGACGGGAGGAGGTACGCAGAGGTTGTTGGGACATCTCGGAGGTATGGAGGGGGTGTGGTGGCTTGAAACGAGGAGTTTGTCAAGGGAGTGTTGTGATAGGGCTGGAAAGCTGATCAGCTGGGGTTCTGGGGGTGACTGGAAGGAGCTGCGGTCCTGAGAGTGACTGGGAGGGAGAAGGACGTACGTCGGAGTAGATACCCCCTCGACCGACGAGCTCTTTTACATCAGCGACAAGGTTGTCCCCGGCGTTTTCCTCCTCAACTCGGCTGAGCCAGTCTGGTTGTCCAGTGCAGACAAGGAGCTGTTCGGCATATGGAGCCATTGTCCCGTTCAATGGTTTGCTATGGTCGATTTCGAGTCCTTCCGGGAATTCTGGCATGGGCGCACAGGTGCAAGTCGCTGCGGGGCATGAGGGAATTGTAGGGAACGGCGGCGCATGTCGACTCATCAGGCGCTTCGAGGAGAACTTCGATAGTGCACGCCATGACGGCCGTAGTATTGGCCGGACAGACATTGAATTGGAAGTTCTACTCGTAGAACTGTTGGAGTGGAAGTAGGTAATGATGGGAAACCCGGGGGATTAAATCTTATCTGATCAGATTTGAGACCGATAAGTCCGACGTAACGCGGCTTTAGCGGCGCGGCACGGGAAATGCGCGGACCTCGTAATGATCGGCGCGTCAACCACAGATTCCCAAATTCAGAACCTCAGTAGCAGCCATTGAAATATCCTAGGCCATGGTATTGTCATAGCGCGATCAAAAGGCTATGCCGCGTCTCTCCAATGAGCTCCTACGACATGCGTTTACGATCAATCCGCTGCTACCTCCTCTGCTGAGGACATGTCGGACGCTGCCATCTGCGCACAACGAGCTACGGTGGCTACGGCAACATGTCGATGCGAGACTCGAAGCAAAGTTCGGCAGGATGAAAGACGTCCCTGCGCCATTGCGGCGGAGATGCGTCGTGAACCTGGTTAAGAAACGGGCGCGAGGAGTACCACTGCAGTACATACTGGGCTCGCAGCCATTCGGGGACCTTGACATCTTATGTAGAAAGGGCGTCCTGATCCCACGGTACGACACCCCCTCTGTCTGTCCCACTCAACATATCTAACACAATCCATAGACAAGCAACAGAAGAATACACCTACCGTCTCTCCTCGATTCTACTCTCCACACCCTCCCTCCGCACCGACCCAAAACAAATCCGCATCCTCGACCTCTGCACCGGCACAGGCTGCATCCCTCTCCTCCTCCTCTCTCTTCTCTCGCCCACTCTCAAAACAACAGTAACAGGAATTGATATATCCCCTACGGCACTCGCCCTGGCCCGCCTCAACACGACGCACAACTCGCCTCCTCTCTCCAGCGCGCACGCGCGCTTCGCTTCCGGCGATGTCCTGGCTTCGGGCGCCGCGTTATTGGATGAGGCGCACCGCGCGCGTCAGGATGAGGGGTGGTATGGTGACGAGAGGTTCGATGTCGTGACTGCCAATCCGCCGTATATCTCGCGTCTGGGGTTTAATCGGGATACAGAGCGGTCTGTGCGGAATTTCGAGCCGCGGCTTGCTCTCGTGCCGGAAGAGGATAGAATTGGTGGAGTAGACAAAGGGAGGCTAGAGGATATATTTTATGGGAGGATTGTGGAGAAGGCGGAGGGGGTGGGAGCGAAGATTTTGGTTATGGAGGTTGCAGGAACGGAGCAAGCAGGTAGGGTGGCAAGGATAGTGAGGGGGAGGGAGGGGTGGGGGAAGATTGAGGTCTGGAGAGATTTTCCTGATGGGGCGGTGGATGGGGGGGGAGAGGGGAGAATTGGAGGGGATGATGGAATTGGGGGAAGAGGGGTAGTTGGAGGAGGGGGGGAACTCGGAGAGGATATTGTGTTCCGTGGCGTGGGTGAGGGGAGATCGGTGGTTTGTTGGCGGGTCGTTGGAGAACCTGCGTCTGAGTCAAGAGGGGATATTTAATCCGATGCCATACACTGTAAGAGCGGAAGCCGATCGGCTGAGAGCGCTTTCTGGATTCAGCATGCATCCTAGTAAATCATCAGATAAGGGAATTCCCACTTACCGTTCCACCGAACAACGCTATTCTATCGCCGAGTATTCCCGATTATTCTCCTTCCATCCCCTAACATCCATGCATACACCCACCAACTGCAGCTAGTCAACTCGGGACCTAGATCTTGGGCCGACGCGGTCACTGAACTAGCGGTCTCGGTCGGCCGGAAACTGGATCGCCTAGGTTACGCCAAGAGCGATCTACTGGGCTGACAAAGTGTGGGGTAAGAGCGGCCAGAGCTTGGGAGCTGGTGCCACTGGATGTCGGCGAGCGGGGCTACGTGCGACGACGCCTTGGTGGGTGCAGATGGAGCAGATGGTGCAGGTCGAGTTTTGGTTGATCGTCTCCTGGGAGTTTGGATTTCGGAGTTTAGTTTAGCAGAATAGATAGGACTGTTCAATTGCCGGTGCTTCCTGCTCCGAGATCTCCAGGCTGTTGGTTACGTATAGCGGTAGATGGCTATTGGTCGGGCAGCTTGAATATTCGTAGATGATTCAACGGGACAGTTGTCTTTCTGATGCGGACAACGACGGCGGCTTACTCGAATTAATGAGGGGAGGGGTAGGGGGTAAGCAGTGATTGGAAGGTGCCATGGACAACCCACGGCAACCCACGACAACCCACCTATAGCACCACAATTTGAGGAAAGGACGGCACTTTTTTATGATAGAATGTGTGTTTGTTGTAGGACGGGCAGGTACGTATCACAACGGAGGGGAGGGCGGAAAGCCGATGGGACGAGGTGAGGTCTATAAAGACAGATGGTTCCCCGTCCCTTCGAACTTCTTCCCTTCATCACATCCTCACATCACGAACGTTCAACACTCCCACTACATATCAGACCGAAGAAACAACAGAGATATCTGGAATATCAGTAAGTAGCTACTCCATATTCATATCCATTCCTACTCTCCCCCGCTCGTCTCTCGTCTCGGGTTCCGCCAGCTACAGTTCACCAGAATTGTGATGAGCTCCAGTTCTGCAAGAACCACCACGTCATACGCATCCCACCAACACATCACACCACAACGCAACTAGCCGGCATTTCAGAGAATGAATCAATCAATCAGTCAATCCATTCCGTTTGCGTAATACACTGCTATAACTGCCAATCAGCCTGGTAGCTAACAAACACCCTTGTTCCACACAGGTCTCACCTTACCCCGCACTACCCCGCAGGCTCACGAAGCATACAAATTATTCCGATACTACAATAGCTTTGAAAGTTTAATTCCACAATGGTAATTGCTCACTCTCTCGCACATATATGCACATATATATGTACACTTGGCGGCCCGATGTATCAGAGTGCTGACTGGTGCCTACTGCGAATAGGTCAAGGTACTCCTGGTTCTGTACGATGGTATGTTGGACTCTCATCTCATCTTCAAACCAATAGCAGCATACTGATATGTTCTCACAGGAGGCAAGCATGCCGAAGAATTCCCTGAACTCTTAGGTAAGGTTTACGAGACAGCACACACAGGGCCTAGTCTCATTCTAACTTCTCACAAGGCACCACTGAGAACGAGCTTGGAATCCGCAAATGGCTCGAGGATGCTGGCCACACTCTCGTCACTACCTCCGACAAGGACGACCCCAACTCCAAGTTCGACCAGGAACTTGTTGACGCTGAAGTCATCATCACCACACCGTATGTTTCTTATCCAATGCTCGCCTGATGGTGCATCAGCAGCTGACGAACATACTACAGTTTCCACCCAGGCTACCTCACCAAGGAGCGTCTCCAGAAGGCGAAGAAGCTCAAGCTCGCCATCACTGCTGGTATTGGCTCTGACCACGTCGACCTCAATGCCGCCAACGAAACCAACGGCGGTATCACCGTCGCCGAGGTGACTGGCTCCAATGTTGTGTCCGTTGCTGAGCACGTAATCATGACCATCCTCGTTCTCGTGCGCAACTTTGTTCCCGCCCATGAGCAGGTCGCAGCTGGTGACTGGGATGTCGCTGCCGTCGCAAAGAACGAGTACGATCTCGAGAACAAAGTCGTCGGCACAGTTGCTGTCGGCCGTATCGGTACGCGCGTCCTGAAGCGCCTCAAGGCCTTCGACTGCAAGGAACTTCTATACTTCGACTACCAGCCTCTATCTCCTGAACTGGAGAAAGAGATCGGATGTCGCCGCGTGGAGAATCTCGAGGAGATGCTTGCCCAATGCGACGTCGTGACCATCAACTGCCCACTGCACGAGAAGACTCGTGGGCTCTTCAACAAAGAGCTCATCTCCAAGATGAAGCCTGGGGCATGGCTCGTGAACACTGCTCGCGGTGCTATCGTCGTCAAGGAGGACGTGGCCGCGGCTCTCAAGTCCGGACACCTACGTGGCTATGGTGGTGATGTGTGGTTCCCACAGCCAGCGCCAAAGGACCACCCCTTGCGCTACGCACAGAACCCATGGGGCGGCGGTAATGCGATGGTACCACACATGAGCGGCACCAGCATCGACGCGCAGAAGCGGTATGCGGATGGCACGAAGGCTATCTTGGATAGCTACCTCAGTGGTCGCGAGGATTACAGGCCGGAAGATCTCATTGTGCACAAGGGCGATTATGCGACGAAGGCCTATGGTGACCGTGCCAAAAAATAGGGCCTCGTAAACGAGTTACTATAAGACCGTTTTGACGGCTTAAATTCTGTGCCATTACTTTTATTAGCTAGTTTCCAAGTATGATACCGCTTTTCTTACGCTCGGAACAAAGTAGATTGTGATACCCGTGAACATGAGATGAAGATTTATACAGAGTATGGCAACAATCATTGTACCACCAATGGGACTGTAATAGGTGGGTAAAGAGGCTAGTGTTTAATCTAGACTTTATAGTAGTTGGAATTAAGTGCGCCCATTCAGTTCTTAGCCATTGAATCATACGTTTTTAGCTAACCCTTAATGAACTAATAATGTCAACTTCAAACTCTCATGCCGATATAATCCGCGACCTCTAAATCTCGCTCTTAAAAACCCGCAGACTCCTCCGAGATGTATGAATTAGCATCCGGTCTAGACTGGGCCATGGTGCTCGTCTGGGTGATTACGTGGTGGACCACCTTCGTCTTACACGATGCATTGCTATGTATCATACCACCACCGCTGCCGCCTCGACGGCATAGCCTCGATAACTCGCCCTTTAAGAAGCTGCCTCTAGAGCTTGTGGGGTATATAGCTCAAGTCATGACTCCGTCGACTGCTGCGTCATTCACTTTGACCTGCAAACCCATTTGGTTCATATTGGGAAACCAATCTCTCGATCGGCTTTGGGCGAGAGACTTTGAGCCGAGCCGACGAGCGTTCTTAGAGCTTCTTGGAAGGGATTTACCTTACCACGTCGTGTGCCTTTACTGCAATCAGCTCCACCGGAGCGATAGAAGACGACATCGCAGCCTTCTGTTATCACTTTGTGGCACGAGACCGCTGTGTGAGGTTGCTGAGAGAGAGCAAAATGTGCATCGATATATTAATCCCAACTTTAGCTATATTCAGCTCCAATCAGCTAGGAAGCTATACTACCCCAGCTACTATAACGATTACAGACAAAAGCTATACGACATGCTCAGCTATAATGAGGTTTCTATTTGCAATACATTCACCCGCGAACGAACATCTTACAGCTGGCTTACAAAAAGCCGTTTCATATATCGCGAACAAAACTTGCTCCAACTTTGCCATCGAGACTGTAATGGCTCTTGCTCCGAGAAGAACTGCATTCGGTGTCGGGGGGGTATGAAAGACATCGTTTTAAATATATTGTTGTCTCTAGTTGTTTGCCCCCATTTACAACACCCCCCACTTGACAAATCCGCCACTAAGACGAGATTCGAGGCCATAATGACCTGCCGAGCAAGCCACTGGGATGAGAAAGGGCTCAATAAGACCTGTGCAACTTGTGCGGGCCTACATCAATGCCAAACCTGCCCGACAGAGTTCCAACTCGACACTGTGGACTACGGCTACAACTACTACTACAGACGGCTGATCGTAACGCGATGGCTAGACTTAGGCGAGGGTCGAACACCGGAAGATCCGAAGTGGAAGAGCCATCTCGGCTCTGGAGATCGTAGCCAGGCAAAGCCGATTCCTTTTGAAGCTGGTTCGATTAAAGCTACTTTCGAAAAATACCAAGTTAGACCCTTCCTAAGCCGAAGAAACTGGCTATACTTCCTTTTTGGTTACGGAGAGATATTTGAGCATAGTTGGTAAGTAAATAACGGAATAGAGATTCAATTGGTCATTTTGTTAGAGAAGACGACTGAATCTTACTGCAACCTTATTCACTGCAGTTGCAAAATTACTCGGACGACGCTGCTCCGCGTGCTGTATATTGTAATTCCATATAATGGAATAGGAGGTTGTACTTCCTTGCCTTGGCACGAGAGACTGTTTTCATGTAATATATTCCCAATGTTTCTATATTCGGGTTATATCATTAGAGACTGCTTCTTTATGTTTTAGATTGTAAGAGTAGGTATTTACTATCTATATATGCTTATATAAAAAGTAAATAGTATCCAACTTTCCCACCTTGCGACTGTGCTCCTAGCTGCAATGTACATGTAGCATAAAACCTAGCATCACAGCTCGGAGGCCGACTTTCCCAGCGTAATCACCATTCTCCCTCTTTTGAGATCTTCCTCGATAGATAGCCCTAGCGCGCCCTGCTGCGAATTTAAGCGCCGTTGCCGTTGTAAGCAACAGCGTTAACGCTTCCGCTGGGGTCGGTGACGACATTCTTGGTAGAAAGGCTGACAATGCGAGCAGCGACGGCGGCTGGGGACGAGAGACCCTCAAGAGCAATGAGGTAGGCGGCGAGGCCAGCAACGTGGGGGGTGGCCATGCTAGTTCCGGAGATGGTGTTGGTGGCAGACGAAGAGCCGATCCAGGCAGACAGGATGCTCACACCCGGGGCGAAGATGTCGAGGCTGGCGCCAAAGTTGGACCAGCTAGCACGGACGTCCTTGCTGTCGGTCGCGCCGACGGTGATGGCGTTTGGTGCGGAGGCGGGCGAGTAGTTGGCGGCGTTCTTGCCGTCGTTGCCAGCAGCCACGACGACGGTCACACCGGCGCTAATGGTAGAGGCCACAGCGGAGTTGACGGCAGCGGAGTACGAGCCTCCAAGGGACATGGAGAGGACGGACTTGTTTGCGATGCCCTTGGACTGGGCGTTGGTAGCAACCCACTGGATACCGGCAATGACGCCAGAGTTGGAGCCCGATCCGGCCGCGTCGAGAACCTTAACGGCGACGAGGTTGGCCTGGTTGGAGACACCGTAGGTGGAGCCGCCGATAGTACCAGCGCAGTGGGTGCCGTGTCCGTTCTCATCAGTGTTGGCAGAGCCGGTGATGAAGTTCGCTCCCCAGGTAGCACGGCCGCCGAATTGCTATGATGAAAGTTAGTGGGATTGTAGAGGAGAAGTTAAGGAAGGACTCATACGCTGTGGCCGATGTAGATACCGGTGTCTACAACGTAGACGGTGGCACCGGAGCCAGCGGAAGTGTCATAGACATAGCTGGTAGAGCCGGCGGCCTTGTGCGAGATGCGGCCAAGACCCCATGGAGCACCAGTGCGGGTGGTCAGGGCATTTGCTTGCACCTTTCCATCCTTCTCGACCCAAGCGACCTAGTGCGTGTCAGTCATGTGAAGCACATGGGATTTGGGTTGGATGGTGACTTACGAGAGGCGATGAGGCGATCTCGCCAATAGTGGCGGTGTCGGTCTCAATCTGGTAGCCCTTGAACCCAGCAAGGTTGTACTTGCTGCCGATGCCCTTGTGGGTGGAGCTGCGCTTGCTCAGAATGGAGTTGACGGAGGCAAACTCGGATTCGACGTCCTCAGCCTCAATGTCCTTGTTGAAGACAACGATATAGCTGTTGGGGATGACATTCTGGGCGGTAGGGTTGCGGATTTTCAGGTGTGGCTGGTCAGCGACTGGGGCACCGGCGATCAGTGGCAGGAAGGCAGCCGCGAGGGCAATGAGACTCTGGGCGAACTTCATGATGTTCTGAAGAAGACTGGTGATGTGATAAAGAGGAGATAGTGAGGATGAGGGTAAAACTTAAGAGAGGGGATATTGGCTGGGCTTTATAGAAAGTTGGACAGGAATAAGCAAGGTTATCATCTTGCAAGATTGTGCTCACCGTCGTCAGCTCCTGTAAGCTAGGGAGAGAGATTAGACTGACAGCTTCCTACTTGGAAGTAGTTCAGTAAACGAAGTGATGAGGGCATTTTGATTGCGACATCCCTTATGGTCTAGAACTTCACTCTAGCAGTGTCCGTTGATCTTGGCCAGGCGCTCAAGACAGGCAACGTGGCGGAGCGCCATCCACATTAGGGAGTTGAGTTGGGCAGATAAATGAACGAGGGGGGAAGGAAGTTAATGATGCAAATGAAGTGATGAGGGCAACTCAATTGCGACATCCCTTAGGGTCTACAACTTCAATCTAGCGGCGTCCGTTGATCTTGGCCAAGCGCTCAAGACAGGCGGCATGGCGGACCGGCGTCTTGATTGGGGAGTTGAGTTTGGCAGATAGATGAACGAGGCAAGGAGGGTGTGATTGTCCGTCGAGAGAGAACCCCCGAGGGCAAGCTATGAGCCATGTCGCCGGCCACGGGACCACAGATGTCGACCGGTAGTTGGTGCCGCTGGAGAGTAGTCCAAGCTTGACGTCTCCAGAGACGCGTTGCTTTAACCAAGCACTGATCGACCCCTGCGTAGCGGCTATTGCACTATGTTGTTATTAGAGCGCGACTGACCTGTCAACGATCCTATGTCAAGGGTGCTGGACTGCCGAGCTTCTACCGCTATTTTATAGCATGCCTTCGGCGCTTCTTTCTCAACAGACGATTACACACCCATCGCTCCCTCATCTATCTATCTACCAAAGTCAACTTCCTAATCAAGAGGTCGTTCGGACGATGAGGCTAAGAGCGGAAGGTAAAGGGGTTTAATGTTTGGGGTAGGCAGCGTAGACGCAGCGCCCAGGCGGAGCGATGACAATTGAAGAAGGAGGAACGGGAGGAGAAGAGGGGGCCGTGCGGATAGAGCGGAGGATGCGGATAGCTCCATTAAGGCTTGTTATAACTAGGTACAAGAAAGTTTAGCGCCCACTTAGTGGTCATTATGCATATCTGTCACGTCACTGCCCTATTAACCTTATCTAAGCATAACAAAAACTAGAGCAACAGGGCCTAGGAGCCATACACATCACTTCTTCTTCTTCTGGCGCCTGCCTATTAAATCCATAACTCTATGCACGAAACCTATAACTCCATGCATAACGCTCATACGCCTGCGTATAGAGGCGCGTTGGATAGCCCACACTGCCCTCTATGATTATTGTTTCCACCTATCAGGCCGTCTGTGTCCCTCTCATGCCTACCTACCGAGTGTTAAGTTAGTGCCGTTTCTACCGAGTCCCCCTCGTTTTTGTATGGGGAATTGGATAACCCCACCAAAACTCTACTTTATGATCTCCCGTCGGCTTATACCATGCGTAGGTCTCCCGTGCACAGATTCTCCATCCCAGCGCCCGTTGCGTTATATCACCGAGTGGGGAGACTTAAGAGCAGATATGCAACACAATCTCTATCCAAGCGACGGCGTGGTAGCGATACCCATCGCTTCATACCATCGAGTGGGAGGACTTGAAATCAGATATGCAACACAATCTCTATCTCATTACAACGCTTCGCTATGCTATGCTAATCAAAAAGCCACCCGACTCTCCTCCGACGCTTAAATCCCCTGAACCTTCCTGTACGACGGAGGCTTGATCCTCCTTCTAATCAGCTTCCCTGCATACCACGGGATCAAGCTGACTGCGCAAATAGCCGCGACTCTCCAATAGAACCCCCTATTCCCAGTTAGCATTTAATCGCTAGCCACGATGTGGATAGTAAACTTACAAGGTCATCATATATCCCAAATCAAAGTAGCCTCCAAGGAATGGGACGCTCGCCACATACGCAAGCGACGTCCCGACAAGGCAGACCACCATAACCCAGTGCCACGTAGTGATTTCCATGGCCACCATGCACAGCTCGTTAACCACCACACATGTAAAGCTTACGGCCACCATCCTGTTTCCCTCGACCTCTGTTAGGATTTGGCTGAGCCCCTGAATAATGCAACCCTGGTAGATCGACACTCCGACCCACATGAAGAACGTGCGGTAGCTGAGCGATGCACCAGATGTGAGTTCCTTGTACAGCTCCGGGTACAGATTTGCGAGGTCCTCATCCACATCGCGGTCCAGCACGAGAGAAAAGACAGGCGCCATGGTGTAAACAGTAGCGTATCCGACCATCAGCCAGTCTATGTACAGACCCTCCGGCTCGAATTTCAATGCGATACTGTACATGGTCTGGCAAACGGCAACGATCAGTCCTCTGTGGATGACGAACTGTGCGAGCTTGGCTGAGCGCTTGTAGCTATTACGACCGTGCCAGACAAGCAGCTTAGTCAGATGACAGAATTGCTCGATGGAGAAGTCTGCAGCGAGAGACGCCTGCCGACCTTCCTTACCGACAATTCCGACGCCCACGTCCGCAGCTTGAATCATAGAAACATCGTTACCGCCATCACCAATGCAGCAGACTCGCTTCTTTGTGTATTCGCGAATGAGTTTTGCAACGTCAGCTTTTTGAGTTGGGGAACAACGGCAAGCGACAACGGTAGGAAGGCGAACGGCGAGGGAGATGAAGTCGTCGCGAAAGTATCTGAGGAAAAGGGCCAAACTCTCGCCGTCGATGAGAAGGCAAGCGTCGAGTTTGCTGTGGAGGAAGTCTAGGTGGTCCTGAGCGTTATCTTTGCGCTTGAGCTGGGCGACAGTATGCACATATTGACCACGAGCAACGAGCTTAGAGCTCACAGCAACACAGCGGGCAGTTTCCACTTTGTCACCTGTTAACATCCAAATCTTGATACCGGCATTGCGGAGAAGCTCAAGGGATGCCTTCACATCCTTTTGTAGCTTGTCCTCAACGCCAGTCACGCCAAGTAACTCGAGGTCACGCTCGAGGTACTGGGAGACCACTCGCGCAATGCCTGCATCGCGACCCTGGATCTCAATAGATGCCTCCCTGTGTTTCGCCGCAAACTCTTTGTATTGCTGGGCAGATAGTCGCTTTCTCCCAACAACAAGCGTCCGTAATCCTTCCCGGGCCATATTTGCCGTTTCTTCGTCCAGCCAATCATTAGCTGCAACAATGTTGCCCATAACTGTGTCCGCGCCTTTTTGGTAGAACCAGATCTCTCCTGCCTCAAGGTCTGAGCGGGGAGTTGACTCGTTGCCTTCATAAAACTGCACAATAACCCCCATGCGCTTTCCTTCAGATGTGAACGGGAAAATGTCAAGAATCTTGACCCGGACAACTGAACGGCCAGTATCCACAGACTGGAGTAGCATCCCCTTCCTGTCTCGGTGTAATAATCGCAGACCCACGGCTTCCGTCCACTTGACAATGGCAATTTCGTCAGGTGAAGAAGCTTGGTATGTGGTGACGGTCTCTCCATTCTCCTCGTCCATAGTAGGAGTTACATTGTGACAAAGTGCCAAAGCAAGAACAACATCACGAACACGAGAGCCAATCTCTCGCCTGGTTCGTGTGGCCGTGGCATTGGTGGCTGTGGCAACATAGGTTGAGGACGGTGTTATTAAAGTAGCGCCGTTGTTCCCCGAGGTTGGAATGGAAAAGCCTTGCTTAATATATGACGCCACTTCATCCATAGCGTCGTTGGCATACGAGACTGTGCCAACATGTATTTTCTTCATTTCCATTTCGTTTTGAGTTAAGGTGCCAGTTTTGTCGCTCAGGAGATATTCGATGCGGCCGAGCTCTTCCGGTATGGTGCTAGTACGGACCACCGTTCCTTCGATGCCTTTGTCTCTTTGGATATACCAGGAATATACAGATTTTCCCATATCAAGGTTCACTCGAAGACTTATGGGAACGATTGTTGAGAATAGAACCAAGAATCTCACGATCTTTACATACCATTTCCCAGTAACAGTGTGCCCAACCGCCTCAAAAGCAACAAGGACAATAGAAAGGGTAACCGTGAGAGCGCAGAGTATCTTGACCAACGAGTTAATCTCGTATTCCAACAAGCCAGTCTTTGAGCGAGATTGGGATGTTGACAAGGCGGACCTCGTTTGGGAACCGGTGTAAACTATGACGGCAAGAGTAACGGCATTCGATGCGAGAACCGTATTTGCCCACGCAGTATTGTCTATTGACAGTGACGCGGTCTTTGAGCCGTCGGAATTCTCCCCATCTGCTCCTTCAGTTACATTCGATAGGGCCCCCTGGGATTTATCAATCGACTGTCTCGAACCCCATCCGTGGGATTTCGGTTCAAGCTCGACTGTGCCGATAAACTCGTTGACCTTCTTATCAGGTTTTCCGGCCGTGACTCGAAGTCTCACAAATTCAGACACGGCCAAGGACTGTGTTAAAGGAGACCCAAGACGCAATTTCCAGTCAGTTTCGCCGTCAAGCTGGTCCGTCCTGATGAAGGTCTCCCCGATTCCGTCACCACCAGCCGAAGGGGCGTTCTCAGCCGGTGACGTTTGTTCCACTCTAGATGTAGAAACCGAATCTCCTAATAAATCTTCAGTTTCGTTGGTCACATCTGGTTGGTCATCTGCGCCATCTCCAGCTGACGAATCATGTGTATAACTCTGGAGGATTACCACATCAGCCGGCACACGTTGGTCTTTTCCAAGTTTCAGGACATCGCCAACACGCAAATCTCGTGACTTCTTAACAACCTCAACGTAGGTAGCTGACGGTTCCGAGGGAGATAAAATCCCATCGCTCTCTACCGCCTCTTCTTCCTCTCGAATGTCGCCAAGCCTATCGCGCCTGCGACTCTTCTTGCTTGCTTTTCTCGCCGATTGTGGCGCCCTCCTTCTAGAACTCATACCCCCATTATCATATCCAGCAGCATCAAATCTTAAAACCGTATATCCCTCCGAATTTGCCTCATTGTCTCTCCTCCTCCGGTCTATGTCGTCAAATGCTTCCTTCCCTAATGTGATGGCCAGAACAAACACCAACGGAACAATATATGTGGATAGATATCCAATTCGCAGTGCGGGTATGGCTTGCGATAAAGCGACAAGTAAAAAGTACATGTTGAAGAAGAATGAGAACTCGTTGTACAAGGTAACCGGAAGAAAGCTCCAGGGTGTGTATTTGGCGTTTGAGACGGCATTGGGAGGAAATTTCGCGGCTTGAGACCCTCCAACAGCTACTATGCGCGACGAGGCAGGATCGTGCTCCCCCTCGGGGTTCTCGTCGTCGTCAGCTTCCTCCGGCCTGGATGGGCTTTGTAAGAAGCTGGGCATTCGAAACCGGGAGCCCATCCTGCTGACTGTGCTGCGATATGCATCGAGACTTGGACGTGACCGTCTTCTCTTCGAGCCCTGCAATAAAGGTGCATCGTCCTCATTGGTGGCGCTGTTGTCTGTATTCCAACCTCCATCACCGCCCTGATCATCGTGTGCCCCGCTATCCTCCCCATCTCTGCCTCTGCCTAGCTCGCCATATCTCCGATGCCTCGCGCCCGTGCCCCGAAGTCCGCCCATGCGCAGGTTTCGTAGTGCTATATGCCCTTTTCGCTCTTGATGCGCCCGAATCTCTTCGTGGCTCCTCCTGCTCGCAGCGGGTGCCAGCCCATTCGACGGGTTTGAGGTTGTGATAGGGTCGAGCTCTTGTAGATCAATATCTAGGTCGGAGTCTGAATCTTCAGCTGGGGGGCTTTGGGCGTTTGGCTTGCTGTAGTGTGTCGAGGACGACATGCCAGGCTGCCGGAGAGCACGGGGGTATGGGTGCTTTTAGGTTACGTGTGGTAACGTATTCGTAATAAGATATATACGCCGCAAGTGTTCTTCAAGCATAGTTTGGTGTCTTAGAGGTGTAACCGAACCTTGGGTTCTTGTAGAAAGGTGTTATGGGTGTTGAGACATCATGTGCATATTTGGTGTTTGGGTGGACGAGTACGCAATGACATACGTAGAAGCCAAGTCGGCCACAATTGTTGCCGCCTCCCTCTCACTGGCCACTCACGTGACACCCGAGCGTTCCCTTGGTGGTTTCAGCCTTCTCAAAGCCCAAAGCCCCAACGGAGAATCTTTATACTGCGGCAAGTATAAAGCATAATAACTATTTATCTTTTCTCATGATGTAGAATGTAGAATGCATTGTCTCGCTGGAGTGCTTGCTTCTACTGCACACATGTTGCGTTCTTAAACGGGTTTGTCTCACACCATTTTTGTCTTGGAAAGCACAATATTTATGCAGTCTCATAACTGTATAGAGCGTATTTGCAGCAGCAGCATCCGTAGAACAACGTGGCGTTTTATAGATTGATATTGTAGAAATTATAAGGGAACTTGATAATGCTCGTGATAGCTTCAAAATCCTCTATATTTCCTTAACCCCGACTACTTTAAGTCCCATGTCGATCTGCACGTTTCGCAGGGATTCGCGGAATTTGCGGGAAGGAGTCGCGTTCAAGCCGAGGCGCGAATGCGCTTTTGGTCTCTAACGGTCCGACGTAACTCCTTTAAATGCACTATAGAGTACACATCTTCGAAATACCCGGTAGGTCACACGTGATCTCCCCAGTCCTTTTGAGGACAGTTGGAGGTACCGGTTTAATGCACTGAACTCGATTTGCCAACAATCAATCAGAAAAGGACAACGAGTTCTTCGACGCCGACGTTTCACGACTGTAATAATATGGACTAATCGCTATTCATTCTTGCCTGTATATTATTGCTATTATGTCCTAACTGATCCTTAATTCTTCAAAAGGTATTCATTCACTCTAGAAACGGTGGCGCGATAGGGGCTGGGATGGATGACGCTTCGAAGCATCAAAAGGAGATCGAATAGGAACGTTGCTGACCACCCCCAGAGCACTGCGATAGGCGCTCGATATTCGCGAAACGAACTCAACGTCGACTTGGCCATATTGCGCGAAATGTCTGCGGTGCACCCGAATGCGTCGTGGCATCCCGCCTTCAGGCCGGACTCGACGGCGACCGAGTCTAGATCAGACTCGTATAGCGCCATAAACACGGTGGCCACGGAGGGGAATCGCGAGATAGAAGACGACACATCCACGGTACCCCAGCCTGCCACTCCCAATACCGCCACCCCGAAAGAGGATGACGTTTCTCCTGCACACGAACAGCCCGGTGGGAATGAAGAACACCCGGAATTGGGCGGCCTTCGCGAGGCCCTGACAACCTCGTTAGGAAGCCCAGGTGGCGTTGAGATGGATAATTATCCATCCCATGCGCCGGAAACAATAAGAGAGGAGGCGCAGGACCAAGCACAGATAACCCACGACAGGGCGGAAATACCATCGTCAGGGCCGAGCAACGCCAACAAGCACATGAGCAATATCTCGTTTACGCGGACTGTTGGAGAGGACGTAGACTGGGGAGAGGACGATGAGGTAGACCCTGAATGGAACATCCAGAGCAAAGACGTCGATCCGTTCCAGTCGATGCCACCCACCGATCGGACGAACTCCTTCCCGGCAGTGCCTCCGGCTCATGTGGCAAATGACACCGCCCCCAACGGCTACCATAGCCAAGCGGGGGATATGATGCTAGGAGAAGAGGACAACACATATAACGAGCCATCGAATGGCCAGCAGACGAAGAGATCGCACCGGGCAAAACAGAGCATTGATTGGGGAACCAGTGGAGAGTATGGCGACGACGAATTCAATCTCGGAATGGTCCAAGGAGGAGATATTGGCGAAGACAGCATGGAGGCCAGCCAATACGAAGAAGGAGTTCACCTAGTGCAGAGTGCACACCTCAATCCTCCGGTTAAAGGCCACAAAAAGATGTTCAGCACCTCGAAGCTATTCGATGACGTTGAGGCCGAAGATGATGGGGGCTTCTTTTCGGCCATCGGGTCCGACACAACAGAACAGCCGCCTAGGTTGGACCGAAAGTCGACGTCTGAAGTCTTGAATTCGATATCCCACGACCTTCATGCGGACACCAATGGCAACATTATTGATGATGGGCATGAAGCCAGACGCGCCAAATCTATAAGCGCGACGACTGGTGGGGGTATAGCTACCTCAAAAAGCACTTTAATATCCGATGTTCTCGCCAGTATCGCTGACACTAATGAAGAGGCACTTGGGGGAGATAATGCGGTCCAGGAGTCAAAACCGAGCGAAGAAAATCTCGCCGCCAAGTGGCAAGCAGCCCTTGACGCCGACGAGTTTCTCGAGGATGACGACGACCTCCTTCCAGACGAAGTACCGGAGCTGACGCCTGAGCTCGACCCCGAGGCCGTATTCGGTAGCGACGATGAAGGGTTCCTGGACGATGACGAACCGGAGCTGGCCAATGGGCCCGATTCGCAAGGCCAAATGCCGTCGTTCCCAAAACCAATTACAGGTCCAAACGGGAATGTCATTGGGTTTGATCAACTCATAGGCAGTGCGCAGACAACTGGGCAGAGCACACAGAATCGGTACCTACCGGCAGCTGCTGCACAAACAGCTCCGCAACAACCTAAAAATATGTATGCGCCTGCTGCTCCTCTTTTCACAGACCTCTCTGGCCAATTCAACCCTGCCGGCACATACGGCACTGTCCAGCCCTCTGCTCAGGTCCCTCGGCCGGGTTCGTCAGGGTTCGGGGCCCAACCTCAGGCGACAAATCGGCCAGATCTAGGCCCAAAGGCTCAAAGTTTTGCGGATAAAACAAAGGGCGGGTATGCATCACCTTATGACCTCCCTATGGATGTTACAAAGCCGAGGAAGCGAGTTAGTATGCAGCAAATGAGCGCAGCTTATGGCCAAGCTCCGGTCCCTGCCCCTCCGCTGCGGAGTAACAGTATGCATATTCAAAATCAACCACAAACATCGCCCGGATTTCCGTCGCCTCCAATAGGCGGTATGGGTCCGCCAACCCCAAACGCTGCTCCCCAAGGTTTCCCGTCTCCAACCAAGCAAGGCCCTCCAACCCTCAAGTCAAAGGGCAGCAGCTTCTTTGAGGAGTTACCGGTTGTTGCAAAGCAACGGGCACCACGTACTCCGTCACAGCCTACTTCTCCCTCTCTTGCTGGCCTACAGGCCCCTGGTGGCGTCTCCCCTCCACCAACATCGATGGGGCCCCCACAGATACCGCCACCGAGGCAACAATACGCAGAACCGCCTACATCGGCACATGGCCTCGTTACCTCGCCGCCGGTAAACCCGTACTCGCCAATAGTAGCTCAGGAACCAAAGGCTGCCCCAGCCATCTCGCGATACTCGCCCGCTCCTGTTCAGCAGCAGTCTCCTGGGTACGCTCCAGCTCCAGTGCAAACCCAATCTGCCTACTCGCCCGCTCCAGTGCAACAACCGACTACTGGATATTCGCCAGTCCCAGCTCAACAACCGTCTCATGGGTACTCACCAGCTCCGGTTCAGCAACCAGCAACTGCATACTCACCAGTTCCAGCACAACAGCCATCTGCGGGGTACTCACCAGCTCCAGCCCAGCAACAGGCCACTGCATACTCGCCAGCCCCCATGCAACAGCAACCTGCTGTCCTACCACAAGGAAAATATGCTGCTACGCCTCCTCTTGTACGCCACGTCATGTCTCCCTACGCCGCTGCACCCCTTGCTCCAAACCCACCGTTCGCGCATCAGCCGCGAACATCCAGCCCTCTTGCTCAGTTCGAGAGATCATCAGAGCATCAAACATCTACCTCACCACCCGCAAATTTGGGCTATGGGCGAACCGGGAGAAGAGAAAGCTCATCATATAACGGTGGGCGTGATTCACACTTAACTTTGGCCAGAGAGGCCACTGAGCATGCTGCTATCGATCGAAGGAGAAGCCAGGACCAAGGTGGCTTCTCTCCACTGGAATCTCAAGCGCCATCTCAGCTGAGACCTAGCCCTACTGCTCTGCAAAGTCCATATGAGCCGGGATTAATATCCCCGTCAAAACGATCTCTATCTCACGCTCCAGATAACCGCGAGCCACTCGCCGAAGTGGAAGAACCTGCATTTGAACCTCCCAAGAGGTCACAAACCCAATCTCCCGGCTCCGCAGCAACTGGTCCGCGAACAAGGGTCACGTCTGGAGAAATCCATCCTCGCCCATCGTCATCGTCGGTACAGAGCCCTACATCTCCTCCACGTCAAAACAGAGGATATGCGCCTATAACTGCAGAAGCTGCGGCACCAACACAGAAGGTCCATGGCCGGACTGTCTCGCAGGGTTTAGAATATATTGCCCCAACCGACGGTCGTGAGCACGATCCCTTGCAACGGTGGAAAGGCGCCCCTGTCTTCGCATGGGGTTCTGGCGGCACTGTTATAACCTCCTTCCCGAAGGAAGTGCCACGGTATGGTATGGGAAGCAACGTCCCCATGATCCAACCGAGCCCAGGAGAGGTCAAAGTACGGAGTATCAAAGACATATACGCTCTCGATGAGCGTACTTCCACCTTCCCTGGCCCGCTAAAGGGGAAAGCCAAGAAGAAGGATGTATTGACCTGGCTATCAACAGGCATTGAGTCATTGGAGCAACAAAACGACCATCTCCGGTCTTCCTCGAATCTGTCGCACGATGATATGAGAAAAGAGGAGCGAGTCGTGCTGTGGAAGATCTTAAAGGCTTTTATCGAGCATAATGGGGTTTTGGAAGGCAATGCAGAGGTTGAGAAGGCCGTAAGGTCGATTCTTTCCCCAGAACTTGACAATGAAGGCGCAACCGATGCACCCTTTGCCATCGGAGCAGATTTGGGTGGCATACATAGATCTGCTGGCTCGGCACCTTTGGCAGACCCTGTTGACCCTGTTGCTGTGGACACTCTTAGGAAACAGCTCCTCAAGGGCGAGCGTGAGAAAGCTGTGTGGTCAGCTGTCGACAATAGGCTATGGGCACATGCGTTGTTGTTGTCCAATACAATTTCGCCAGATCTTTACAAGCGGGTTGCCCAGGAATTTGTTCAGAAAGAAGTCAAGAATATCGGAGAGAACACCGAGTCCTTGGCTGCGCTTTACGAAATATTTGCTGGTAACCACGAAGAATGTGTTGACGAGCTCGTCCCTCCTTCAGCCCGGGCTGGGTTTCAGATGGTGAGTACATCTGCCGCAACCGGTCCGTCAAAGAGCGCCGTGGAAGGCTTGAATCACTGGCGAGAAACTCTTGGCTTGATTCTAAGCAACAGGAGCGCGGATGATAGCAAAGCCATTCAATCTATTGGCAAACTTCTTGCTGGCTATGGTAGATCGGAAGCTGCTCACATATGCTTCATCTTTGCCCGTTCACGTTCCGTTTTTGGGGGGATTGATGATGCACAGTCAGATATTGTCTTGGTTGGTGCCGATCATCAACGGAACCCTTACGGATTCGACAAAGATACGGAGGCCATCCTTCTGAGTGAAATCTACGAATTCGGCCAATCATTATCCAGCACATCTAGTGTTCCGATCTCGATACCGCACCTTGCAGTTTACAAGATGCAGCATGCGAAGCTTCTCACAGCCTTCGGCCAGAAGAGTAAGGCATTGGAGTATTGCGAATTCGTTGTATCATCGATTACCTCTCAGACCAGGAGATCTACATATCATCATCCCCTCTTAGTGTCGGAACTTGATGACCTCAGCAAGCGCCTGAAGCAATCGCCGAAAGACGAAACATCATCATGGATAGCGAAGCCAAGCATTGATAAGGTTTCCAGCAGCGTGTGGACGAAGTTCAACAAGTTCGTTGCTGGCGATGAAAAAGACGATGCTCCAGCTGGAGGCGATGACATTGGTGGCGATGTTGGTCCGTTTGCCCGAATCGCAGGAGGTACGCCGACAATCAGTCGCACTCCATCTGTTGCCGATATCTATTCGCAAGGCAACATCCCCAACACAATCAGCGGTGCCATACCTATTCCAATTGGTGGGAAGGCGGTCTCACGCTACGCTCCCGGAGGATCATACGGATCCAACGCAGCAATGGGCTCATCGTTCGGCTCACCTGCTGGTAGCCCATATGCCGGCTTAAACATCGGCCTGCCGATACCGGCACCCAATGGACAGCAATATCCAGTATCGGATTCTCGCGTCGTGTCTCCGGGGTCTTACGATTCTCGTTACGCGCCAACATCCCATCCAGAGTACGCGCCAGCTCCGCAGCTGGCCCCTACATCTCATGCAGATTACTCGCCCCAGTATGATGCTCCTTACGCTTCTAGCCCGAACGAATATCGCGCACCTGAGTATAGCCAAGCTCAACCGCCCAAGGCCGAAGGCAGCCATAATGGATACCACGCGCCTGAGACATCGGGGGCCATAGATGCTTCGAGTAACTATCCTCTAGCGCCCATTACGCCTTCCTCGTTTGAGCCACCGGCATATAATCCTTACGAGACCCAACCTTCAACATCGTTTGAGGCTCCAGTCTCAGCAGGGTACTCGCCACCCGAACAGGGCGGCTATACCCCCCCATCTTATGAGCCTAATCAAATGAATGACGAGCCAAGTTCGCCGACTGATACCGGATCTAAGAAGAAGAGTTTTCTGGATGATGAAGACGAAACACCTCGAAAGCCCTCGGGAGGAGCTGGCGAAATGACGAAGGCAGAAAAAGACCGCGCGGCGGATGAGGCCTTCCGGAAGGCCGCCGAAGAAGATGGTAAGTGCTCTCAACAGTCCCCCTTTAATATCCCCTGCAATTAGCTAACCAGCACCAGAAAAACGGTCTTCTTCTCAGCCACAAAAGAAGGGATGGGGCCTCACTGGCTGGTTTTCGAAGAAAGAGGCGAGTCCCGCTGAGCCTCAGCAAGCGCAACCCGGCAAACCCATCAAAGCAAAACTGGGTGAGGCAAGTTCGTTCTATTACGATCCGGAATTGAAACGCTGGGTCAACAAGAAGGGTGGAAAAGATGAGCAGGCAAAGGTTGGGATCACTCCGCCGCCACCGAAAGCAGGGCCACCGAGAAGCGACTCCGGTTCTGCCCCACCCGGAATGGGTGTTACGAGTGCACCGCGTTCCGCCTCGTCTTCTAGTTACGACGGTACGCCACCGCTTCGGACTGGGTCACCAGGGTCTTTCGCGCCACCAGGTACACAGAGCGAACCACCGGCGACTTCTGGAAGCCTAGAGCCGCCTGTATTGCAGAGAAACTTCAGCAATACCTCCACAAGGAGTGTTAGTGGTGGGAGCAACCCATCGAGTCGGCCAAATACCGGTATGAGTAATGCGAGCAGCATTGACGATTTGCTCGGCCCGCCCGTAGCCCGCAAGGCTGGGGATAGGCCTAAGAAGGGGAAGAAGGGCAGAGGGTATATCGATGTTATGGGAGATAAGGCAGCTGCTAGTGGATAGTAGGCAAAAGATGGGAGCGAGGGGAGACGGGGTAGTTAATATTATTAATGGCATGCATGTAATTTAGAAGGAGTGAGTGGGAGGAACTTTAGATGGCGTACGGACGTGCTCTTTTGGGATTCTTTGGTATATATTTCAACGCAGGACCGTGGGAATGCCGGAATCGTACTGTACTCGTTATCACATACATTTGACTTTCTGTGATTATAGACCCTAAACTGCAATACTATGCTAACAGTGCCTGTGGTTCCTTTCCAGGCTTTTAGAGTCTGGCGAATTGATTACTGGAGTTTTGGCTTCGATGCGGCGGCTCGGAGCCTGAGTTGCTCTGTCTTCGGCGGATGAGAACAAGAGCCCAGCAATCCCTGCTCAGTAACAGGGTTTCGCAGGTAGCGCGATCCTTTGACGTCACAGTTTCTTACCCACTCCGTACGTAAGCTCCCACGTCTAAAATCACGAAAATAATCTATAATCGTCTCAATATACTTAAAATCTAGTCTTCAACATGGAAACCCACGAGGCAGCAGTTTCTGTCATTGCTGGTCGGGTACGCCAGTTCCATAACCGACAGCAGCCCTTTCGAATCTACCATGGTTCCACTAATAGCACTCGGCGGTCCCAGTACAACCGCTCGAACATCATTGATACGAGCGGTCTTACCAATGTCTTGCATGTAGACAAAGAGAAGAGGACTGCGTTGGTGGAACCAAATGTGCCAATGGACAGTCTCGTTGGCGCAACTCTCCCGTTCGGTCTTGTCCCACCTGTTGTCATGGAGTTTCCCGGCATAACGAGTGGCGGCGGCTTCTCCGGAACTTCTGGCGAAAGTAGCTCATTTAAATATGGCTTTTTCGATCGCACCGTTATACGCATCCAAATAGTGCTTCCTAATGGCGAGACTGTTTCGGCATCGAGCACTGATAAACCGGATTTATTCTGGGGTGCGGCCGCGTCATTTGGAACTTTAGGTGTTATCACCCTACTCGAGATTCAATTAATAGAGGCAAAGTCTCATGTTGAGTTGAAATATCACAGGCTCGGTAGCATGCCACAGGCAGTTGAGAAACTACAGGAGGAATCGCAGCGGGAGTCGAACGATTATCTCGATGGCATAGTTTTCGCAAAGGATTGGATCGTCGTCTGTTCCGGGCGCCTAGTTGAGAGTCACGGCCAAGAGGCTCTAGTGCAGCGCTTTACTCGCCGCAGAGACCCTTGGTTCTATCTCCACGCAAAAAAGCTGACGTCTCGGCCCGCCACGAGCGCTCCTGTCACAGAGATAGTCCCGCTAGTAGACTATCTCTTCCGCTACGACCGTGGCGGCTTTTGGGTTGGTATGTACGCATTCAAGTACTTCGTTACGCCATTCAACAGAATCACTCGTGGCATATTAGATAAATTCATGCACACGCGCGTCATGTACCATGCTCTTCACCAGAGCGGGCTTTCCAAGCAATATATAATTCAGGACGTCGCAGTGCCATATCCTGCCGCGGACGAGTTCGTGGAGTGGCTCGACAGCAACGTTAGCCTGTATCCTCTATGGTTGTGCCCATTAAAGCAGCGGGGTCAGAGGAAAGATTCGCCGCAGGGTCTCCTTGCTGAAGCCGCAAATGCAGATGCTCCGGAGTATCTCCTGAATTTTGGAATTTGGGGACCAGGCCGAACTGATCCCCAAGAATTTGTGGATATAAATCGACGCTTGGAGCAGAAGGTCAATTCGTTAGGTGGGAATAAATGGCTGTATGCCCACGCTTATTACACTGAGGATGAATTTTGGAGTATCTTCGACCGGAAGGCATATGATGCTCTAAGATCAAAATATGGGGCTTCATATCTCCCGAGCATATATGATAAGGTAAAGGTGGATTTTGCCAGTGACCAAAAAGCCATTAGAGAATCATGGCTTCTATGGCTCGTAGCCATTTTCTGGGGTATTTGGCCCTTACAAGGTTTGTACGGGGTATATAAGGCAGCGATTGGTGGTGATTATCTTCTGCCGAAAGAGAGGATATGGAAGGCTCAGGGAGCGAAAGAGGATTAGGAAGCCTACAGCAACTATCAATTCGTAATTTAGGTAGAGTCTTTGGTGACGGAAAAAACTAGATATATTGATAACTCAAAGCCCTTTAGATTCTCGGAGCATCATCAAGCGCATCGCGAGCAGGCTGGGCCATCACCCCATCTTTAACTAGCAAATCAACATAACGCTTAAGCCAGCTCTGGCAATTATCAACCTATGATACCCATTAGTTTAAATCTCAACTCATACAAAAGTGCCTTACCTCGAATCTATTTAATGGATTCTTGCTAACGCCAGGCGCTGGAATACTCCGAGCCTTGGTATCAAGTTGGGATAGCCCGTAATCATTTATAGACCCGAGGGAGATTGCCTCATATTTTCGTTCGTCCTTCGAAATGTCGTACTCTGTGATCTCAAGTTGATAGCCTTGGAAGGGGTTTCCTATGGCATGGATCTTTTTCCCCTGGACATCTCCGTCGCTGCTTGGGATGAACATCGTCCAGTGCGCCGGCGTGTTCGGGGATTGATGGTAAACTACCAGGAGGATTTCGGTGGCATGGCTATGAATAGCTATTGGTATTGATTGATATTGGAGTTTCTAGCACATTGTAGGCTCTTGACAGGTTTTTAAGTGTCGAGGCAGATCATTGATATATGTCTAAATGCTGGTGCCTATTTTTTCGTTTAAATAGAATGATATTTTAAATGGGGTGATGCTCTTAAAGATTCTCCTCAAATAATATAATGTTAATGCTACCCAAAAAATCAGAGGGATTAGTTACATAGTTTTAATAAAAGTAAAAGTTATCATTCTCTAAATCCATATAAAATATTAAAGGGGCCTATGAGGAATAAATTTACGGCTAGGTTCCATCGCTAGAGATACCTTCGACAGATGCTCTTAGATATATTTCTCTATTCAGCGTCTATAAAATAATATCCTCCGCTGAGTAACTGTCATGTATCCCAGAATCGATAGTGACCCAGCTGATACGATGTTAATCTATGATGTATGGTATCCGCACAATGGTTTTCCCAGCAGGCAGGATCATTTTCTTTATTGACATAACCACCTACACGCGCACTTCCTCGCATCAAAATCTACCAAAACCAACACCATGGCCTCCACCCGAGAGGACCCAACGTAAGATGACTGTGTTGACCTGCTCTGTTCCGGGAAGCTGACATTGCCAGGCTGGAAGAACCCTTCTGGAATGATGAGATGAAGGAGCAGTGTGACCAGGCCAAATCGTTCTGGAAACTGTGGATCGGGAGACAGTGTGGAAAGTGCTTAAGATTCCACCTGACGGAGGAAGAAATCGAGATTCTGAAGGAGCATCAAGAGAACTTTGAAGACGTGAGTTTGGACTTATTTCCCATACTTGTTAATTCGTCGCCTCACATTTCAAGTCATTTCAAATATTACCAGTCAATAATTTCCCATCGACTTCTCGATCTATCAAATATCCACTCTATCAAAAACATAGCCAAGAACTAACGATATCCATAGTCAAGAACGCTTTTCTCCGGAGTCCACAAACTCCTCGCCGTCGACATCGCAAACCGCACCGAGTACTACGAAACCTGCAGAATACGCTCGAAATGGGGCGAGATGCACGAGGTGGCCTTGTTCACCATGGACGTCAAGAAGAAATACCGGCACGCCACAGGAAAAAGGAGGAAGGCGCTTTGGGAGTACCAGTGCAAGACCGAGCAGCTGAGCGTGGAGATGGACGATATTGCTGAGATAAAGTGCATGATAGACGCGTAAGTTCCATGCTGCATCGATGGGCTTGTTTTGGGATTCCAACTCTTTTGAAGACTGGCAGTGGATGTGGCGAAAGGAGGTGCGCCCGCCGAAGGGGAATGCGCGAAGAATGACATGCCCGAGAAGAGAGGAGTAGTACAGAACTGAAACACATGTATATCCATTTACCTACACAAAAATACTACACACAATACGGCCGTATACAATATCCCTATCCCTCCTCACATCCCAGCAATCCCCCTTCCCACCGCCCCAGCAATCTCACTGAACAAGACCCCCTTGAACAGCGTCTCCGGAAGATCCCCCGCCCAATGTCCCATCTCCCTCAGCCTCTTTTCCCAGGCCTTCTTCTGCTCCTCCCCAAGCTCCTCCCACGTCCGCCCGTCATGCGGGCCATGCTCCTCCTCATCGTGCAGACGGGCATCAATCGGGGCCCTAGCACCTGCCTTGATATCCCGCTCGATCTCCTCCCTTGCACCCTCCTCATCCCCGGCGTTGAAGGTGGCAAGCTTTTCCGTCTCTGCGTCTGCCCCACGCTCCCCAACCGCCGGCCTTATCACAATCGGCTGCCCCTCTGCGGCTTCCGAGCGTAGCGCCGCCAGGAGCGATGCAACGGGGTGATCCGCGAACGCCTCGTAGGTCGCCGCACCACCGCTGCTCGCACCCTCATTCGGATGCTGCCAGTGGGCCGGCTCACGGGTGGTGAGATAGTTGCGGATGGTAGCTGGGAGGCGCTCTTCCGCGCGGAGGACAGGGGGGCTGTGGCCGCCCAGCTCGAGGATGGTTTGGAGGAGGACGGCAATGGCGACGATGGCCAGGACGGAGATGGCGTTGCGGACCCCAAACTCAGGAGCTTTGCTGGCGGGTTTGAGGGCGACTTGGTATTGCTTCTTTTCTTGTGAGAAGGAGATGGGGAGGGATTGCACGACGACTGTGTTGCCTACGCTCACGCTGGCCAGACGCAGCGTCTGAGCTGAGCCTTCCTTCTCCGTTGGGGTGAATGGAGCGAATGCCAGACCGGTGATTTGCATTGGGTGTACGTCTTCAACGCGCGTCAAGAGCTTTGGTGTGGACATGAACGTGACCGTGTGAGCGACCTCGTGGGTCAATGTCGCGATCGAGATGGAGGCTTGGTCGGCAGCCGCAAGCACGAAGTGTGCGTTATCCTGTACACCACCCGCTATCGGCGGGGGATTCAGGTTCGCGACGGCGAGGCCAGTTGCCTGTGTTACTTTCTTGGGTAGGAAGAGCGTCTGTGCTGGGTTGGCTACGTAACCTGTGGGCTCGAGCGTGATGCGCAGAATACGGATTTGGGCGCCGGTGCGGGCGGGTTTGTTGATCAGGACGGCGAGGAAGTTGGGGGTGAGGAAGCGGAGGGAGCGGAATGAGGAAGGTGGCTCGGAGCCGGGTTCGCGCTCGCCGATGGCGCCAGGCATGTCATATATTGGGATGGCGTCTTCGAGCTCCGCTTTGGGAGAGATGGTCTTGAGGAAGATGCTGTGGTTGTCGCAGTATGCGACACGGTACTCCTCTGGGCCAGTCTGGATGACATCCACATCCTCTGCCTCCCTATCCAGCTCGAGGACCCCGCGGGGGCTCAAGCTCTTCTTCCCATCTGCTGTGTCGAAGATAGCAAGCCTGGAGGGGTTTGCGAAGCCCGTCGCGACAACGCCGAGTTGGACGCCATTCTCCGACGGTCGCGACAACCTCAATAGTCGCTGGTATGTCGCCTTGTCGTTTGACTTGAAGAGCTGTTCCCGCGAAACCTCTTGGATTATCGGGCTGCCCTTCTTCTGCTTCTTGCCGAGCGCATAGACGCGGAAGTGCTCGTTGTTACCCTTCTCCACATCCTTGGTGCTCGAGTTGACACCAGCGTAAATGAACGTGAAGCCACTGACGGTCTTGCTCACGGCCAAGCTCGTGGGGTTGTCCTCCTCTTTGCTGAGTTCTGCTTCGGCGATTTCTCCAAGGTTGTCGGGTTCTGAGGCGTCGAGGACTGTCTGCACGCGCAACACGTTAGCATAGAGCGACAATCTCTTCCCCAACACGAGAGGCGCCTTACAATTTTATTCCCGACTCCATTCTTGCCCGCGCCGCCGCCTCCTGCTACCACAAGCCGTGTTGGATCATTGGGGTCGAAGTCGCAAGCGTAGAGGGGATATGAGAGCGTCACTTTCGCAGACGCAATTCCTGGTGCCATGGTGATTCAGTCCGTCCCAGTAGTCTCAGTCCCAGTCCCAATTTCTATGTGAACAAGTGACTCCGTGAGTGTGGGGGACGCAGATATATGTCAAAAGGGTGCTGGACGGGTCGCAAATAGTGGTGGGAGCTCTACGGCCCTGTTACTGTTACGGCACAATGACGACGGGCCGATAGTGAAGCCACCTATTGAAATTGGCAGGGAAGCTACCCCAGACGCTCCGCTAAAAGGCCCGTAAAAATGTATTCTAGAACGTCGAATAGGCGCCCGTCGAATAGGCGTATTTTGTATTTTAAATAAAATTCTACTTAAAATTTATGGTATATATGTGGACAAATAAGTCGTCTCATTACATCAAAGGATCCGAACTGGTGTATCGGTAACATATCCGCCTCTCAATATTCGAGTTCGCTTGAAAAGATTCCGCGGTTGCGCGGGGTTCGACTCCCCGGTTCGGAAAGAACCATTCATCTAAGATGAATAAAGTCTATTTTTTTTTTGGCTTTTTTTTTTTAGCATTTATATATACATTATATTTCAATCCATAAGCACAGCCAAGCAATAGCAAATAAACTACGGCCTCTTACAGTAGATTACTCCTTGCAGACATGAATATTATTTATATTATTTCGAAAGGCAACATTTTTTTGGTCGGTATGGGAAGCGAGGATTAACGAGTAGGAGGAGCTCTCCAAATAGATTTAATACGCTAGCCTTATCAGGCGAGGTACAATCGCGGCCACGATTGTGGAGAAAAGCCACGATAAGCCAGGGAGCCAGAGCTTTCATTTTGGCTCAGCCTTTGTGCTGTACTTTGTTCTATATTCTATATATCTTGAAGATGCATAGACATCTCGACATCACCATATAATAGACGCTGTCCATACACGTGATTGCCATTGACAGCGCCTTAACAACCAGCGCCGCCACCATGACCGGCCTCTGGAGCCCCAGCAACTCCCAGAATGCGCCGCCGCCTCCCACGCCAGCCCCATCCGAGCCACCCTCCGACCCAGCTCCCGAAGATACTACCCTCGATACCACCCTCGATGCTGCCCTCAATGCAGACATAGCCGACACAGGCATCGTCGACATCGGCCCTCCTCCCGGCCCACCAGCCTCCCATGAACCCAACCCCAGCCGGCCACAGATCCAGCGCGACCAAGTCGCCCCTCCCCCACCGCACCAGCCACCGCCGCCTCCAGCGCCCCAGCAGGTGGGCCATCCCGACGACTCACTCTCACTCTTGCAGCTGAAGCGCATTGTGTCCGACTTTCCGCGCGTGGAACCCACCTCGTATGCCTTCACCTATGCGGACACAGCGAGCTTCGAGGAGGAGATCGATGAGTGGTTCGGCTATGCGAATACTGAGAGTCTGAGGGTGAACCGGGCGAGGGTGTGCTGGGGAGGGAGGTGGAAGCAGAGCAGCAAGAAGCTATGGATGGAGGAGGAGAGGAGTGTTAAGAGCGAGTTTGTGAGGAAGGAGTGCGAGGGACTGAAGGGGGAGGCGGGAGGGAGGAGAAAGAGCTTGCAGAGGATTATGCATATATTACTTGGTGTCTGGGATGAGAGTGCTGGGACGACGAAGCCTCTTGCGCATGCGTCAAGGGATATGGGGGTGGGGGAGGAAGAGCCTCAAATCAGGAGCCAGGCCACGAAGAGCCAGGTCGATGCTATGAAGGACGGCGTTGCTCTAGTCACAGAGTGCGGTGGGGTTGCTGCTGCGTTTCAGGCGATGGCAGCTATTCTGGGTGGAGTCCGGTAAGTGATGTGGACGGAGATTACGTTTTGTTCTTTACTGACAGATCAGGAATGAGGAATACCGTGAACTCCGAGAGTCTCAGATGCTGCAAGGAATTGGCCAGTTGCCGGATGAAATCGACAACTCCATGACAGTCATGTACATCCTGATCCACGTCACGTTGACCTGGCCCGAAGAGTTTTCAGCCACAAAAGAAGCGCTTGGTATGTACAACTGGGTTATGCTTCTAACGCTGTAGCTAACAATTGCAGGTGCCCTAAAGCCAAACCTTTTGGAATATCTCCTCACAACTGTTGCAAAACTCCGCTGGGATGACGTCCCTGAGCTGCCACAAAATAAAGTTTGTCGTCCCATCTCCATTTGATACTACGGACTAACCGATTAGATCTTTAATCTCTTCTGGAAATCTTTGTTGCTTATTTTTGGGAACATGAGCGAGCTCGACACCGTAAAGGCTGCCGTTGCAGAGAACCTCCAAGCGGAAGGCAAGAAGAGCGAATTGATCACCGCATCCCCGTTGGACTACCACATTTTCCGACAAGAAATCACCTCAAAATACCCAGCATATATACCGCCAGCGCCGCTTCTTCCTCTCGAGCTTGATAACAACTCGATACTACCTCCGTTGCCAAACCACCCTCCTCGGAACACTGGCCAAAATGGCATTATACCAACCCCTGCAACTGCTAACAGTGGCGGTTCTATTCTTCATCAACCCGTGCACATTGCCACGCCAGCACCTTCGCCCCCACCGTCACCACCAGTAGGCGGGAAGGCTGGCAAGAAACAAAACTACCAAACAAATCAGAACTTCCCGTTCATGTATCCACCTTTGGATAGTACGAGCAACAATGCCGGCGGCAAAGGCACAGCGGGCCTTCAAGGCGAGCTAGTTGGCCGAAAATGGGAGGGAAGTGAGATTCCTGCTTCTATCCTAGAGGCTGGAGAGCTATTTGCCAAAAGAATGAAGATGACGAGAGCGATGCGGCAACTTTGGGATGAGCGGGAAGCTTTTCTAAAGCATGAAAGGGGATGGGATGGACATGGTGGCGAAGATGACCCAGACTTTGACGTCGATGAATTGGAATTAGATGAAGCACTGTCGAGGAGACTGGAAGCTTTGGGAAGAGAAGATGAAGAGGAGGAAAAGAAGGTCGAACTGGACCTTGGGTCAAGGCCTGTGAGCGAAGATGTCAAAAAGCGCCTTGAGGTGGTTGAAGATTTCTACGTAAGTCACAGGGCATTGCCAAGTTCTGCACTCAAACTGACATTTCTAGGGAAATGCACTCCCACAAATGCAATCACTGGTGATTGTATTGCTCAAGGCTGTTCTGGCCAATGTCACCGCATTGATCACCCAGCCAATTACGGGGCAGCCGCAGCAACAAAATGGTCTCCAGCCAGGCTTCCAGTCGGAATCCAATTTAAGGAATAACGCTGCAGGTCAACGACGGCTAGCCCACGCTCAAGAAGCTCAGAATCCGTCCCAGCCAGCGGTATTTGACGTCCGTGATCTACCAATTGAAGATTTAGAGGCACTGAGACAACGAGAAATCACACTGAAAGCCGTTTCTGGAATTCTTCTGGTTCTCCTGAAATGGTTTAAGGTGTCTTGTAAGTTCTCTACTACCCTTCTAGTTAAGTTCAGATACTGATGACCCACAAGACGTACTTAAGTTCGAGTATCTCACCCAGCTCCTCCTGGACTCCAACTACCTCCCCCTAATCTTGAAGCTATTTGCCCACCAAGACGTCGACAAACTCGTCGACACTGACTCTGACCGCGCTGCCCTCTCCTTCTTCACATACTGCAACAAGTCCAGCAAACACCCTGGCACCCCTCCCCCAGCCGAAAACTCCGAATCCGAGGACGACGCGGCCCCACCTCCAATCAAACGCAACCGTCTCTCTCCATCCTCAGCAACCGACAAGCTTCAGGCAATCACCTACCGCAGCCCCTCCGCAATCCATTCCCCCCTCCGAGTCGACGAGCTCGGCGCCCCCCTCCCCGTCGTCCCCGCCCCGCCCAGCACGAACTACTCGTGGCGCAACTTCTACAGCGCCATCACGCTGCTCCGCGTGATGCAGAAGATCTGCAAGGGCAAAGCTCACCGCAACCTGCTCCTCGTGCAATACAAGAGTAGCAATATCATCAAGAAGGCGCTGAAAGTGCCTCAGCACGAGTTGCGCCTGTACACGCTCAAGCTGTTCAAGAGCCAGGTGCCGTACTGTGGGCGTAAGTGGCGGCAGGGGAATATGCGCGTCATTACGGCGGTGTACTTGCATTGTCGCCCAGATCTGAGAGATGAGTGGCTTAGTGGGAGTGATGTGGATGGTGACATGGAGGAGGCATTGCCGTTAGAGCAGGCGCTGAGGAGTCTGACGCACTGGGGGAATGTGAGGAGGTATAAGAAGGTTATGGCTGGGGAGGTTTCGACGGATGGTGGGGAAGGTGACTTTTTTAGGAGGGAGTTGGAAAAGATGGAGATTATGGTGGGTTCGGATGGGGAAGAGGTGGAGGCTGAGACAGGGTGGGAGGGTGCTGGTCAGGGTTGGCAGTAGAGCATATATGGATGAGGATGTCGTAGCTTTATGCATTGAGCGTTGGAGCCTGGCGTGTGAATATAGGTGGACAGTGTCTATCTGACTTGAAATAACTGATAGCATCTTATATCTCGCTATACTTTCTATAGGCTCTCAGTCCTCATTGTGCAATTGTAGATGACTGAAACTGTCTACCTAACCTACAGTACTAAGAAATACAATCATGTATCATAGCCACCGACATGGCCACCAGACTCCAGGGCTTCTCTTCGGACGGGTTACAGGTTCCCAGCACTAATCTTCTTTCGTCTGCGGCTTTGGCACACAAGCCCAGGATATCGCCATAGCGACGATCAAACCAACCATCATCGGCTGCAAGACTCCAACACCAGCCTTTGCGGCAATGACACCAGTTGCCGCTGGGAACACGGCGCCGCCTGCTTGAGCTACAACAAAGATGATTCCTAGGGTCCCTTGTCAGTATGGCTGCCTTGATAGGGAGATTGAATACGCACCAAGTGATGGCGCCAATTTTGCGGGTGGGATCAACATCTTCCCAGTTGTCATGCCCTGGTATCATAGTCAGCACCACTTCCTATCTTCCCATCATGCACAGGGCAGCACCAATCATTTCCATAGAAATGTGGCATGAACTCACAGCAGCGAAAAATGGGCCTAGGAAAAAACTCATCAACGTCGCACACACAGCAGTCGCAGCAATACTGTTCACTCTCCATGAGACTATCTGCAGCCCAAAGCACAGCACTGAGTAGATCAGCAACATGCGCCTCTCGCCAAATCGGTGTGTAGGCTCAACGAGAATCAGCCGGCCAAGCGTAGTCCCCACGGATAAAATAGTAGAGAAGTATCCCACTTTCGAAAGCTCGCCGTGTCGCGCAGTGACGAGATACTCAACGAGCCAGCCTTCATACAAAGTTAGCAACTCTCCCAGAACAAAACCAAGCGAGATTGTATAATCCATACCTCCAAGTGTAATACCCAGGCCCAGGTAGAAGAAGTAGAAGATACTCAGAAGCCAAACTTCCTTCTGCGCAGCTGTCTCCCGCATCTCCACCCACGCCTTCCCAAAGCTCCCCTGCGCCTCCTCTTCGCTCTCCTCTCCACTCTCACTCACGGCCTTCTTCCCAAACGTCGCATCCTCCCAGAATGCCAGTGTCACAAGCCCCATATTCAGCCCCGCAATCCCAATCGCAAATCCGTAGAACAGCGCCCACTGCCCTGGCCGATTCGATGCGATCGCAGCCGCCACGAGCGGGCCGACGACGCATCCGGCGCCGTAGCTGGCGTGGATGGCGCCGAGCCAGCGGTGTGCGGATTTGACAGTCGCGACGAAGGCGTTCGCCTGTGCGTCTTGGAATGCGGCGCCGACGGCGGCGAGGAAGAATGTCACGGCGAAGAGGGCAAACGGTGGGGTCTGAGGTGTTAGCCTTGAACAGTTCCTATGAAACGATTAAAGGGGGAGACTCACCCACACCCTCAGCACATGTGTGAGGACTTGGAGGAGAGCACCAAGCATGAGCACGCCTCCGCTCCCGAGCTTGGCCCGCGAAATCCCAGCGACGACAGCAGCGACGGCCCATCCAGCAAAGGCGCAGGCAAAGAGGATGGCTATGGAGCCGGTGCTGATGCCATAGGTGTGCAGGATATAGGGGACCAAGGCACCGAGACTACCATCGTTGACACCAGCGGTGAAGAAGGCGAAGGCAGCGCTAGCGAGCTTGAGCTTGAGGAATGGGGTTAGAGGTTCTTCTGCAGGATCGACATTGTTGGCTTCAGGGTCAGTGATTGTGTTGAGACTGTTGGGTTTTGGGAGAGCAGTCATAGGATATCCATCTTCTAGGTGGGATGGAGATGGATGGATTGCGAGGGGTACGGTTGTTGCTGTTGGAACATCGACGGTTTGCATTGCCATTGTGAATATATTTCACAGCTTCAGAGCTTCACAGAGCGCAAAAGATAATCTCGCCTTGTAAGAAACTGATATTTACATTGTACCGTCCATACGTCCGAATATATACCTATGTTGTATGTATGCACCAGTATGAGAAACGAACAATTCGGGGATGACGGGCCGAAGAAGCCATTGAGACATCACTTGGTGCGATTTCCATGGTTGCTAACTCCCCTTCCGGCTAAACATCGGCAGTGCAAAAAGGACAATCAATCCGGTACTCCGCGGGTTTTCCAGACCAGATTTCATTCAGCATAGGAACTATGGCCTCGATCGCTTCATGTCTATGAATCAAATCGTATGGGCTCCTTGTCGTAATATACCCCACCCTTCCCGTGCCCAATAGCTCCTAAAGTACCCAAACCCTGGCGTCGTCAACTCCTTTGTAAATATCCCATACCCTGTAAACAAACGCCCTACAGCATCGCCATGGCCATAGCAGCCCCACCCAAAACCCATCCCGCGCCCTGTGAAATCGCTGCAGCAGCCCCTGTACTCACGGCCCCGGGTCCCGAGTCCGTGGTCGTCGTTGCAGCTCCCGAGCCCTTGGCATCCGCAGTCGACATAGCCGCGCCCGCGCCTGCGCCTGCGCCTGATGTTTGTGTCGAATCTGAGCCAGACCCCGTGGTTGACGGCGACGCGATGCGGTTTGCGCCTACTGCGCCCGCAATGATCGTGACGGGCATGTAGGGCTGGTCGGTGCCTGTGTATGTCTCGGTGCTAACTCCTGGGAAATTGGCCTCACTGCCGCCAAAGGACTCGACGCAAACTGCGGAGGTGGTGCCTGCTAGGGAACAATGGACTTGTCCCGCACTATGTATATTAGTTATATGTCTGTGAATGTAGATGGGGGTAAGGGTGAGGATCAGCGGCAGGGGGGCAACTGTAAGAGGCTCACGGTTGTGAGGGAGGGGGTCGTACAACGCAGTTTGGCCGTTTGGATCTATCACAGGGGCTATGGTATATTTCGCTGTCGTGGGCCCTTCGGTGAGCGTTATGGTTCCTTCGATGCCACAGTCTTGGGCTGAGGCCCCAGGGTCGCATGAAATGGCGTATGTGGTAGCTGTTGCGTCCTGGCGTTGTTAGTATGAGACCCTGGGGATCTGGGTAGGCGATGTACTTACGGAGCCAATGATGGAGGCAACAAGAGGTTGTTCATCGGTGCCTGGGACATAGAGGGTGACGGTCTGCGCAGCAGAGACTGTGGCCAAGGCGAGGCCGACGAGGCTGACGGATGTGGGACGCATGGTTCTACTGTCGGCGTGGTTCGTGTACTGTTGTGAATGCCTGATCCAAATGAAATAGTTGCAAAAGAAATATAAAAAAAATGAAGGTAAAGTGCTGGTAGTTATAGACAAGAGGCAAAAAAAGCCAACATGCGAAAAGAATTGAGGTCTTCGTTTGGAAACACGGCTATCTTTCTTGTCGGCCACGCGGTGCCTTGGTGCTACTTGGCCCACGAACCCCTACCAATAACTTCCCACACCACAACGCGCTACCCGCTGACTAAGTGGAGCTCCCCTTGCATTATGCGTGCACATCACAGACATGACAGTGCTTCTCACTGCTTCTTTTGGAAATAACAATGCGGAATACGGCACAACGTCATGTTACGAGTAACTTTTGTTGTTTACTCTGTATGGGAGTAGAGATAATCAGCGCCTGGCAACTGAGCGGTCCTCCTAACAAATATTCCCAAAATGCTGTCCTCATGACACTCCCTCCCAGGATTGACAGCCTCAGGGTTCAAGGCTTACTTCCCCGCCGCTCCTCCTCCACGCTCCGGCGCGCCCTTCTGGGACTCTTCACGCTCCTGCATGTCGGATTTGCGGAAGGAGTCCAAGATGCGGTTCCCCTCTTCGAAGCCCTGGGGCGTCATTCCCAGTCCGTAGGAGTGCTGGAACTCTGAGCGGCTACCCCAGCCATCTTTGGCGATGCTGGAGTTTGATGGTGGTGATGCCGGAAGAGGGGTTGGAGTTGCTGGGAGGTGTGTGTTAATTCCAGTCACTGGCAAGCCGGGAGGATGTGGGATGAATTGGGGAAGCTAATTGCGGGGTAACACGAATGGGAAGTAAGGCGGATGGAAGCAAGGACGCGAGAAATCAAGGGCGCGGGGAAGCAAGGGGGACTTGAAGCAAAGACGAACCTCTGCGAGTTTTGGGAGGCGGCATTGCTACCTGACTCTTGCTTCGGAGGCATTTCGGTGAGTTTTCTGTCGGTGTCTATGCAGGAAGGTTGCTGGATGGGCGGGAGTTGCTGAATAGTTGCGGGATTGTTGGGGTGGCTGGGGTCGAATGTGACAGCTGGCCAAGATGGGAGATTGTCTGCTGGATGGGAAGATTTTCGTTATGATCAGAAGAGGAAGGGATGCCGAGCTCTACGCAAGTTATATATCACAGAGTGGACAAAGGTGAGGCAGGAAAGAAAGAGGGGAAGCAAACGGTGAGCACTGGTAGAGCGAACGAACAAACAGGACAACAAACAGAAAGACAGGTCGTGAGTGAAGAAGGACATGGGAATGAGGCAGAAGGTAAACGCACTCCTGCCGCCCAAAAATGGGAAGAAGAACTGTGCAGAGGTAAGTATTGATGCTGGAAACTCGAGCTAATAGAGCCTCTTTCCGTTTTCTTTAACTTTGATTCACAGTGAGTCTTTGAAAGGCACCCTGAGTGATTGAGCGCCTTCAATTGAACTATAATCACCGAAAGCACTCTTTATTACGCATGATCCCTCTCCGGGCTTGTTCGCGGTAGGAGTATATAGACAGTAAACGGAAAATGAGCTCTCAACTTCTCTGTTGTTTCTAAATTATGTTTGTTGCATATCTCATGCCGTTAGCCAGTTTGTTAAAAGTTTTAGTGGGATTTATATGGATTTAATGGGGAAAACAGATGTATACCATCCTAGTAGAGGAACGAATACATATGACCATAGACTTAAGAGAATTGGGCATCCCATCCACTCTGCTATACACAAGCTTGTAATCTACTCGCTCTATACTCTCAATCATGCCAGTAGGCATTGCCTGTAATTTTAGCCCCTTGCCGCTTTAAAGAGTGAAGCTAAGGGTAAGCAGGGTGAGCATAATAGGGCGGAGTGAACTTCTCGTGTCATTTTTACGTTACTTTCACGTTAGACTGAAGTTTAGTGTAACGCTGGGTCTTAAACGTATAAGACACACAGAGGTTTCGTTGCGTAGTTTACTTATCAGAGGAGGCAGGGGATCAGACACAAAGGCTTTCATAAAACACGTTACTAGTATATAACAAATACTGTATTGAGTTGAACACGAAGCTTCTATCTAAGAACTAACTATCTACTTATATAGTGGCGTCGTGCCAAATCGATTCCGTCTGCTACCCAGACGATCCCTAGGTGATACTTATACGATCCTGGATCCTTCGAGGATCGTGTCACGTGGTCCCATGTCTCATATTCCTTATTCGACCAATGACCTTGGTTTCCTAATCGTGCCTCCTCCTCCAATCCCTTGCCTGGCGCTAATAGCGGGGTGAGCCGTAACACTAGACCTATAAAATTAGAATCAAGAGGCAATCTAAACCTATGTTCTACAATAGGGCAGTACTTTCAGCTCGCAGCTCCGAGAGCCAGGCGCGCGCTTCGCTGGCAGGGCGAGCTTGGGGAGATGCTCTTTGATACCTCGCCGCACCTACTTGTATCTCTCCTCGCTGTCCCGATCGAACCAGCTCACCGACCAACTCCACACCCCCTCCTCCCCACAACTAGACCCTAAAGCGACAGCGACGGCGATGCTGTATGCCAATCTAAAAGCATGGCCATTGACGTCGTCGGGCCCTAACAACAGCATGCCGGAAGTAGAGCGAAGAAGAATTTCTGGGACACCTTCTGCACGCTCCCGAGGGAAATTCACGAGCTGATCTTTGCCCACCTCGACCTCGAGGACATTACCTGCGTAGGTATCGCCTCGCCGAACCTGTGGGACATGACGCGGGAAATAGTCATGCGGTACTACTACTCGCTTTTCGGGAGCTGGGCTGGCGATAATATCGTCTGTGCTCGCGATGAGATCCTCCCCGGCGACTACCCACTGGGCTTGTTCTCGGCTAAGGAGGAGGAGGACATGGACAAGACGTTTCTCGTCCTAATCTATGGCTCGGATGGTTACTATGACGACTCGGACTTCGAATACGGCGAAGGCGGCGAAGACGGCGCTGAGCAACTCACCTTGCACAACTTGTCCAAAAGCCCCGGTACCTGTTTCTACGAGGAGTTCTTCGTCGAGAGAGAATCAACGCGGGTCTTCGGGGCATGTCTGTCCCAGAGCGAGTTTGGACGAGAACGATGCCGGGTCAATCTATGTATCCACAGGTTTCGAGCAAGGCTAGGGAGATTTGCGTGAAAAGATCGTCGTTTTTACCGGCGGGTCAGGTGTGGATTCTGCGGAACCTGACGACTAAAGAGCGGGGTAGGTAAGGTAGGCCTACAAGCACATGAATTCCTTTTTCATCGAAGGGCCTGGTATGAGAGATATTACTGAATTGAATTAAAAACTAAACTAAGCTGATTTGAACTGAGGAAGGTGTTGAATCTCAAGCAACACTAATGTTTCCATGGCAATCGATGTTGAATCAATGCTGTGAACCTTTAAGCGTGACCATATAAATCACTAGGAGGGGGGCGTGCCCGGGTGGTATAGCTGGTCTGGGCCTTGATAATAAGTTTGCGGGAGTTGGTTTTGAGTGAAGTCGCATTCCTGGATATTACCAATGTCCGTGATGTTGACGACTGTACCAGGTGTGTAGGTGCCAGTACCGATGTACCATCTCGCAACAGGGTTAAAGTAGTACTTCTGGTTTGGTGCCGCAGTCACGGTTGCCACAGGCACAACGCCAGAAGGAGAATCTGCTCCCATGCCGAGGAAAATATTACCTTTTAAAGGCGCGGATAAGTTAGCTGCCTTCTGCCTCAGAACAAATCAATACGTACCGGGCGAGGGATAACTAAATGAATCGTTTGTCTCGATTTCAAAAGTGTTTTCGATATCCGACTCGAGCGTTTGACTCGCATCGTCGAATGAGCAGCCGGTGCCTCCCCCGGAGGTTGTCATAATAGCTTTAGTCCCACCTTGAGAGGAACTAGAGAGCTGTACTGGGATATATGAACTGGTGTTGACCTTGACTCCATCGTCAATTGGTGTTGGAGCAGTACCAATGACGGCATAGTATTGGTTGGTCATATTGAAGATGACATTTGAATTATCGCCAGACGGAATTTGTTGGGACTGTTGAAATACGTTTGTAAAAACCGTTCCATCGCCAGAAAGCTGAGGAGCAGACTGGAAAAGAAGGTAGTTCTGAGGAATTCCACTATCATTGTAAACTTGAATGGAGTACGTTGAAATAGACATGATTGGTAGTAGTTGAACGAGACCTGATAATATGATTTTGATAATATGATTTTGAGTATGATGAGTTTTTGTGGAATATGGCCAAGGCAGACGCATGTTATATATCTAGAACAATTGCACCTCCGAGCTGTTGGTTTATCGTACCAGTCACTAGGCTAAGAATTTATCTGGAGTGAAATACGTCAGATGGCATCAAGAACCGCTGCTTAAAGAATCTGGAAAGCTTCTTACGTAGAGTGAAATACGTTAGATGGCACTAATAATGCTGCTCATAGCGTGTAGAGAGCTACTTGGATATTGTGAAATACGTCAGATAAAACTAAGAATTCTGCTTGCAGCATCTAGAAAGTTATTTAGACTGGATAAAATACGTCAGATGGCACTGAGAGTGCTGCTTGCAGCATCTAGAACGCTATTCCGGTTGCATGAAATACGTTAGATGGCACTGAGAGTGCTGCGTGCATCATCTAGAAAGCTACTTTGATATTGCGAAATACGTCAGATAAAACTAAGAGCGCTGCTCACAGCATCTAGAACGCTATTATGGTTGCATGAAATACGTTAGATGGCACTAAGAGTGCTGCGTGCATCATCTAGAAAGCTACTTTGATATTGTGAAATACGTCAGATAAAACTAAGAGCGCTGCTCACAGCATCTAGAATGCTATTCCGGTTGCATGAAATACGTTAGATGGCATAAAGAACGTTGCTTGCAGCATCTACGAAGCTATTTAGGTAGATCGTAATACGTCCGACAAGACTGAGAACGCTGTTTGCAGAATTTAGAAAGCTATTTGGGCTCCTAAATATTGCACGCGGCCTAGCAAAGGTATAAAAAATTACGTGAGCGGACCAGCAGACCTACATACTGTAGTAACCTCACGATAACGTGTAGAGGCATTTTGAGACACGTTTGACTCGCATGTTACCCCTTTCGGCAGTGGACAAAGCCATCTAGGTTGCCACACACTAAATGCAGCCTAAAAAAATCTGAACAGACATTACTACGTCGTTAACGACACATTACAACACCAATATCAGTCGTTCCTTACGGCATAGGAAAGATGTCTAGACTGGTACAAGACTCCTATAAAATCAAGTCCAGGTTTTCTCTTTTTGTACTAAGAAAATCAAACACGAAACAACTACCATTATGGCTTCCTGGACTATTCAGGTCACTAACTCGACAAGCTCTACTCAAACGTATTTCATCTATCAGCAACCACCGGACATACAAGGAGTACCATCGTTTTCATGCATCACGTTTCAACAGGTCAATATAAAAACAGGTCAACAGGGTTATTTCAGGATACCAACCAATTATTTGGTTGTTTGTGGATCCAGCCCAAACATTCCGCTTGCGCCCGGTGTAGTACCTAGCATCTCTCGGTCATCTTCTCTAACTTCAGGGTCAGAGAATGTAATGATTGATGTTACTCCATCAGCTGGTCCGACCATTACAATACATTCTGCAAAACCTTCAGAGTTTCTTGCAACCATTAAGACGGAAGATCCAAATTTTGAACCAAATGGTACGTGGATAGCGGTGTGCTTGATCGTCATCATTGGGCATCATAGACTTACAATATCAAACTCAAGATCACGTCTTTTGCGGTCTTGGCATCACTGACCCTAGCAACAACGCCTGTTCAACTACTGTCTGGGAGATTATTGCGCCAACCAGTTATAATGTCCAATTCCCGCCAAACACTTTTTACATTGGGTTTTCCGCAACTCCTGTTATAATCGGTGATATAGTCAGCAGCAGTACCTCTTCTACTTGGGGAGAGATTACTTTTACCGATTCTGCGGACCCTTTCTGCAAAGTCACTCAAAACAGTGACTTGACCTTTACTGTTTCCAGCCCTACGTCAGCCATCAAGGAAACATAGAGAGCGTAGTGTACTGTAAGCATACTCATTCTCTCTGGAGTCCTCTTGCACAGTCAATGTCTACAACTATTTTAATTCAGGGACTGATCTTTAGTCATATCGACTTATAAAACGTTGGCTAGCTAGACGCATGTTGAAATTATAATTTATGTAGATGAATCTATTTCACTGTGCTTTATTGTCCAATTCGATTTTATCAAATAAACTCACTATAGAAAGCTAGCCTTAAAACTAAGAACTACTAGCTTGAGAAACAGAAGGATTCTGAAACCAGTCCTTCCAATATGCAAACAAGTCAACTTTATGAAACGTCATAGAGCCAGATCTCCGTTGGTGGACAATCTCGTACATCAATTCATGCCACCACCCTTCCTGGTCCCTTGCGTAACGCTCCATGATGAGTGGTATGGCCGACTTCCCCATCCGGACGAGGCGATTGTAAGAATCATGATTTAGATAATCAGTAGAACGACTTGAGCGTAAAATGTGGCTCTGATCCTGAATCCAAAGATCTGCGAGGGCATTAAAGGCACTGACATCACTAGAGAATAGGGTGACATCTGCCTGAGCCTGATTGTTGAGAAAATAGTAGGTTGTCAGTTCATCTGGGTCAACTCTTTTGGTCGCATCTGTTTCGAGCATGTTGTCTAGAAAAAAATATTGATGTTAAAACTTCATTCTATACATTATATATAGAAGCTGACTTACATAGCTGCACAGCAAATGCATCATCTCCAGTTGTCAGCTTTGCAACGACTAGAGGTAGAACAGTCGGTCCTAAAGCGACTACAGCCTCCCACTGTGGTCCAGTTGCCCGGGCAGCAGAGCTGTGAAAATAATTGTGTTGGTAAGAAAATGCTAAAAGGAGAGCATAGTAGTGAATACCTTTGTTGCAGAGCCATGTTAAAAGTCGAAAACCATGTCCCCTTCCAAGCAGCGTACAGGGTGTCGAAATTATTAGTAAGCTCTGGATATGAGGTTTTGATGGAGTCTGCCAGGGTAGCGATTTGTTGCACAACTTCCTGGCTTGCAGGTTCTAGCTCGAGATCCTGAGGAAGGCTCCACGAAGTTGTTGCTGGACAATAATGACTAACAATATCTCCGTACAGTATGCCGCCAACTAATCCGACGCGTGGATGGGAGATCCTAAAATCCTCTCCAAGCTTGCTGGACCATGTGGTTCCAAGTAAACATGAAGCGTGAGTCATTTCTCCATTCAGAGCATATCCATCGACTGTACCCAAATTTTCTGCGCAAGGTTTAAAGCCAAGACACTTGTCTTCAAGGTATTAGCAAATGAGGTAGTAATTAGGAATACTTAAAAGTTTGCTCACATAGCAATGTGAAACTATTCTGGTCAGACGGTGGGTCGATCCAAGTCCAAGTGATACCCATAGACCATGCAATACAGTTATACGACAGTGTTTCAGGAGCTTGCCAGAAGGTGTAACTTCTGTCCAAGTTTGGAAAATCTGGCGATAGAGAATCCCATTCAGCATCTGTAACGGGGCGAGAACCCATTGTGGGCTTTTTTGTAGTAGTATCAGTGGGGTTAACCAAGATTGTACAAATTAGAGGATAAACAAATAACGACTCGATTGACTGTAAATACTGCTGGTTAAAGTATGTGATTGTAAATGGGAATCCAAGCTCTAAGGATGGATTTTATAGTTTTCCTAGGTGACAATTGATGTGACATGTGACGTTTTGTATCGATCCATCATGCAGCTTAACTGTCTTCAGTATAGACTCTACTGAATTGCAACCTACTCTGTTTGCTCAACAGGAAGATTTATTGAACGAGCCATTCTTTCCTAGGACAAGATGTACAGTACATACCACGGATTGCTCCGCCCTCTAGCCATGTTCACCATAACGCTAACACTGCAAACGGCAGTGTTGGGATAATCTACCTTCCAACATTAGCTATTGATGAACAAATACATATCTTTGACTAGAAACCCATTAAAAGAATTTCCGGTATCAACGAGTTCTAGATTTTTATTTTAGTCTTAAACTGGAAAGACCGAACGACTCGCCCATATTTGCGCTAAGATAACCTTGGTTTATACAATTTGGTTTATACAATACAAAAGAAATCTACATCATGGATTTAGCTGTTAGCAGCACATTCGGACCGATTAATCCAATTTGCAATTTCTGGTTCAACCTGTGACAAAAACAAGTTGCGAGAGAGGACGCTTTCGACAACCCGTTTTCCTGTGAAAACTTTACCTAGCACACCCTACTCTGCTTGCAATGGGCACTATTGGGCTATGTTTATTACATGCAACACTAGGTGCCCCTAAATTGCAGCAAACATACATTGCAATAGAGCTCTAGGGTAACTTTACAAAACCTTCCCTTCTATTGGACAGACAGATTTGAAATTGGGGTCCGTTATAATCTATGAAGATGTAGGAGATGCAATGTCCATAGGGTAGGGTAACTGTCAATTCCACCTGTAGAGTTTCTATGACAGCTCATCGTCTACCTGAATTCTAGTATTAATTCTTTCGGCTTAGGAGAGTACCCCTTAACCCCAACTAGTTCCATACCTTTAGGCACAACGGAACGATTATAGCAGCATTGCACAGCTATAGCTACGTTATATTATAGTCTATAATTACTGTTAATTAAGCAAGCTAAAAACTCGATATGTTTATTTGTAACTTATACATTAAAACCACTCGTTCCAAAATAAAATTCCACTCATCAAGAGACTTTTCTAGATGATAGGTACCGTCGCGATTTAGTCTAACAGAAGCGGTCTAATGCTATGTGATGAGCCACTTGCAAGATTGAGATTTTTGCAAGGCGATCAAACTTAATAACAGATCGAAAGATCAAGAGATCAGTGATCGACCCTTTTTTAATTACGGCATAGTTACGTTGTCACCTTGACATTTGTACGTCACTAATGCCGATTGGAAGCTATCTCACTACTTACCTCAGTAACATGCCAGTTTTAGCGACAATAATAAATTAAACACATTTTCCTCCCCTTCCTCCTATTTGTATTGTAATACCTACTGGTCTCTTGGAAGTTGCGCTATCTTCTATCCAGACTTTGCGCTTTTCCATCTAGAATAAGAGTACTCATACAAATCTCCTTAGTTGATCAGCATGTTGCTTTTTCGTACATTACGCTCCCCACGAACATGGCTTCTACTTACATCGTTTCAACTATCTATGTCCGCTGCATTTATAAGTATGATGGACGGAACATGTACAGGGCAAATCACTCAAGAGGAGTTGGATGGATGGTACGCCGATGCTTCGATCCTTTCAAATCGGGTTTATACAGCATGGCAAACCGGCGGTAATCCTGCGTTAGCGGATCCATTGTAAGTCTATCCATTAAGATTCCTTGCAATGTTACAGAATTCGAAGGTTGCTGTTGTTAAGAAAGCCTATTTTATTGTCTCCTTTAACAATTTCGCAAGTTATTTATTCAATCAATGCCCTACCTAAATTAGTTAATATGCTAAATTTCACAGAACTAAAATGCTCTTCGGTTCACTTTCCACGTTGCAATATCAACTTGCTGGAAACGTTATACGAGCGGTGGAAACGATGGCTACTCTTGACAGCACGCGTTTCTATATTTATGTCACCTGCCCCAGCACTTGCGATGGTGACCCTACACTATCCACCGATAGCAGCAACTCGATTCCAAATCTTTCGATTTGCCCCCGTTTCTTCCAACTCAAAAACCAATACAGGTCACTACCGGACGTACCAGGAAATAACGAAATGTGCGAGACGGCACCACGATATATGGTTACATGGTATCCTGGTGCGTGAAAACAGTTTCCCTTTAACAAGTGGGCATTAAGTAACACTAGATGCGTAATATTCAGGTCAGTTCCTCTTTCACGAAGCTTTGCATAATCGAATCCAACTTAGAAAAGAAATACATGACCCTATTTATGGCCGTGATTATACTTCTGACGATTCCGGATATACTGTTGGCACCCACGGAATCCCGTCGCCTTTTATAGACGTTTTACAGGTAGATTCCGGCCGAGCTTCAATCAATAACCCAGACACTTATGCCTGGTTTGGATTATGTCAGTATTCACGTTTTTCCATCTGATCGTGGCTATTTCTAGCTTTAATATACTGCAGAGAGCTAATTACCGATGTCTAGTAATGTTTCGGCGCCTTTATTGCGGATGGGACAATGGAGTACCTGAAGCTCAGCTGCCATTCCTTCAAGCTACTGTTCCATATGGTAATCCATTAGAAACTCAAGGAGATCCAGCAGTATGGCCTCAGTTAGTTGTTACGACCTGTCCGCTGGGCACTTCTACACCAACAATTGACACCGTCCCGTCACAAGAGAGTGGTAAAATGGTGGATGTTCTATATTGTTGGATCCCAACTACGACACCAAATTGCCCAGATAACTTTCAAAGAGAAGTATTTAACAGTCTAGGCGTAACAGGAACTGGCATGGAAACTACTCAAGGGTGTTTCCCTGTCCCTAATGTTGAAGGAACAAGAGCACGTGAGTTGTAACGAGTGGTGAAGGCACCATTATGCAGCGACGGATAGCTGCTGGATTTGGCAGCCAAAACCGGAGTTCTTCGACATAAGATATAAAAAGTGTTAGGGATAACCTTAAAAGTAAGGTTAATATAAGAAGTATATAGCAACTACTCAAGAACAACAATTTTATTCCTTGCGCCTCCGCCCAAAATTTCATCTACATGATCTCCACTGAGATTAGGGAGTCTCGTTCCCAAGCTTACTAGGGCTCAATTAATGCTTGTATCGTCTCAGCAATCGAAACTATGTGAGAGAACATTGACAAAGCTAATCGTGGTCAGCTAGGAAACGATTGATTGAATATTAGTAGAATCTCTCGACTGGCCTCACAATCATGTGACGTAAGACAATGTGATATTCACGTCTGGTAGTACAGGCGAGCCTAAAGGAGTCGTATGGGAGCACAGGAAAGGACAGCGTCAAAAATGGAGTAGCCGTACAGATATCCTGGTTACATACGGCCTGGCCGAAACCTGCCTTCATTGCTCATACAGGGAGGCACACAGTGCAACCGCTGCGACTAATATTGGACACACAGTCGGGGGAGCTCGATGAATTACGGACTCTTTAAACCTAGAGCGCATTATTCCCATCGTAGAAAGGATGGACAAGTCAAAATTCAGGGCTAGCGTACAGAAACTGGAGAGGTTACACTTGACGCGGAGCGATAGGCATGATGGAAGTTAAACACATTAAAACAGCTACTAGCCACATCACCAGCCACAACCTGTCACATGTAATTGTGATAAGATAGAGTATATTTGTGTGGCTTTAGCGCCGGGGAAAGTGGCGGGAGCTACCCACCCGATTTGTTCCTGGTTTTGGCCCTCCAAAATACCTTCCAACCCAAATCTTCAGCTCCCTTCTACAATTTAGCTTCATAGAACACAAATCAGAATAGATAAGTAGATTAGTAGTTGAGTGGGTGACCACTAGCGAATACCCACTGTTGTATGTTTTTGCTATTTTGTTTTTTTTGCCACGTCCTATAGTAATAATATACAAAAAGCTGCAGAAATTAGTCTACAAATATGAAAAATTCAACAAAATTCTCCCATCTCCTATACGTAACGTAAAACATTCATTCATGTGAAACTTAACAAGCTCCATCAATTCTACTGAAATGCCTTCAAGACGATTCTAAGAAATGCGCCCACGCCGTGTGAGTCAATAGGCCAACCCACCTGCTTATATAATCACGAAGTGACGGGGACAAGGGTACCTGATAAGATCGCGATAGCAGCCACAAAAATCGCGGGGCAGAACGACGGACGGGCCTGGCTGGATACACACCCTGGTATATCAACATACAAGATGACCAACATCGCCGACGACGAGTCCACGGAGGCAATTATCGTGGCAAGCTGCAAGCAGACGCGCTTCCACATATCTGACACCGATAAGTCTACAGAGGTTGGTTTTATTCTGTCGACCCCCTCACGAACCCTCGACTGACGTAGCTCTATTGGGAGTAGATCGATATTGCTGGGCTTAGTCTTGGTATTGCACCCTCTGGAGCCGCTGGGAAAGCGAAGAAAGGAAAGGGCAAGACAGCTTCTGCCCAAGAAAAAGAGCTTCTTGTCAATGCCGAGCTAAGATTGAAGTCTGGCATTCACTATGCGCTGCTGGGGCGCAATGGGAGTGGGAAGTCAAGTAGGTACTCTGAGAGCTATATAGAGCACGACCAGCCATTTGAAGCCAGTGGAATCTAAATACAGTCTATTATGCAGCAGCAGTGATCAATATAAGCTAACGCATACGCCAGCAATTCTTCGAGCCCTCGCAGACAGGATAATCCCCGGTCTTCCACCTTCTCTCCGTGTCGCCATCCTTCAGCAGACGAGCACAGATGCTGAAAACCTCTCCCCTGCAAAGGATGGACCCAGTACCTCTGCGCCAGAAGACACAACAGTGTTGCAACATGTCATCGAAGGAGACCAGTCACGCACTGCTCTAATCCAGGATCTACAAGGTTTGCCACCTCTTCCCCCATTCCGGGAAACCTGTGTAATTAATATTTACCCACGCCATAGCCTTGGCAGGAACAGATTCAGATCGTGAAGATGTTATAAAACAGGTTCGAAGGTATCGCCAGATGCGTTATAACCGCCTGAACCGTGATCTGCTGGAGGTGCAGAATAATGCGTATCGACGGAGTGGAGCGCGTGGGTCACAGGCCAGAAAAGACCTCATCGCATTTGAGAAGGAGGTTGCGGAAGCAACGGAGAAGTATGGCCCTCACAATCAAGTTATGATCAAGTTATGTGATAGTTTAGGTACTGATGCTACGGTACAGGCTTGCAGAAGAAATCGCAGACCCCGACTCCCCTGCTATCCAAGACGAATTCCTCACTGCGTCGTCCCTGCTTGTCGACCTTGAAGCCGAGCTGGAAACTGTATGCCCAGCCCCCATCTAAGCATTTATCCCAACCATCTGACATATTCCAGATGCCTCTACCAGCCCTGGAAACCCGCGCCCGTTCCATCCTTACAGCTCTCGGCTTCACCGAAGCCACCCTCGCCAAATCCATCCCCACTCTCTCAGGAGGCTGGCGCATGCGCGCCGCTCTCGCGCGCGCCCTCCTCCAAAAAGCCGACCTACTAATCCTCGACGAACCCACCAATTTCCTCGACCTCCGTGCCATCATCTGGCTCCAATCGCACCTCATCGCCCTGCGCGATAGCCAAGCCGGGACTACGGTGCTCCTAGTCTCTCACGACCGCGAGTTTGTGGACAGTGTCGCTGAGGAGGTTATCCTGGTAAAGGAGCAGAGCCTCGAGTATTTCCGTGGCAATCTCTCAGCGTACGAAGAGGACTTTCGGTCACGAGTGCTGAACTTGACGAGGATGCAGGAGGCGCAGGGGAAGGAGACAGCGAGGTTGGAGAAGTCAATTCGGGAGACGATTAAGGTGGGGAAGAAGACTGGGGATGATAATAAGCTCCGTATGGCGAAGTCGCGGCAGAAGAGACTTGAAGATGGCGCGGGGATGCAGGTTAATGAGAAGGGACAGCGGTTTAAACTGTCTGATAGGATGGGTGAGTGCTCTTGATCTCCTGATGCCCCTGATACCCGCGAGAGCCCATGATCCCCTTGAAAGCCCCCGATGCCCCTCCCTTTACACATAATGAACATCGACTAACTAACCCCAACAGGCTGGTTCGACAGCAAACACGCCGCCATCGAAATCCCCAAAGACGAACAAGGCGTCGCCATCTCTCTCCCCCCCGCCCCCGACCTCCGCTTCCCCGGCCCCCTCATCTCCCTCGAAGACGTCTCCTACCGCTACGCCCCCACCTCCCCCCTCGTCCTGCAGAACATAACCCTCTCCCTCCACTTCGGCGATCGCATCGGCATCGTCGGGCTTAACGGCGGGGGGAAGACGACGTTGCTTAACCTGCTTACTGAGAGTCTGCGCCCGAATAAGGGGGTGGTGACGAGGCATCCGAGGTTGAAGTTGGGGTATTATTCGCAGCATGCTGTGGAGGATTTGCAGACGCTTGGGCGTGCGGACGCGGGGTTGACGGCGTTGAGGCTGTTGGCGGAGGATTCGGCGGGGGAGTTGGCGGAGCAGGAGATGAGGGGGTTGTTGGGGTCGTTTGGGTTGCAGGGACGGACGGCGTCGGATGTGCCGATTGCGAAGTTGTCGGGGGGACAACTTGTGAGTTTTTTTTTTCGGCCGCGTTGAGATTGTTTACTCTGCTGATATGTGTTTTAGGTCCGCCTTGCGCTCGTCCGTATCCTTTGGTCCCGTCCTAACCTCCTTATTCTTGATGAAGTGACTACCCATCTCGATTACCGCACTGTCATTGCCCTTGGTGAGGCACTGATAGACTATAATGGCGCGGTGGTGCTGGTGACGCACGATCGGTATCTTGTTCGTCGCGTGGTGGAAGGAGAGGTGTTCACAGACGACGGAGATGATGAAGGCGGTCGAGGGGAGGAGGAAGAGGATAACAGGAGGAGAGTGGTGTATTCGCTGAGCGGGGGGAAGATGAAGGTTTTGGAGAAGGGGATGGAGGGGTTCGTGAGGGTGATGGAGAAGAGGGTCGCGAAGATGGGGATTTAAAGTGAGTGAGTTGACTCTCTTGTGGATGGGCGGTGTAAATAGGAGTTGTGATGGGGATTGGTATCATATCGGATATCCACCATGTCAGCGATTTTATCCCGATTTACGACCCGCGCTTCTTACGAATGGCGGTCTTCACCCAACTCTTCACGACCTTACACAAGCAGCCCGGCTCCTGCTCTTCTTCTGTGTCTTCAGGCACACGTTCAACCCTTTCAACCCGTTCAACTCCCCTCGCCTCTTCAAGCGTAGAATGTCCATACCGCCCCCCCTCATACGGATTCTCCTCCGGCGGCGGGGACCTGATCTCGCTGAGACGGGTGTACGTGCCTGGGAGTGTATACTGCGCGTCTTCCGGTGGCGATGATGGATGGGGTGTGGTGGGCATTAGTGGGATAGTCCTACGCGGGCGGTCAGGAGTGGTAGAGGAGGCGGTCTGGAGATGTGTGATCGACTGAGACGAAGAGAAGGGGGTGTGGTGATGTCATTGCCAGGTTGGAGGATATGGGGGAGAGTATGTGTATATGGCATGTTTTACAACTTCACTTGAGTCTTTATTGAGTAAATCTATCTACAACTCATAACCTCTGCATCCTATCTCACTCACCATTCACCATCATCATCATCACCACCAGTAGGCCTCTCCTCCCCCACCAAAAAAAAAAGGGGCCACAACCACCACCCATATCACGTGACCCACCTCGATCGCATCAGTATCACCTGCCTACTTTCAAAACACCCCCTTTTCCCCCTATCTCCCTACTCAGCCCCGATGTACGGACGATCAATCAACATCAGCATCCATCCCAAACATTTTTTTTTTCACCCCCTTAGCGCGGCCCCAGGAGAGGACAAAGACATCCGCTCGTTCGGTGGCCTTAGCCTTAGCCTGGACTGGACCCTACGCGTACATGGACCCTATGCGTACCAAACAAAGTATAATGCTTACTCTCACTACCCCTTTCCCGGCGGCCGAAGAGGGGAAGCGTTGCGATGATCGATCGGACCTCGCTAGTTGTGGTGAGCTTGTGAGCTTGTGAGTGAGGTGTCGCGTTGTGCTGTGATGCGTCGCGTCATGTGTGTACTGTGGTGGTTAAGGGGGAAAATAAGTCGTCGTCGGCACGTGCAATCCCCACCTCCTCCTCTCCCACCTCCCACCTCCCACCTCCCACACCACCTCCGCCCTCGTACCCAGAGTTGAAGTGGGGTAAAAAGTCTCGAGAGGGGAAGGCAGGAGACGAGGAGAATGCAACACACACGAAACTGACACGCTGCCGCACGGACGTAGAATCTCGGCATCTCGGTAAAGAGACATGTGACTGTACTGTCCACCTGTACACCTGCCTGGTGTAATCTCCGCCCACCCACCAGGACATACGGAGCGGCGGAGACACCCACCCCTGTCGCTGGTTCGTCCCTCTCTCTCCGCCTCCGCACGATGCAAGAATGCCGCTATCCGTGGAAGGGAAGAGGGGAGGGGGACCCACTGTTTTCTCCAAATTCTCCGAGTGGATGCGGGTGGAGGGATGGGAGGAGGATTTGGGGATTGAAGGCGAGGGTTGGGTGGGAGGAGTGGGAGGAGTTTGGTGTGGTGGTGGCTGTGGCTGTGGGTGACTGTGGGTGACTGTGGGTGACAGGGGGGGTTAGGGCTCTAATTGGGGAAGGGATGAGGGTTTGGTGGTTTGGTCGGGAGGGATCGGGGGTTGAGGTTTTATTTGTGGTGTGCGTTTTGAGCGTATGCGTATTCTGTATGCTGCGTATAATGTTGTCAAGATGGTAAGTAGTTGACAGCATGAGTAACCACGTGAGCCATCTACAATGCCACTATTCCCACCCAACAGTCACTCCAGCTCTTGGTATCCTCCCCATCCCATTGCACCCCTGCTGTGTTGTGTCAGTCTGTCCTCACGTGGAGTCATCCCTTACGTGAGCGCTCCATACAAACAGTCCCCAGTCCACAGTCCACAGTTCGATTCGCACAGTACGTACGACACGATTTGTACGATTCGCACCACAGCACATACAAAAGTACCGTGCCACCAACCCGCCGCTAGTCTTGGCACTCCCTCCCCCCTCCTCCGCCGCGCCCCTCGGCGGATGGCGGGGTCGGTCAACTTTGGTGGGTGGTGGTCTGGGCTGGGCTGTCGGCGATTGATGACCGATGGCGGTGGCCGTGGTGGCCGTGGTGATGGTGGTCGTGGTGGTTGATGCGTGGCTGTGGTCACTGCGTTGGGGCTTGGCATGGCATGGCATAGGGGATTGCGGATTGCGGGCGGGCATGGGTGAAGAAGGGAGGACGGAAGGGAGTTAATTGCGCGTTCATGGGCGGCTAGGAAGTCAGGAAAGGAAGGCAGTCAATCATGCTGATGGGATTGCGGATTGTGGGCGTTCATGGGTCAGTCTGAATGACTTCAGATTGCGTGTTCATGGGCCACTTTGTCAGTCAGTCATGCAGATGGGATTAGGATTCGAGTTTGTTGAGCAGTTCGTTCGTTCGTCCGTTCTGTGGTTTAGTACCAGTAGTTCGCTCAATAGCCGTTCATGTTTCATGCCGTAGCCCATGCCGTAGCCCATGCCGTATACAGTCGTCCAAGCGCACGTAACTCGATGGCGCACGCGCAGGCAGACGAACCCAGCGTCAAGACCAGGCGTGAAACCCTCGAACCTGCTCTGCTGTAAAAAGGTACATATACTGTTCTGTTCTGTTTATAGATGGACTAACTAAGAAGAAAAGTAAAAGTAGAAGTAGATCGCATAAGGGTCTGAGCCTCGCTCGTTTCCTTTTGCTCGTTTGAGTCTGTCTGAATCTTCATTTCTGAGTCTGTCCAGTCTGTCCCTGTCTGTCAGTCAGGCTGCCTGCCTGTCTATCCGTCTAGGCCTGTCTCTGTTGTAGCCTGCAACCAGGATGTACAGTATGGGGATTATGCATCTCGTGGATAGTATGGATATTGGTCCCCCCAGCCCCAGCCTGCTTCCGTGTGCGTGTTTCTGTGGGTTTTATGTACGTTTTGTGCCGTTTTGTGTGCGGAGAGACACAGAGAGAGAGAGGGAAGGGAAAAGAAAAGTGGAGACCTCCCGATGAGCAACCGCCGTTTCTGTTGAGTTTGGGGTGTGCTGATTGGTGGGATGTTGCTTTAAAGTGGAGACGTGTAAATGGCTGGGGAGAGAGGGTGAAATTCGGTAGTGTGCCGAGTGAGGAAGGATGCTAGTAGGCTCCTAGTACTACACTCTGTCCGTCCGTGTATGCCTCTCCAAGTCTGACTCTCCTCAAACATATTCCGCCCGGGGTGCCGACTCCGGATGTTGTTGTTCGAAGTCGGAGAGTTTAGAGTGTGTACCTGCGTGTTTGTATACCATAAACGCCACACAATAATAGAGTATGGTCGATTGATGCCGTCGTATCCTGTATCCATGCCCCATGCCATCCGTTTCAATGCGCCGAATACGCAGGAGTTTGTATGAGTTGTGTATGCAGTGTATGCACCCAGGGAAAAGAGAGAGGGCGCACGCATGCATAAGCACATGTGATTTGCGATCTCCGTCCGTCTCAATCTCTGCGGTTATGCCAGTCTCTGGTCTGATCTGCTTTGTGTTTCGCGTTTCGTGTCTCATTCCCCATTCAACTCCACGTGATCCACCTCCAGTGTGCACCCATAGTGTATGGAGTACTGTATGTCTCGTCTCTCTCTTGAATGTTTGTGCTGTGGGTGGGTTCTTGGCATGGGTGGGAAGCGAGAGGAGCGGGAATCGATGGAGGCAGTAGGAGAAAAGAGGGACGGACAGGACAGCCAATAGCGACGAAGCAGAATTGGAGAGAGTGGGGGCGTTGGAGTGGAGGAGCGGAGAGAGTTGGAGAGAGAGTGAAAAGCCACAGAGAAAAGCCCAAAAAAAACTGTGTGCATAGAGCGGTTTTGGGTGAGGAGTGACACAGCGGTTGCCAGGTTGGGATTAGCATGAGGGGTTACGTACGGATGGACTCGGGATGGGCGAGGGTGAGGGTGGTGGATGGACGGACATCGTGGACACACACACACAACACACCTTGGACGCATGAGGGATAGACACGGGACTTGTACGGCACTCTCCATGGCGACTCCATTGTGGGACTGGTATGGACTGTATGGACTCCATTTTGGACTCCATTTTGGACTCCATCGCTCTTTCCCTCTTTGCCTCTCTGCTGCCTTTACTATGTAAACTAGCTGGCCTTTAGCTGCCCTTAGTTGACTCTAGCTGCTCGCTCGTTCTTCCCTCTTTGTTTCCCCTCATCCCCTCATTCCTCTGTGTGTCTCTCTCCCTCTCTCCACCGCCGATCACGAGTGGGCTGTCCCTACTGTACTGTACATCTGTACTGTACATACTTTATACCACAGTAAGTTAGTCAGCTTCTTTCTTCTCTGCCCAAGTGGATCTCTACCATGTTATGGTGGACCCACACATACCCTTATGAAGTATAGATCCAATCGCCAGCAGTGGCCAGCAATCTCCCTCAGCCCTTCATCTTCGCCGCCTTCCCCCTTCGGGCTGTTTTGGGAATTTTTTGCAGACCTGGAGACCAGAATTTGCGACAGGGATGCGACAGGGGTTCTCCATGGATTTTCTCCATCTCCATCTTGCTGTTAGTATTTCCGCGCTATCCCCAGCGAGACGGACATCCACTCTTCCATCCATCCCCATCAAAATCATCCACCACCATCCACCCACCATCCCTGGCAGACGTCACTAATACCGTGTCTAATGGTGCCAACCGCACTAATGCCGTAATCAATCTAGCGTGCATGTGGAATAGCGTGCGTCATTTTGGACTGACTCGGTGGGAGAGTCTCACTCTTTCTTTTCACTCGGCGCTCGGCCGATGCTGCAAAGAACAAAGAGAGAGAGACAGAAAGACAGAAAGATACGTACCTGAATCCCGCTCCAATGGCCGCCCGCGCGTCTGGAGTGACCACCCTAAGTATCTCCAGTACCCGAGTACCTGCGTGCCTGACCCTGAACTTGACTGAAGTTGACTGAACTGCTGTCTGCTACTGGACACACTGCTCTAGTTGCTGTTTGGCTAGATGTCCACATTTATGGGGAGTACTTGGTCACAAGCTTGCCACTGCACCGAGGGATACTTGGTCATAGTATTGCATTACACTATTATTACCAAGTACCCTCTCTACTCTATGCGGCAAACCAAGACACGGGGTACTTCATGGGGTACTTGGCCTGTCCCACCTCCCATCTTCCCTTCTCCACATTCTCCATCTCCTCCTCCTCCTCTTCTCCTTCCCATCCCCCATCCCCATCTCTTCCCTTCCCTTCCCATCCCCTCTTTTTCCCCTCCATCCCACAATCCTCTAGTACCTCTAGTACACCTATCTACCTTCTCCCTCTACCGTCCCAACCAAGGAACGTCCATTTCATATAAGTCGAGCCCCATCCCCACCTTCCCCCGACTTTCCTCACTTTTTTGATTCCCCTCCTCTCTGTCATCCACCGTCCCTCCGCAACCCAAGAGGTTCCTGGCTATTTGCTTTTGTTTATACGATTCTGTATCATTGCTTGCTTGCTTGCTTTTGATTGCCTTATACAAAAGGAATCATACCCAAGAAAAGAAACAATCTCCACTCCACCACTCTAACTGCATATTTATTTATTACAAAGAGATCGACAACCACCACCACCACCACTATATCTTCATAATACAGAGAGACAAGAATCCAGAGACCATATCCTCTACCTAGGCCAATTTGCTTCCCTTTACAGAATCAGCTGTAGATAAGCACCGCCCAACTTGCAAATAGCAAAAAGCTGCCCAAGCTCTAAATAAGCTCACACGACTTATCACACGCGCTACCGATCGATGCCTCACAGCTCCCCACCACAATCACAATGACGCCTCCAACCACCTCCCCAGACAGCTCCCCGCGCTCCCCCTCATCGCATCCGCCATCACCCAAACGCAAGGCCGATGCCTCCAACACCGCCGCCTCCAACCGCCCCGTCAAGCGCCGCGCCTCGAAAGCGTGCCAGTGCTGCCGCGCCCGAAAGGTCCGCTGCAACGTCGTCGAGCATGGAGCTCCGTGTACGAACTGCCGCTTAGATGAGGTGCCTTGCATTGTCACTGAGAGCCGGAGGAGGAAGTACGTTTACCTTTTTATTTATTTCTCCCGCCAGCCTGCCTCACGTGAGCAGAGCGATCAGAAAAAAATATACAACTAACACACCCCAGAAAGCACCCATACCACAGCCTCAAGCCCACCGCGGAGGAGACCATAGGTAGCCCCGCGCCGGGGGTGCACACGCACAGGCACGCGCACATGGAACTCCCGCATCAGCACTCCTTCTCGGCCGTTGAGGCGCTCGCCAACGGCAGCGTGAACCCAATCGATATCTCGAATGGGAATTTCCTAGGCGAGGACCACTCCGTCAGCTCTGTCGATCAGGATGATGAGATGGGAAATTTCCACGTGCCGCATGGTTTGTGTACGACTCACTTTTTACTTTTCCTCATTTCTCATTTTTTGCCTGGAAGGACCTAGCTGACAGTCATTAGACCACAACCAAATGTCGAATTTCGACCAATCCGCCACTCCGGGTGTCTTCTCTCTCGAGCCACCTACCTTCACAAACCTCGTCTCCGGCTTCGCAGCCGAACTTGCACCCACCTCCTTCGTGCCCACCAACCCACTCCCCCCGCCCCCGCAACAACGTCCGCAATCTGCACGCCAGCTCACCAATGGCCTTCTCCCCGCCTACATCAGGCCGTTAAACGCGCGCATCCCCATCGAGGATGTTGGCCACCTCTGGAAGAAGGGTGCGCTCACCATCCCCGATGTGTCTTTCCGCGACGCCTTGCTCAGCGCCTACGTCGATTATGTGCACCCATATATGCCACTGATCGAGCTTCGCGAGTTCCTGGGTATCGTGGAGGAGGGAACGGGAGATTCTGGCAGAATCAGCTTGTTGTTGTTTCAGGCGGTTATGTTCACAGGCGTGGCATTCGTGGACATGTCGTATCTCACTGCGGCGGGGTATGCCACGAGGAAGGACGCAAGGAAGGCGTTCTACTTGAAATCTAGGGTATGTGCAACCGCTTCCCCGGTAACACCCAGAAACTAACTTTTACAGGCCCTGTACGATTTCGATTACGAGACCGACCGCGTCGCCATCGTCCAGGCCCTCCTCCTCATGACCTACTGGTATGAGACCCCAGACGACCAGAAGGACACCTGGCACTGGATGGGCGTCGCCATCTCCCTCGCCCACACAATCGGTCTGCACCGCAACCCCTCCCCAACTTCCATGCCCCCGCGGAAGCAAAAGCTATGGAAGCGGATATGGTGGTCCTGCTTCATGCGCGACCGCCTCGTTGCCCTCGGTATGCGCAGGCCCACTCGCATAAAGGACGAGGACTTCGACGTGCCGATGCTTGAGATCGAGGATTTCGAGACGGAAGAGTTCCCCTCGCACATCCTCTCATCCTGCGGGACACTCCGCAACTCCAGTCTCCTCACCGACCTCGGACACCTCTGCATCGCCAAGGCCAAGCTCTGCCTCTGCATCTCCCACGTCCTCGGCGCGCAATACTCGGTCCTCATCCGCGACCAGGGCCAGGCCATGGGCCAAGAAGGCAACACCCGCAGCAGCGTGATGCTCTTCCCGAAGAAACTCGACCAGACCGACGAAGTGCGCGACTGCGACTCGGAACTAGCGGAATGGCTCGTCTCCCTCCCCGAACCCTGCCTCTACCGCGCCCCTACCCCCGCCGACGTCGACGCGGGACAAGCTAGCCTCGTCGTCCAGCGCGCACTACTGCATATGTGCTACCACGCCACGCTCTCCGCGCTGCACCGCCCGCAGGTTCTCCCCTCGGCCGAAACAGCCGCGCACCCGCAATGTCGCGCACTCCAGGACGTGTCGCGGCGACAGGTGCGCGAGGCATCCCGCGAGATCACGCGCGCTGCACAGGCGCTTTTCCATCTGCAACTCGCGCGTTACCTTCCCACCACCGGCGTCACTGTTCTCCTACCCGCTATCATAATCCACCTCCTCGACATCAAGAGTCCGAGCAGCGGCACCCGCGACGAGGCACGAAGGGGTTTCGCGACGTGTATGGGTGTTCTCGAACTCCTGCGCGATAACTACGCTGCCGCGGACTTCGCGACGCAGTTCCTCGGCGCGGCGATGCGGAAGGCTGGTATTGACGCCGCGGAGTCGCCGTCGGCGAGAGGAGGGGATATGGCAAATGCGAGGGCGGGGTTGACGCCGCCGCCGGACTCGTCGACGGGGGCTAGTGGTGCGGGTGCACCGCCGCCGTCGTCGACGACGATGATGGGGACGGTGCAGGCGGGGTTTTGGGATGGGACGAGTGGGACGACGCCGGGTGGGATGGGGGTTGGGGAGGTGACGACGCCGCCGGATGATGATGATGCGGATGCGGGGATGAAACTTGAGAACTGTGTTGGCGGCGGTGAGGAGGGGGTGTTTGAGGAGCAATTCGGGGCGCTGGTTGATTTTGGGGAGGGCGGGGCGGGGGGTGATGGTGCGGAGATGGTGGGGGGGATGCATGGGGAGAGTGGGGGGTTTATGATGGGGGGGATGGAGTTTGGTGGGGGGTGGGGAGGGGTGATGGTTGAGTAATTAAGGGTGGGATGGGGATGATGAAGGATGGGAGTTTGGGGTGTATAAAACCAGGCATTAGCGATTTTTGGGGTGGTGGTAAGGGAGGATGGGTGATTTTGGCGTTAGGATGGGGGGATAGGGATTTTTTAGGGTAGATATATATATGAGAGGAGAGGAATTAAGAATATTTTATGTTATGATTTTATTTTGTTCTGCATGTGATAGGTGTTAAGGATTATGAATGTAGATGGAGGGGAGGGCGTCTGTTAGTAGGGGAGAAGAGGAGGGACGCTATAAATGTAGATAGTAGGGAGAGTGATTGTTAGGGGTAGAGGCGAGGAGAGTGTCTATTACTATAGGATAGAAGGAGGGTGTCTGTTATTAGAAAAGAAGGGAATAGCGACTATTACAATAGGATAGCAGAATAATCGTGGTCGGAAGCGATATGTGTACGCTCGACTATGCAGAAGTAAAATACGTACGTAGCCACTAAAATTCGCAAGTACTTTTACATAGTAAATTATACATAAAGTGACTTAAGGTTATAAAAAGATAGAAATGTAGTAGATTTGTTTTAACAAAGACGTATATAAACTACCCTAAATTCTCTATTAGTATTCCTAAAATTTAATAGATAATATATATATGTATAATACTACTTATACTAGAAGCATTTAAAGTTTGTAAAATTATGAAGTTGTTAATTACTAAAAAGGATATAAAATAGTGTTTATATATAGGGTATAGAAAATAAGGAAAGTTGCGATGTTAGTAAATTACTACGTAAATTAAGCGTACGCATATCGCTTCCGACTATGATTAGTGACTATTAACATAAAAGATGGGAATAGCAACTGTCATAATAAGATGTAAGGATAGTGCCTATTAACACAAAAGAAGTAAATAGCGACTGTTACGATAAGATGCGAGGACAGAGGCCACAACTACGAGATATAGGAAGAGCGTCTATTCTCGTAGGACAACAGGACAGGATATGAGAGCCTATGATCACAAAACAAAAGAACAGCGCCTATAAACCTAAAATCCCTACATAGTCTCTATCCCTTAAGAACACTACGTGCAGCAGCCAACAACTCCCTCCTATCCTTTAGCGAATCCATGCCCTCGAAATCAAAATACCGCTGCGAAGAACACCCATGCTCAAAACGATCCATCGCCCACTTCCTCGTATACCACACATCCTTCCACCCCGTCCACTCCCTCTTCCCACTCCCCATCTCCCACCGCCCATTCGCAAAACCCACATCCATCCACCACGTGACGAACAGTCCCATCCCCAGGCCGCGGAACTTGCGACATCCGACACGCAGCACGGTGCGACAGCGCCGGCAAGAGACCATGTCCGAGATCGCGCGCAGCTTGGGGAACTGGCGCACTTGCTCTTGCACCTCCGCCGCCTTGCGGGCCATGGCGTTCTGGTAGCTGGCGGAGTGTGGGCAGGGGTGCACGGTGGGGTTGTAGTTGCCGTCGTCGCGGGGGAGGATCATGGAGACGCGGGTGCGCTGGTAGAGGGAGCCGGCGACGATGCGGTATTCCCAGGCGGATTGCGAGGTGATGCCGCCGTCGTAGGTGGTGGTGGCTGTGGAGCAGGGTTTGAGGTTTCGCAGGAGGGCGTAGGGACAGAGGTCGTGCTGGTCTAGGGTCATTGCTGTGTGGAAGATTTGGTGGCGGAAGGTGGGGGGGACGTAGGGGTGGTATTGGGCGTAAGCTTCGAGGCAGGGGGGGGTTGGGGAGGCGCTGCAGAGGGTCATGTAGGGGACGAGGCGGTTGCAGTAGAGGCAGAGGAGGCGGGGGGGGACGGCGGTGATGGGGTCGAGGGGTTGGTCGATCGCGGTGTATTTGAGGAGGCTGAGGAGCTCGGTGGGGGAGGCGCGGAGGGAGGCGAGGTATTCGGTTCCTGTCATGAGGCGGATGGAGAGGCAGGTGCTGGCGAAGGAGGCGGCGGCGGAGGGGGGGAGAAAGAAGGCGATGAGCTGGATTGTTTCTGGGGCGAGACGGCCGAGGGGGGAGTGGCCGAGGGATGGGGGCCGGGGTGGGGGTTGGGGGATGGCGACGAGAGGTTCGATACGGGGTTGGTGAGGGGGGGGGGCTTGGAGATGGGGGTAGCGGTGGATGAAGGCGGGGAGGCGGGGGTGGGTGAGGAGGTTTCTATGGCGGTGGAGGAGGGCGAAGAGGCGGCCGGGGAAGTGGTTGCGGACGATGACGAGGAGGAGGATGAGGACGGAGAGGACGGCTTGGGCGGAGCCCATTTTGCGATATTGAGGTATATGTGGAGGGTGAGGGGGATAGGGGCTGCGGCGGCAAGGACATGGGAGAGATAGGAACAGACAGTGAGATGACGTTATGAGATGGTTGGGACCTAGCTTGTGGGAAGAGATAGGAGATCATGTGAGAATGGTGGTTTGAAGTGGTATGATAGAGCTGGGCTGGCTAGGAACCAGCTGATGCTCCAGGAACAGCTCATGCTCCAGAATCAGCTCAGACCTTAGGAACAGATCATGCGCTAGGGGCAGCTCGTGGCCCAGGAACAGCTCATAGTGGCGCCATGTGGTGATTTGAGACTTCAGGGTCCAACTCCTCTCGGAGCCATTTGGGTTACTCACGCGGTACATATGCATATGGGGACTTCCATGCCGGAAAAAGGCTCGCACTGAAAACGAGACGGCCATGGCCCGGTATTGGAGTAATGTCTATATTGTAGTAACATGTTCGAACATTTGATAGGAATATACGACGAGACGTCGATGGTCCCTGCATGTCGGTCTGGGGAAATATTACTCCGCACGGTTGTCTCAGTAGCGCCAGCGCAGGGCGCGCTGATCGGCACGATCCATCGGGACGCCGGCGAATGAAAACGGAGAAATTAACGACCGAAGCGACAAACTTGACCCAAACTTGACCCTGAATGATCCAGGCCAGGGCAAATCAATAGCCGCGTTTAGTGCCCGTTTGTCACCCAATCGACTCTTGACGTCTTCTGTTTGTTTGTCCAGCGCATCGGATATCGCCCTTTCCAATCTTCGGCGTCCGACACAAATTGTTTATTGCTGGGTTTTCCAGCATGTCCTCTCTTTGATTTTCCTATTTCCATGTTTAGTAAAGGGACGTTGGTTTCCCTCTCGTCGACTTGTTCTTGCGTTTGTTGTCTCAGCGTTACAGCGTTGGTCGCCGCCGCCCATAGACGTCAATAGATACCCATACCCAGGTCAAAGACGGAAGGCCACAGAAACCCATCTCGATTTTCACCTCTCGCACAACATCTACGAACCCTGAACCCTACAACGACGGGACACCACAAAACCACGACACTCACGGCACAATGCGAGCTATTTATGCTGGATCTCCCGTCTTCGTCGAGGTTACATGACTTAGCAAATCCCCACTCAGCGATACAACAGCCATCCATCATGATGGCGAAGCACAAACGCGACATGTCTGCGTTCAGCATTCGAGATGCGCCGCCAGCCCTGCGCTTCTCGCCCACCTCGCTGCGGATGCGGCCACGATCGCCGTCGAAATCGCCCTGTCGACAACACACGCGCTCGCCGACCCGCTCGCGCATAACAGATGATATATTTGAGGATCTTTCTCCGGCGAGGATTCTGGAACGCTTCACCTCTGCGAGCGGCGAGCTGGCAAAGAGCATCGAAGCTTCGACCCCGGATCAGAAACAATTTGGGATAAGGGCTGCGGTGGCTAGCAAGAAGATTGAAGAATGGGCAAACGAGGTTGGAGGTTGGCCGTGGCCTACTATTGGGGCCGACGGATTTGTGATGCCAGAGAAAACGTATGGGATTTTTGGAGATCTGAAGGAAGATGATATGGGGTTGGAGGAGGAGGCTGATACGAAGGAATACTGGGGTAGCCTTCCTGCGCCCCTGGTCGAACTATACTCCAATCGGGTCTCGGAGATTTTTGACGACATGTTTGATCTGGACATTGAGGAGATCAAGAACAAGGTTCTCGATCTCGTTGCGACTGATGCGCAACCAGCAACTGCGACTGGTGAACATTCTCGTCCCACCACACCAGTGAAATCTAAATATACCCGACTCGACACCTTCACTGGTATGATCACCCACACCGTCCTCGATTCCCTGCCCAAGCTACACCGTTTGCGCCTGCTTCTCGATGTCTGGAGCATCCGCATCGACATTCTGCGTGACATCCCTTCTACCCTTGAATCCCTGCGAGACGCAGACACAATGCTGCAATCTGCGTGGGTGTCGCTTAAAGCTACAAACTCCAGCGGCGAAGAAATGATGCTCACACGCTCTGACTACGAAACTATGCAGGTGGCGCTTGGTGAGACAATCAGTGACACAGGGAAGATGATTGATTCGATGTTGGATCGGCTTGATGGGCGTGTTGATACGGTGCCCGGGCCGTGGCTGGATCAAATGGATGCCGTTGAGACGGATTATGGGAATTGGGCTATTGCAGCCGAGAGGAAAGTACAGGAGGGAGAGTGGGCAGTCAAGGCTGCCAAGAAGGCGGAGTTGGAGAAGTCTCTACAAATGCTCCAAGAATTGGCTGATCAACAGGCGGCTATGGCTGATGTTGGGACTGGAGACGAAGTGGCCATCGAAGAGGAGTGGGAGAAGGTACAAATAGAACAAGTTGCTGTGTCTGATCATGGGTCTATCCCTGCCACAACGGCGGAAAACATACCGATATCCGACGACCAAGTTCAGGAGTTACCAATAGGAAGCCTGGCAATATCTGACAATGGCTCTGACTTTGGCAACCCACTGGCCATGGAGTCACCCGCCACCAATGCACCACAATCGGATGTACCAAACACACTACAAGCTTATGCGGAGTCACCAGAGTCACGAAGCGACCGAGATTTCAATATTCCTTGGGGTTTCGATGGCCAAGATGATCGCTCTCCAACGGCCGGACGTGGTACGTATAAGCGAGGCGATGAGGCTGGAAGCCCTTCGCCGCCCGGTACAAGAGAGGATGCGGGAGGCTTTTGGACACCGTCCAGAGCCAGTCTTGAACCCAGTGAGAGGTCATTTCTCCTCGAACGAAGCCGAACGCCCTCCGTCAAGGGTCGAAACACTCCTCCCAGGCTGCCGTTGCCGTACCGAATTCACACTGAGGGCTCTCGGCCCGGATCGCCAGAAGCCATCCATTCCATGGCAGCGTCTCCATCACCGACAGGGAGCTCAAACCTCCGGCCTTTTATTCTGGGCACTAGCGCCGTTGTTAGTTCACAGCCGCCGTCGCCAATTATCCCACGAGGCAGGAGCAGTCGAAACTCGGTCGCGCCTTCCGGCTGGGATGTTGGAGACTCCCAAAGTGTGGGGTCAGGCAACCCAACATCAAGACGTGATTCTCAAACTTCACCCACATCACCAATATTCCCTTCATTCAGAGGGAGTCCCCTATTCCCTGGCTCGCGCTCATCATCGATCAGTCTTCGTCCAAGCACAAGCAAAATAAGGTCACAAACACTATTCGGCGACGAGGAAGAGCTTGCCTTGCTGGCAGCTGCGAGTGACCGCGCCGCTCAAATGTTAAGTACCCCACCAGCTCGCACAGGTCATACCGCAAATGAGCGCAAGAGTTCGCCAAGGCCGCACATCCCCACGTCAGATCCATTTACGGACGTCCCACAGCTGGTGCCCACGCCTACAACGCAGGCTGAGGCCCCGCTTACTCCTCCGCCAATGGCCGCTTCAGAGTCTATGCATGCAATCATGTCACCATCAAACCAACCTGCTCTTACGCGCCAATTTTCCGACGATGAATGCCCGCCGAGTCCGTCAAAGAGAACTATATTGGACGATGGGGGCACACCGCGTAGTCCCAAGAAGGGCAAGAAACCGCCCAAAGAGCGGAGGCTGTCTTTATTATCGATGAGTGACGACGATGATGAGAACCCACGGAGCTCAGCAAATAGACCAGCGTTACAACCAGGATGGCCTGGACTACAAGAGAGTGCGCCAAAATTTGAAATGAGAAGCCCCTGGGCACGAAATAAGAACTCTGAGTCGACGTCTTCTACCAGGAGGAATTCTACAGCCAGCCTCGGCGAGAAAGACCCCCAAAAGAGGTCTGGTGCGCCCAGTACACCTCTGGAGAAAGCGTCTGCGTTTTCTGCCCAACGTGACGGGGCAGATACCTCTCCTGAGCCACAATCTACCCATCAAACAGCTAAGGTTGTCATCGACGATGTTTTCGTCACTCAAGAGCAGGATTATAAAGAAATTTCAGCCGCACCACATACCCCCACAGATCTGGAGCATGCCACCTCTAATCCAAATCCGAATACTCACGGATCTGGGGCATCGGTCAGCTTTAAAGCTATAATAACCCCAGTCGAGGATGCATGTGACGATTGGCCTCGATTTTCAGACTCAGAAAACCCCATCAAGGTATCACCACCAACAAGCGCCAGTAATGAGGAGGAAATTCCGCCCATGGTCAAGGAAGATTCCCTAATGGACTATCAAGTCGATGGTGGCAGATCCTATGATTTGGACAATTCTCGCCATGGGAGCGTCGTGTCATTCGGTTCCAACGATACTGTTTTCAAAGCCCATAGCCGCGCAGATTCCGCAGGCAAACTGCCCGTGCTCAATAACATCATGACATTTGAATCGCCTCGCATCGTTGAAGATCTGGCTTCCGATGACGGCTATGATTTAGACTTCTCGCCGTCCACGCGTCGGACAATACTGTATAGTAACGACATCCGCCAGAGCATTGAAGAAGATTACAGCGAGCCAGGGACACCGGTTTTTTCGGTGCCGCCTAACCTCGATTTCTATGCCGCGGAGGACACAGAGTTAGATGCGTCTGTCGCTGAGCCGTTAGTGTCGGTGGATAAATTGGCATTGGAGGCTCCAAGTTTTACAAATGTTGATGTTGATCTTCAATATTCACAAGCAAGCCCTACAAAAATTTCCGACGATCAGCTTCAACAACAAATAAGCGAAATTCTAGAGTCTATTCCAGCAAAGATCGAGCTGAGCAATGCCCCGATCCCTCCACAGAAGTCCCCCATGAAGCCAAAGCACACCATCAGGAAGCGCCCGTCCCGCCCGACTCTCAGCCCCGCATCTCGACCAAGTTATTCAAGAGCACCAACACCATCTTTCACTCTTGCACCGGCCAAAACTCGGCTATCCCGCCCACGGCAACAGGGCAATTCCGACATCCAACTCTACCATTTGATGCGGAGCACTGGCGACCCACCAATTAAACTCTTTGTGCGTCTCGTGGGCGAGAGAGGCGAGCGCGTAATGGTCCGCGTCGGCGGTGGTTGGGCTGATCTTGGCGAATATCTGAAGGAATACTCTAGCCATCACGGGCGGCGCGCCGAGCGCTCTGGCGAAATCCAAGTTGAGCTCCCAACCGACGCCAGGCCCCGCATGGGTAGCATTGGGAGCTTGAACCCCGCACCGGGTATGCTGCGCACGGGCCCTAATGGGAATGTCTGGTCTAGCCCTGGAAGCCGCCCTGGATCATCGATGGGCAGTCGTCCCGGTTCGAGCTTGCAGGTGCGCAAGCGTGGCGCGAGGGTCTCGGACGTGGCTGATAGCAGGGAAAACTCTGTGCGCTCACCGTCTATGCCGCTACCATTCACGAGCACAACGCTACGGGCGAATGCAGCTAGGGGACAGACGCCGCCGGCCCGCTCCGTCTCGCGCCAGGCTTGGAGCGTGGGGCCTGACGGCGAGGAGGTTCATCTTGGGCCTTCGGGACCGAAGAATAAGAAGGGAGAGATGGACGAGGGACGCAAGAGGTGGGTCGACGGAGTTGTGGAGAAGGTGCGTCAGGTGAGCGTGGAGAGCAGTCAAGAAGGATTCGGGGCGCTTGGACAGGTTGGAGGAACGAGGAGGGTGTTTCGAAAGGGCTGATGGTTTGGGAGGGTAATAATGGGGCCGAGGGATAGTTCCGGCACGTCGTATCGATGGTCAGCGTCAGTATAGAAGACCTAGACGGAAACGGAAACGGACAGGCGAAGGATTTTTTGGCAAGGCGGAGTCTGCATTTGCTATGTTTTGAGATTATACCCATGAGCTTCTGAGAGCTGAATTAAGAGAACCTTGCACTTTAACAGAGTTCTGACATTTTGCTGCTTGTGATTTGATAAATGTTTTGTTTCGAGCGCCAGCGTTTCCATGCACGGACTTCTGGCACCGAAGGTGTGGACGAGGACCGTGCACATCAGGTAAGGTTTTCAGCAAACTTGTTCAAAAACAAGGCACTCAGTCGCTCCGACTCGGTCCGGGCTGCGATTGTTATATTATAGCTGTATTATAGACCTTTGAAAGGCTTCTTAAAAGGAAATAGATCCAAAAAGAGATATAATTCATTAGCATTAATTCTCAACTACGCACGGTCCCTCTTCAGAGTTGTAGTCGGGCACAAGTGAGGATTGGCACCTAGGCGCCCAGCATTTACTGTCTGGAGATAACGGAAGGAACACTACTGCCTCCTTTTGTGCCTCCGAGGGGCTGTCAATGAGGTATGTGGGTTGCTTCGGTGAAAGGCCGGCTTCAGTAGCTCTCGCCGATCTGTGCCTTTCTGGCACAACGCGGAACTAATGGAATGATGAAGGTATGAAGGTCCCACGGCGGTAAAATTAGCACTATTAAGGGGCTTATTGTCTCAAAAATGACGGCGACGATCTTACCTTCACTTACTGCACCTCGGCCTTCACCTAGTTTTTTGATGGTGGTTTCGAGAAAGTACGCCATTGACGTCGGCAAGTTACAATCCATGAATACGGTCAGCTTTCCATATAGTTTATCTCCGATCCCTTGTAAAAAGATTCAGATGCTTCCTGTCAGACTCGTAATCGTAGCGGCCCTTGTATAATGCATCACAGACATCTTGTTGGCCGACCGGTTTAGGAAGCGGCTGTCCTAGTGACCTGACAGCTTGGAGCTTTTGGGGCGAGTGCCATCTGGGGCGAGTGCCATTGTTAGTTAGGTCCACAAACCGCTGTAACACAACCCGCTATGTAACACCGGCATATGCCTACTAATACTAATATAGGTAGGGCGCCGGTAATGGCGGTAGAGTGGTCGTGGGTTCTTAGGCAGCTCTGGGCAACCTTCAGTGGCTCTCACTCTTCAACACAGGAATCCTCCAAAACTCAGGCCTCAACCCTGCCTAGTGTAGGTAAGGTAACGTCTATTCTCACATTCGCCGACAGGGCTTCTAATTGGTTATCTACATCTATCATGCAGGTGTGGGGCACGATGGGCCACAATAGTCTTGGCTAGGGTATAGTGTCTTGGCTAAACAGTCTTTAGCCACGCACGCACCCCTTCCGGAGATGTTCGGGCATAATATGGAGCATTTTTGTGGTATTGTTCACACAGTATTGTCTATCTTTCCCCTTTCCCCGCATTTCTAGGCTCGTGTTGAATTGCCGGGTCCCTGGACTTCCTTCCAGGCCTTACTGATCCTTCCAACGACGCCACCCATGCCGTTCGTATTGCACATTATTATGTATATTATGTATTGTATAGATGGGACGGGACAAGGTAATGGCAACCACCATACACACATTTGTGCTACGCACGGAACACACACGGAACATAACGGAATAGCTACCCATGAACATAAGCCTGGTATTCGGAGATGCTTCTGTGAACAGTCTAAACAGTCGGTACAATATTTCCAGGTTTGTACTCATGCTTACATGCCATCAACTTCTGCCGAGGTTTTACCGCTATATAGAAATTCAGAAACATCAGCGTAAAGGGTCTGAGCGTCAAAGCGGGAGACCAAAGATCCTTTCTTTGTCGGGTCAAAAGTGGGCCAGAGATTAAAATGGAAATAGCAAAGCAATAGCACATTCCATCCAGTTGGTTCGTCAATCTTTGGCCCGTCTTGTCCATGGTAAGCGATTATCATGCCGCAATCCACAGAGCTAGTGATCCCATGTAGCAATTATGTGCCGCACTCCAAGAAAACCAGAAAAACGCCTCCCCCCTCTCCCCTGATCAGCACGGCCAATCTCCTGCTCTGGATTTGCCTAGATTTACCTAGGTACATTACCTAGTGCCTCAGGGACCGCTGCGGGGTCCATTATGGTGGCACACCGGGCGAAGCACAAATCGGGATTCTCCACAAACGGCACACGCGACAGATGGTAACGGTATGGAGATGAGCGGCATGATAAGAAGACTGGAGTGTGTATATGTCTGGGCCCAAACCCACCATCTTCATCAAATTCGCAATTCGCAATTCCACTCGACCATTGCCCAACGCCTGTCGAAGACATCAAGTTTGAGTATTGTGACGTCTCTGACGTCTCGCTCTATTCGTCATGGGAATCACGCCAGCTGGTCGAGGACCGGAACTCCTCGGGACGGTTGGCTTGTTCGTTGCATTGAGTACCATCGCAATTATCTTACGATGCTATACTCGGATATGTATTGTCAAGAGTTTTGGACTCGACGACTACACTGCCCTCGCCGCTTGGGTACGCCATATTTTCCAATCTCCAATGTGATTTGCACAAAGGCTAACAAGACACAAGATTCTTTTCATCTTGTACAGCACCTTCGCTATGTCGGGCGTTCATAATGGAACTGGCCAGCATGCTGTTGATATTCCTAAGGAGGTGCTTCCAGTGGGCTTAAAGGTAAGAAATTCCTATTGGCAAGACGAGGGCTTGGGCTAATCTCGTTCCCAGTGGTGGTGGGCATGCGAACCTGCCTACATCTTGACTTGTATGGCACTAAAACTCAGCATTGGAATCTTCTTGCTCCGAATCGCCGTCGTCAGGACCCATAAAATTATCATCTGGACTGTCATTATCGTCACAGAGACATACTCTACGTTTTTCTTCCTCCTTTTCGTCCTACAATGTCGTCCCTCGGCATATTTCTGGACTCAGTACACTGGTGGATCGGGCACCTGCATCGACCCGAAGATCACTGTCCAGGCTTTCTACGGCTACTCTGCAATCTCCTGTATCGGTGACTGGACAGTTGGCATCCTTCCTGCCTTCATGGTTTGGAACCTGCAAATGAATCGCCGCACCAAGCTCTCCGTCGCTGCTATTCTTGCCGTCGGCTGCATGTAAGCATCCTCCACCTCCTTTCTGCAAATCCCACATCAGACCTAACCCATCCCTAGTGCTTCAACCGCTACAATCATCCGCATTCCATTCATCAGCGGCATGGCCGACATTAACGACTTCCTCTACTCCACTATGGACGTTGCCATCTGGTCCACCGTTGAGGTCGGCATCGGAATTGTCGCTTCCGCCGCCGCCACTCTGCGCCCGCTCTTCCGTGTTTTCTTCGCCGGTAGCAAGGCTGTTAATGGTGGCAGCTCCGCCCCAGCCTCGAGCCATTGGCCGAAATCGGGTTATATCCGCAGCAGGGACGCGAACGAAGCGTTTGCGCTCCGCAGCGATATTAGCAAGACCGGTGGCGTCACAACGGTCATCCAGGGGGATGTGGATATGGAGAGCGGGCACATGAAGAGGGAATCGCATGATGGGAATGCGAACCCGGCGGGGTGGAACAACAGCGATGCACAGTTGAGGGGGAACAGCAGTGACGAAGAGCCACCGGCCTGGAAGGGAGGGATTGTGAAGACCACGGGCATGACGCAGACAAGGCATTAAGTTTACTGTTAGGATTGGTGTGTGCGATTATACCTGCGATGATACCATTTTTTATGCTAACTAATTTACTTGATTCCAAAATGAACTATTCACAAATTGTTTCTTGGTCTTATTGATGCTGATATCCTTGCTAGGATTCGCGGGTTGTTGGTTTGCAGTTGCTGAATGTGGAAGGTCTGGCACGGTCCATTCATCCTTCATCCTGGGAGGCGGATGCCATGCTTTTTGCCCTGGAAGACTGATAGCATGGTAGGGGTCAGATCTAGGGAAGATAAGATGGAAATGCATGTGCGTAGGGTGCCCTGGTTCTTCCATGTGTTTGTGTGATGGTGACCAGAGTGCCGTGGGTTACATCGTCTTGGACTTCCCAATTCGTCTATCTTGTGCCTATCTTATTTACATGGGACCTATATTATAGGGTCTGCGCTATGCATGAAAACATCAAAGCGGCGGCAGACGGCTGTCTCACTGCTATACCACCTTCGTCCCAGCTGGGACATACTGGCCATGGCTTGCGTCACGTCGTCGGGGAACCAACCCCAAACCAATCCACGGGACCGCACCGCTTTCTTCCCCAAGGGGTTCTGCCCAAGCCCACCAGTCCCCAACGGTTTCTTGGCCGACCTGCTTTGGAGAAAGTTGTGCAAGTACCTATACGCGTAACTTTATAAATGCGCTTTGTCGCATATACTTTGTCTATTTACATGAATCTATATCAAAACTTATATGGCTCGTTACTGCTAGGACGCTGAATCGCGCTGACTGTAATAAACCATAAGTAACTCATGCCGATCGATGCGGTTGACCCCGAATTTCAAACCTAGACCATGATCTAGCTCCGACGTTCACCCCTTAGACCAGCGGTCTCGAACTGCTGATCGTAGCTTCCTAAATGTGAACCGGAGATCACTGTGAACCAATATATGTTACACGGCAACAAGCCGTGTTATGGCGCAAAAAAAACGGCACAAAACCATCATTGCATCCATCCATACGACAGGGGATGAAAGCCAAAAACGTAGTACAGGCAAGGCCAGCCGAGGTTAAGAGGGGTAAAAAATCGACTCCATGTGCCAAGACCCCATATTGAGAACGTACCATTCCAATGTATACTCTGCAATAATCCCTACCACCACTTCCAACTTTATACCATGGACTTCGAAGTATTCTAGAAAAACGCACCTTTGCACGCCTCTCCATATCTTACATTCTAGCCTTCATGCCCGCAGGTGGACTCTCGAAGAAATTTTCTATTTAAATCGGACTGCAATTTGCAGTGGGCTATTGGAATTCGTAGTGCTATCGATCCGGGCCTAGCGCGTCTTATAGTATGACCATCTCTGGCAGCGGAAGGCGAAACAGCCCCTCTTTGCCACGCGAAACCCCCGAGCCGTCTCTCTTTTGTCCCTCTTTTTGTCCCCTTTTTGGCCATACGAAACACCTACTAACAGCCCCTCTTTTGGCCAAGAGATGCACGCGGCAACACCCCTCCTTAGTACGTCACTATATTGGTATAGATCGGCATATCGCTGCATAATAGCACAATGACCGAGGCACACTACAACTCCAACCCCACGTCCTATGCGGCTGCGCATACCACAAAAGTCGAAATAATGGAGAACTGCCATGAGTACAGGTGGAGGCAATCCTGACTTCGGCGCTTCTTCTTTTGTTGGGGGAACGTTGCCCCACGTGCTAAACAAGACCCGTTCCAGCATCAATCATCTCCGAAGCTCCCGTTACTCTAGATGTGGTGTCCGGTGGGATTGTCTCCCGTTAGACGTTTGGTTTGGTTTTCGGTAGTTGTCAGAAGGCATAGTAGGAGCGCAAGTACAGTCTGAATACGAGGACTGACATAGAGTCAGGGGAGACTAGGTCAAGAAGGTTTCTCCACTTCTGTCGATATAGTATATCCCGCCAAGTCGATACCCCAACGGCTGACACTTTCGTCGAACCCTTATATTCTGCGGCACCAAAACCCCTCCTCATAGCAGAGTTGTGCTCGATAAACTGCTATACTCGAACAGGGGCCAGCTATATCACATTGCCATTCCAACAATGCGTTGTAATTATAATCCACATGATACAGTGTGGAGATGGCCATTGTTGGCACGTGGGTAACACGTTTACACCGTCTTTATCAAAGTTGCTAAGCAATTATAAGCCAGCCCACATGACATGGAGATAGCCACTGTCAACACGGTCGTGGCATATGTTTCTGAGAGGCATTCGAACAGGGGTAAACGGATTGCGTCGTTTTTGTCAAGGTTGCTCTGTAATTACAACCCACGCAATATTGAGATAGGCATTGTTGGCACAGGGGTAACTCGATCACATCGTTTGCATTGAGGCTGCACTGCAACTATAACCCACACAATATGGAGATTGGCCACTATCGGCACCGCCGTGGCATGGGCGTTGCACCACCTGTTCCCATTCTACATCATTAGTCTTGGCCGTTAACTTTTTAGAAGTGAAGGCAGTGCCATCCTACATAAAGGCCAGGCTCCCCGTTAACAGCTAGGACAAGATTTTCTTCGGCCCTGGGAACTCTGCGTCCATCCTTCACAATGCTCGTCCTTCGTACCATCAGCTTCTTTGCGATTGCTGCCAGTTTGGTTGCATCTGTCCCAACGACTTCCGAGTAAGTCAATTGCCGCACATCCGGCTGCCTCTGTTCTAACCACTTCAATAGTAAATCCGAGAAGCGCGATGCCAGCGCTGCGGACTTGGGCAGTTATGAATACATTGTTGTAGGATCTGGTGCCGGAGGTGGAACGCTTGCCGCACGTCTTGCTGTCAATGGCGCCAAGGTCCTCCTCCTCGAGGCAGGCGACGACCAGGGCGAAAGCGTTCAGGAATCGATCCCAGCTTTCTTCGCGGCCGCGAGCGAATACGAGCCAATGTCCTGGGATTTCTTCGTTCGCCATTACCCCGATGATGCCAGAGAGAAACTCAACAGCAAGGCCACTTACGAAACTCCTTCGGGCGAGACGTACGTCGGGACAAGTCCCCCTGAAGGATCTACCTTTAAGGGCATCTGGTACCCAAGAGCAGCTACTCTCGGTGGATGCGCTGCTCATAACGCTTTGGTCACGGTCTATCCTCACCAAGAGGATTGGAGCCATATTCAAGGGCTGACTGGAGACGCTTCCTGGTCTCCAGCAAACATGCGCAAGTATTGGAAACGCCTTGAGGATAACCAATACCTCGCCAATGCTAGCGCTATTCAGAAGGCTGGCCATGGATTTGACGGTTGGCTCGGTGTCAGCCAGGCGGCTGACGAGCTCCTCATGCAGGACCCCAAGCTCACTGCCATATACAGTGCAGTCAACGCTGTGACGCTTGGCACCAAACAGAAGACAATTAAGACTCAATCGGACCTAGCGAAAATCTTCCCCATTGACATGAACACCGACTATCTTGGTCGCGATTCTATTGATGGCGTCTATCGCCTTCCCATTGCGGCCAAAGATAGCATTCGAAGCAGCCCACGCGATTTTTTGCTTGCCACTGCCAACGCCGTCAACGCTGATGGCTCCAAGAAATACGCATTGGAGATCAAGCTCAACACCTTTGTCACCAAGATCCGCTTCTCCAACGACACGACGCCAGTTGCAATTGGCGTTGACTTCTTGGATGGCGCTAGCCAGTACAGTGCTGACCCCCGCGCATCTTCAGCGACTGCCGGAACTCCCGGATCCGTCGATGCAACCCGAGAAGTTATCCTCTCCGCTGGTGTTTTCAACACTCCCCAGATCCTGAAGTTGTCCGGAATCGGTCCTGCTGACGAGCTGCAAAGCTTCGGGATTGATGTCGTTGCCGATCTGCCAGGTGTTGGAACTAATCTCCAAGATCATTATGAGATTTCCACTGTTGTCAAGTACGACACCGATTTCAAATTCCTTGAGGGCTGCACCTTTCTTTCCACGGCCGACGATGCCTGTTACGCAAAGTATACCACCGGCAGCAATGTTGCTGGAGGAAAGGGTACTTATGGCACAAATCTTATTCCCGTCGCGGCAATCCGTAAATCCACTGTTGCCAACGGACAAAGAGACACGTTCCTCTTCGGCGGCCCTATTAAATTCTGGGGATATTTCCAGGGCTACACTGCTGCAGCACTTGCGGACCACCAGCATTTCTCCTGGCTCTCCCTAAAGGCGCATGAGCACAACAAGGCCGGAACTGTGACTCTCCGATCAACCAACCCGCTTGACATGCCATCTATTAACTTCAACTACTTTGATGCTGGTACCGCAGGCGCTGAGGACCTCGACTTGCAGCCACAGGTGGAGGGTATTGCGTGGATGCGCAAGCTCTACAAGAACATTGCTGCACCGAACAATGATTTCACGGAAGTCATTCCCGGTCCAGATGTTACCACAGACGAGGAGGTCAAGGAGTTCATCAAGAACGAATCTTGGGGTCATCACGCTAGCAGCACCGTAAAGATCGGTGAGGCCAGCGATCCTATGGCTGTTCTAGATGGAAATTTCAGAGTCCGTGGTGTCAAGGGTCTCCGTGTCGTCGACGCCAGTGTTTTCCCACAGGTCCCAGGGTTCTTCCCTGTTGCCTCTGTGTATATGATTGGTGAAAAGGCTGCAGATGTCATTTTGGCAGACGCTGCCAGCAGCACCGCCGGGTTGTCAATCGACTTGGATTTGGACGTCTCTGTTGTTGTGGGATAAAGTCGAACGTCCGAGCTACAAATTAGACAGCATATAGATCTCGGAATCTACCTCCAAGTTAATGTTCCAAAAACTTAACCGTATTCTGCATTTGATAAGTTGTGGCACATGTTTGAGCAACGAGCAACATGATACCGTCCTATCAGTTATAATTATGTGAGCAATAATAGTACAAGGGTTATAGGATAATGACTAATATAGGACATGGCACTTGCTACTGATGATCAACTATACTAGATTAAACCTAAATGTGAGTATACCACCCCAGGTCGACCTCATTCATCGGCCCCCAAGTCTGGACCAATTTCTCGATCAGGTCGTCCCTCTCTTCTGCCTTCAGCACCTCGAGAACAGTTCTATATGCTGAGTTGATTGCCCTAATGACCCAGGCATGTCCACTACTCAATGCTTCGCCACCAAAATGCAAATGGCCATTTTCAGCAGGCACCATTAGCGATGGCATGACATTGTAATATTGACCCGCACTGAATATGGCAAATGCGCCGACGGACCACTCGCTCTGGTACCAGTCCCAAGCATAATAGTCAAGATACTCAGACTCGATAAATTCCAATGTCACATTGTGCATAGCGGCGAGATCGTAAAGTACAACCTTCACGAGAGTATCTCGAGCTTCGGGGGTCCTAAGGTACGCCCCTAATCTTGTAGAGTCTTGACCCCATATATATGAGGCTATCATTACGCCTGGCGCAGTGTCGTCAGGAAGGTCAAAGCCATAGCTGGGATAGACGCTTCGGCGGATAGGGAGATCGGAGTATGATTGCCCTCCTTTGAAAGGGGCTGGGAGTTTTTCCCACCTAGTTGCCTGTAAGTATAAACGTTTTTAAAGATACCGAGATATATATATACCATTGAGTTTTAAATTTGATGCCAATTTTTAGAGCAGGATCGTAGTTGAGCTTTCGTATCGCATGTCTCTGCCCGTAATTAAGATCAAGTTCCGTTAGATCAACAATCTGAAGTGCCCCAAGCGGAATTGTAGAAATAACGTGAGCATATGTTCGCTTCTTGCTGTTGCCGCTGTCGATTTCAAGACTTAGTTGTCCACCTGAGGCTGGCTTAATGGCCGTAACTGGGGAATTCAAAATTGGCTTAGAGCTGATAATTTGCTCCATCCCATACGTGATACGGTCCATCCCTCCATTAATACACGTCCAATTATCAATACTCGACTCAGTGAAGATCCACTGCGTTAGGGCACCTTGAGACATCGAATACATGTCATAGTGATCTGTAGCGTCGTCGATGGTTTCCATCCAATCAATTTGAGGGCCAGTGTAACCTTGGGATACCAGGTATGAACGAATAGATTGATAGTCGTAGTCCATGAGTAAGTTAAACCCTGCCGTAAAGGTTTCAGAGAGGGCTGCGGTCATTTTTTGAGTTACTGATGCCCACACCTTCGTGGGATCGAGTTGAGCAAACTGTGCGTCGACGGTGCCGTTGTCTGTAAGTTCGGTATTGAAGGCATCCGCAGTAGGAGGGACCTGATTATACAAAAGTACCTCATTATATAGGCGGAATGTGTTATTCGCCGTATATATGTAAGGTATTTGAACTACCTTATCTTTCGGGGATGAAACATGAGCGTTGATGTATGGTATCAAAGAGTTATTATAAGGTCCTGTGATTCGAGCCATGTAGTCCATGCCTGGAAATCTCATCGCCCCAACATCCTGAAAATATCAGCAGTGCGGATTCAAAATGGGTTTTATACTAACAAAGTAATCATAGTAGTCAGGGTCGTCGGGGGTTGAGTTCAACCACGCAGTCTCATTGAATCGATAGGTGTAGATTCTTCCACCAACACGATCCGACGCCTCGATGATATCGTACTCAATACCCAAAGAATCGAGCAGCACTGCCGCATACAGACCTGCAGCGCCAGCTCCTATAATACCAACCTTCAAAGGTATGTCTCTTGGGGTTGGAGTTGTGGGGCTATTTGGGTACTTGGATCCAGCTAAGATCTCGCGAAGAAATGATTCTCGAGGGTTGCTTGAAGCATAGTTTTGGAGTGAGGCTCCCTTCGCACCACGCAAAAGGAGAAGAGAAATATAAGCAAGAATTAAATGCATTTTCAACAATACTCGGCAGCAGCGAATATTTGTAAATGGTCTTTTATGTTCTAATCCAGAGTTTCAAGGCAATGAGAACTGAATTTATAACTTTCCGCTCAATGGAAAAGGTCTCATTCAGCCACAGGCATGCTGATGCGTGGCTCAAACGGAATCCTCATAAATTCTTAAACGAGGTAACATTAATATTGAGGCGAGTAACGGAGAAGAAAGCTTGTATAACCTTGCTGACGTTGGGAATCCTACGTTTAAGAAATTTAACACAATGCGCTGTACAGAAATCCAATTTCTCTAATAAATTTAAACAATTAACTTCGCGAACTCCCCTAAATGATAATTAAATAAGCTGTTGATCAACATGCGATTTACCAGTGACTAAGAGCATCACGAACGGACAACTATTGCACTCTTCCTATCTTTGAAATATATATAATTTTGTAGAGTAAAGCTACTCACAATCCCAGCTTGCTTACCTTGTACGCCAGGCCTATGACTACAGCTGTCACGAGAGAGTGTGTTCCAGTTGCTCCAACCTTAGCACCCGAAAATCCCGATGATATGCATTGAATGAAGATCCTGGGAAGCCGGTTCGTTTACCCTGTTGCCCAAATTTGTCACTGGAGCTTGACATCCAATATTCCGATAGCCTGCGTTGAATTATAGCGACTGCACACATGGTTTGCTGGCTTTGTACACCTAGTTCTGGTTTTACAGCTTGTCCACAATGTTCCACCATTATGTCCCAAACCTGAGCCCAACCTTGTAACTATGCCTGGTTTGGAACCAGGATCAGAGCCTAAGCTTTTTGCCCAAGGCTTAACAAAACAACCCCTACATTCCACCGCTGTCGGCGTAGGGCAGAGGAGAGGCTGCGATGAACTTTCCACTTTTGCGTAAACCCTCACTTGGTGAAATGTATGTTCGATCAACTTTATTAGTCCTAATCGCTTAGATAATTATCTGACTGGAGGCGCTTCTCCCATTTTGATAACCGTAGTATGCGGAGTACGACCATCATGGTACCATATTGTACAAATAATTACTATTACGGTTCCCATTTCAGTTTCAAATAGGAAAAAATACCCATATGGAGTAGTCTATATAAATAAATAAAAATTCTAATTCGCGTTTTAAAATCAGGCGCGACGGAACACCGCCAACTCGTCACTACAACGCAATATTTTGATGTCTGAACGCCTTAGATGCCACACGTGTATCAGTGCAACCTAATGTATTAATAGGGGGTGGGTAAAGGGCCAATCTTCCGTGCTGTTGTCGGGATCGAGCCGGCTTGGCTTCTATCTTATCACGTGGCTATTCGGGCTGGGGTCCCGGATTTGCGATATGGATGAGTTTAATATGGATAAAACCGACAATGTCTCCGACACATACAGAACACATGACGCGCCAAGCTATTAGAGGTGCCAGAAAGAGTGGTTCTCATATGGCGGAAAGTATCCTCCGCACTCATTCCCCTGCTAATATTCATTTCGAGATCCCCGGTACCCTTGTATGGTTTCATGCCCCGCGCCTCGCCACGACAGCCCAGCTGCTCTGGCCGTTCCGTTGGAGGTATATCGGCAGGTCTAGCGTATGCGGATGAAGAACTTCAACAAAAGTATGGTATGGTGACACGCCAGCGCCAGTGCAGATGCCGGGCTTCAATACTCTGAGAGTACCCAAGAAATACCAAGACGGGTCTCTGGCTTTTCTGTGCCGTGAAAGACAGAGCTTTGACAGTAGGCTTCGCTGCTCTCGTTCTTATATTTCTCACTCATCCCTCGTTCTGTTCGTCTTTCCATTCGTGTATCAATCCACTTGTTGCTTTCTGCAGTCTCCACGCCCTCAAATTTTCAATATGAAGTTCTCATCCTCAGTCGTTGCCGCTGCAGCGCTCACCGGCGCCTCAGCCCACACCATCATGACCAACCTCGTATCTAACGGTGTTGTGAATGGTGTTGGAGTTGGCATCCGCGTTCCTTCATACGACGGCCCAATCACAGATGTTAGCACTAGCGACATCGCCTGCAATGGAGGTCCTAACCCGACTACACCAAGCAACGTCGTTATCGATGTGAAGGCGGGCTCAACCGTGCAAACCTACTGGCGCCACACGCTGACTTCGACCTCCTCCGATGTCATTGATTCGTCCCACAAGGGCCCCGTCATGGCCTACATGAAGAAGGTTACCGATGCGAAGACTGATACTGGCATTGGCGGCGGTTGGTTCAAGATCTCGCAAGATGGCTACGACTCCTCCAGCAAACTTTGGGCCGTGGATAAGTTGATTTCAAATGGCGGTGTTCAGTCTATCACAATCCCGTCTTGCATCGCAAACGGTCAATACCTACTCCGCGGTGAAATCATTGCGCTCCATGCCGCCAGCAGCACGAATGGTGCTCAGTTTTACATGGAATGTGCCCAGATCAATGTCACCGGCGGCACGGGATCTGTTTCCCCTGCGACTGTCAGCCTTCCGGGTGCTTACAAGGTACGGTCCACTATCCTCCAATGATGAACAATTGCTAATTTGATATAGTCCACTGATCCAGGAATCCTCTTCAACCTCTATGTGTCGCCTATCTCCTACACTATTCCCGGCCCTTCGGTTTTCAGCTGCAGCGGCGGCGGCGGCGTCACCACCCCACCTGCTACAACCCCAACAACCCCAGCAACCACTGCTCCACCTCCGCAGCAGACATCTACGACTCCTCCTACTACTGGCACTGGTTCTCCACTTTATGGGCAATGTGGAGGCACCGGTTGGACTGGCCCAACCACCTGTGCTAGTGGCACTTGCAAAGCAACCAACGAGTGGTACAGCCAATGCTTGCCATAAATTGGAAATTCAAGTGCTTAGTAAGAAGGACTTCTCTAGTTAGAGCCAATGGTGAAATATGGGGGTGGATTGGTAAATTATGTATCCTTGCACATACACCTAGCATTATTGTATATATTTATATTTACATACGTAAATGGCCTACGTCTATGTCATCTATCTTTGCTAAAATAAACTTTTAAGTGTGCTGTTTATGAATTTATTGGCAGGCGTATTGTGCTGCCCGCAAAATTATTGGAATAGTCTCTTTGGATTCTATTTCTAGCCTCTGCGTCTTTATCCCAGTGTTCTGGACAGTCTTTCACTTACAGCATTTAGCAACAAGAGTGGGAGTAGAATGGTGAAGTAGCCACAAGTCATAGCGAGACAGTGCAGAAACGTGGTTTATGGAGAATGTCATGTTATAAGTGTACTAATAGTAAAATTATGTACAATAAAAGCCCCTTCCAAGACAGTCTTCCATCATGTTCAGGTATTCATTCAATCTCTACAACAGACGTACAATATCCTTCCAACCATGCACCCCTAGCAGGCTCGCTCACTCTATGGCAAGCATTGGCTATACCACTCGTTTGTAACCTTGCAAGTGCCACTAGCGCAGGTGGTTGGGCCAGTCCAGCCGGTGCCCCCACATTGCCCATAAAGTGGAGAACCAGTGCCAGTAGTAGGAGGTGTCGTAGATGTCTGCTGCGTAGGTGGCGCAGTGGTTGTTGGGGATTTTGTTGTTGTAGCAGGTGGGGTGGTGACGCCGCCGCCCCCGCCGCCGCTATTCCCGCCAGTCCAGACAGCAGGGCCTGGAACAGTGTAGCTGGTGAAGGCGTTGTAGATGTTGACAGTGTATCCAGGATCAGTATCGTGGAAAGCACCTGGGATAGCAACCAAGGGGCCTGGGACTCCACTGCCACCGCCTGTGACGGAAATCTGTGCGCACTCTATGTAGAACTGGGGAATTCCTGCAGGCCACGGGTTGTGGATGGCGAGCTGTTGGATACGGAGAAGATATTCGCCATTGGGTACGCTGGCGGGAATAGTAACGCTGTAGGTGAGTCCGAGATCCCAAGTGGCCGCGCCGTTGGAGAAGGTCGGGCCAATATCCTTAATTTTGAACCAAACGTTGCCGGCGCCGTCGAAAGTATTAGCAGTGCTGCTGGCCTTGGCCATGTAGAAGGAGGTAGGTCCTTGATGGTAAACCGCAACATCTGCGGTGAAGGTGACAGTTGAACCTGCAGTCACGGAAATGGTGGCCCCAGCACCGACCGAGCCGCCCTCATTGCATCGGAGGTCATTAGAGGTGAGGTCGGTGACGGGAGAGTTATAGTTGGTGTTCTTCCGGATATATTGGTATTGGGGAAACTTTGTGCCACCATAAGTCAGGTATTGAAAGATATCTGCATATGTAAGGGCCTATTCAGTATTTTTAATCGAGGTTGGGGACGTACAGTGAGCTGATGCCTCTCGGGCAAGAAGCGCGACTGCAAGGGCAGTAATAGATAGCTTCATGGCTGTAGATGGAGGTGAGCTGTGAGGATGAAGGTGGTTGGGGGAGTGCCAAGTGAGAGAGAGATGCGGATGCTTTTATACAGGCTTCCAATATTTAAAGCAGGGCCGTTATGCCAGTGTAGAGACGCGACGAACAAATTGTCATCAAGGCCAAGCTTGGAAACCCCAGGAAAAAAATATACTAGAATGAAACGCGAGACCTAGACCTTCCAGGTGAGGATGCTGCTGGTGCCAAGTGCACTATTACGGATGCCAAAACCCAACCGGGCCGTGATCCTCGGTCACAAGGCTCAAAAGGCACATATGAGGCATGGATTCGAATTCCCGGATTGCAGAGAACTTTCAAAGGATAACGGTCGAAGGTTGAGACAAATGAGCCATGCTCCACCGCTCCATCCAGATGCCGGTAGGTGGATGGCGTGTTCATCGACCCCAGGCCCCAGAGTGGGGGTAGACAATGCGGGGAAAGAGGAAGGTGAATATCGTATGGGCAGCAGGCAGGGTGACTGTCACCTCGCGCGCAGTCAAAGTAGATTGGCATGATATTGGTATATCTGCCGGGCCGGCGGTGATACCTATAGGTGCAAGGATTGAAAGTACCTGCATGGTCGTCGCTGCACGCAGCGGCCATAACTCTCCGGGCATTTTGTTTACCCCATCACATGGCTATTCGTTGCACTCGCGGCTAAAATGGATCCCATTCGTGATGGGTTCTGGTATATATTAAACTGATGGAAGTGTGGGGAAATGGAGACTAAACATTGACCGCCGGCATCAGCTTCCAGGAGTGTGTGTCCAAGCTCCAGTGGCTGATCGGCACTGCGGGTAAATATCCGGCTTCCCCCCTCCACATCGGCAGATCGATCGACACTGAACCCCATACCCCTCGGGTGTGTTTCTCACGTGACGGTGCCTCCATTTGGTGCTGGAACTGGTTGAGGGTTTGCAAGTCTTACCAGAAGGCGGGGAAACATGAAATACGACGATTCCCGTTAATGATATAGCGTGGCGGCTTATCCGCTGCCAAGTTCTTGTAATCGTTAAAAGCACGTTTAAACTAGATTTGAGAATAGATCAGCATAGCTTAACTTTAAAAATCAACCTTTTCAAAGTAGACCTGTATTACTTAACTTTGGTGCCTTTGTTTTTTGCATCTCACGAGATAGATGCTATAATCTCGGAGTTTGTCTGCAAACTTATATAGTAAATATATTTGATTCTGGAGGTAATCATCGCCCTTGTTGGGTCCAAATGCATCATCGAAGGTACCTCCATGGAAGTTTAATTCACATTCAAAAGGCATATCTTTGTTTTTCTCATACACACGTGCGTAGAGTGTGGATTAGTTGGGACCTCGGGTTTTATAGGCCTGCTATTAGTTTTGATGGATGTGGCCGAGGCAAAGGGCCAGCAGCTACCTGTAAATACAAATCGTGATCGGCAGCCAGAAAACGCCAATCGGCAATACTTTTAAGCTTATCCCCGCCGAACCCACTCATGTATCTTCGGCGTTTCGAACATAATTATTCCTTATAGCACTTATAGCACACACCTGATATCGCTGTGCATTTAGGCAATGTTGGAGGATGCCAATATGGGTAAGATCTTCCGAGGTCGTCGGAGTTATAACGAGCGGGCTTCTCCCACGCCATGAAGCCCTCGAGTTGGCCGAATTGCGAAACGAAACTGCCCAATATGTTGTCCCTCGTTGCGCTCGTAGCGGCGTTGTCTATTAATGTGGTATCGGCCACTCTCCAGATTGTATGCTTTGCCTTCTATAGCAAAGATCTATGATTAATGGGTGCTATAGATCCCAGGATCAACGTGGACCGCAAAGGGGACGAACCAGCATGTGCAGGCCCACGGAGGAGGTGAGAGCGTATATCGCGAAAACGAGATGTTGGAGACTGAGATCGTACAGAAATTATCCAGGTCGGCTCGACATATTATTTGATTGGAGAGAACAAGCTTGATGGGAGTTCCTTCCAATCAATCAACTGCTACTCTAGCACTGTACATGGCAACCGATACCTGCTCGTGGACCCACGCTGACTTGTCAAAAGGATCTCGTTCAATGGACTTTCGTAAATAAACTACTGACCCTGCAACCCTCTGGAGAATTGGGCCCAAGCCGTGTTGTGGAAAGGCCGCATATTATCTACAACTCTGCCTCGTCTAAATATGTCATGTGGTTGCATATCGATTCAAGCTCATACGGAGAAGCAAAAGCTGGAGTTGCCACCTCCTCTTCTGTTTGCGGTGATTATACGTATCTGTAAGATTTACATCCTGTCTACAATCCGTGACAGGAAGGGCCTGACAGGATGCCTCTCTAGCGGCTCTTCACAACCGCTTGGCCATCAATCTAGAGATATCAATCTTTTCAAAGGTTTGTGACTTATCATATTTCTCTACTCGGTAAACGATTTCACAGCTAATGCAGATAGATACTGATGGAACGGCATACCTTCTAACTGAAGATGTAAGCCTTACCCACCACTACATATGAGAGATACACCTCTAATTTTGTATTTTTACAGCGAGCGAGCGGCCTGAGAATCGATAAACTGTCTTCTGATTATCTGAGCGTAGCATCAGAAGTCTATACTTTTGGGAGCTACGAGTCGCCCGCAATTTACAAATCTGGCAGCACATATTTCATGTTTGCTTCGCACCTGACTGGTTAGTTTATCCGTCCCCATATCGATACAGTATAAAAACTAATCAAAAGCATAGGATGGGGTAAGAATACCTGCCGAGTATATTTTATGTAGTACCGTACTTATCAAATTGTTAGATGCGAATGACAACGTGTACACTACAGCAACCAGCCTCAGCGGCCCATGGGCGGCATGGAAGACGTTCGCAGATTCTGGATCTAATACTTATAGCTCCCAAACCACTGCTGTGGTTTCTATAAATGGGGTTGTTATGTATATGGGCGACCGTTGGGTGTCCAGCAACCTAATGAGATCTACCTACGTCTGGTTGCCCTTGACAATTTCAGGCACAACCGCCTCAATGGTACCGCTCTACAATTTCCCCAGAATACTATCTAATACCTCTGACACATGAACAGTCTAATAGAGTCAATTGGGTAATCAACCCATCCGCGGGGACCTGGTCTGGAGGCCCTTCAGAAACATCTCCCGAAGCTGAAGCCAGCTCCAACACTCTCGCAGGTGGCGCCAAAGTCGTAACTTGCTCTGGATGCTCGGGAAGCAAGTCCATCGGGTATATAGGCGGCTCGTCTGGTGGTACGTTAACATTCCCTGCCATTTCGAGTACGAGCTCTACGACGACGACAATCCGGATCCACTATGCGAATGGGGACAAGTCACAGAGATACGGAAACGTGATAGTCAATGGCGTGTCGAACATAATCGCATTTTTACCGTCTCCAGATGGTAATACTCCAGGGACGTCAGTCTTAACGGTGCCGTTGAACAGCGGCTCGGGGAACGTGATTAAGTTCGAGGCGTATAATGGTGGATACGGTAGGCAGAGCCAATCCTTATTAAAGATTAAGACTTGCTAACTCCTCGAAGTGGCTGATATCGATCGATTGATGGTACCAGTTTCTTGAAATAGGAAGCACAATGATTTCATACCCATAATCGATTTACGTGAAATGGTTATCCAATACCATTCATCGCCATACGAGAGAGAGCTCCAAAATTCCAATTCTCTTGCCGCTATCTTTTACATTTATATACACCTATGAATCTGTCCATCCTATCCAGTATCCAAACACAGCCGTAGCAAGTGAAGCAGAAATTTCGAATACCTGATGTAGATCCGCTGATGCATCCATCCAATCTCCTGCCGCTCCCTATATACCCATAAAGAATCGAAGAACACCATAACTCATAACACTCATATCCAGTTTACCTTGCTTGCCCTTGGTTTCTCATCCTGTTCTGCAGCGAGCTTCTTTGACTTATTCGGTGGCATATAAACCGTAGGTGATAGCCGTGGCTCGTTACTCTCGGAGTCATTAGAGACACTCTCCGCGATCCGCGCTTCATTAGGTCGTGGTACCGGGGGTAGAGTCTTCATCCTAGCTGCTCTCTCTTGAGGTGACAGACGTTCATTTCCCAACTGTAACTGCAGTGATGGCAAATTTTGGGTCTGGACCTGCAACGCAGGTGATTTAGACCTAGGTGGCATTTTTGAGTTTGTACTTTGTGCATGTGCTTCTTTCTGAGCATCTGTAAGCAATGGGCACGGTTCTTCATCCATATACGTCAGTCGAAGCCCAATCTGTACTGTTGCAGAAGAAACCATAGACGAGTCTCTCCGGTGTCCGCGAGGCACAAATAATGACGGTGGTGGTTGAAGCTCAGCTGACGAGTCAAAATTTATTTGAGGAGGTGGTAGCGTGAACGTCGTGGATGGAAGCTTGGTGGTTGAAATGATGGAGCTTGGTTCTTGTGAGCGAGACGGGCTTGTAGACGCCTCCTCATTCGGAAATAGGGAGTATGATTGAGATTGCTTATGCCTCTGTAGTCTAGGCGGTGAGGACCCAGTGGTAATATTTTGATTCGGCCTCGATGGGAGCCCCGTGGGTGTGACGGGAGGTGGATTGATAGAAGATAATTTGGTCTCGTTTGATGTCATATCAAAACGACGGGGGCTTTGTGACGATTCCGAGGTTGACGGCCGGTATTTCTCACGGGGAAAGCCCCCTTCACTGCTGGAAGGTGCAGGGCTCCGGGGGCCAGATAATGGTTGTAAAATGTGTCCACCGAATCCAAGGTCGTTGGGGCCCCACATTCTTATCTCGTGCTTCTTTCCGCTCCAACCGGGAGTTCCTTTTGGTCGAAAGGATGTAGTCGCAGTGTTTGCACGTAGGAACAGCTGCAAAGTTCCCGTCATGAGGCCAACGAGATTCAAAACCACCGTCGCCATCATGGCCGTGAGAATGGTTGGTTCTTTTATTGTCATTGTGACAAACCAAGGTGTTACAAATGCCTACACATCGTTAGGCGGATTCATATCTTAGAATAGTGCTCACTCACGAGTCCAACAAGTTTTAGGATAAGATAGTACACCACTCGAGATGCCGCAATACGCTGGTGTTGGTCAATTGCCTTGTGCGTCGACAAGCGGTAGCAGATGATGACTGAACTAGAAATGGCGAAAAAAGCGATAGAACAGAGAATGCCGAGTCCAGCAACGCCAAAGTTTGTCACAAACCACATCAACGATGCAAAACAGTGGTTTGGTTGTTTGCTAATTTGCGTTGGTATCCAGGTGCCAATAGCCATCAAGGCAATGGCAGATATGCATATCGTTACGTCGTATTTGCCTCTCTGTTTAAAAGGCTCCTTTCGTAAGGATCGTATTGCGCACTCGACACCAAACACTATGTGAATATAGGAAGGCAGAAAGATAGCTAGGGCTGTCAGCAACAGTCTCATGGTGGCAGCTTGATAACATACCCGGAAATACAAATTGTGCGATGGTACTGCAACTATCAATCATCAAGGACTGCAGACCAAAACTTTGAGCAATCGCAAAGATGAGTCCCTGAACAACGATACCCAACGCGAGCACAAGTGGAAATGTCTCTGCAGGATGCATCGCCCAAAGGAAGAACTTCCTATAACAGAGGTAAGCTAAGTGGATCGAGAGAGCATCTTGAAAGTCATACTTAGAATTCGAAGTGCTCCCATAACGTTTAGAGGTACAATAGCAGTCGTAAAGTATGCTGAAAGCAGTGGCAAAAGCGGCGACGCCGTTGAATGCTGCTAAAATGATTGTAGATGTTCGGATAGATTTGCTGTTCTCAAAGACAAGACTTGATATCACTCTTTGTGCTTCTGTCTGGTCACTACCCTCTCCCATCTGTGCCTGCCATATCTGAATTGCGATCGCATCGCTTGCTCGTCTTTCTAGCCAAGATACTGCATTCACCATGTTGAAGCCGAGTCGAGATGTGATCCTTTGAGTGACTGGCCTAACGGGAAAGTGTATTGCTGTTTGTGAAGACCATTAGAGCAATGTGTGTTGTATCTGTCATAGAGAGTGAAAAGGGCTTCGGGCAGTGATAATCTCAGGGTTGAGATATTGTCCGAGGAGAAGTAGTAAGTTGGCAAAGATAAACTGTAACAAGAAACGTAAGTCCTGAGCCAGCAGAAGAGGTGACAAATGTCAGTCAAAGCAATGAAGCCGACAGAAGGGAATAATCGACGTCGCCGACAAAAAGAACGTAAAGCACCAGGCTGTGTACTTTCTTGGGCATATGGGAGGAATGCATTATAAGAACGAAACTGCGGCAAGGGGGCTATGACGATAGAATAGGTTCGAGAGCCCTGCACACGGGTCACTCAAAATCCGAGCCTGCACTTTTCAATCGCGATAGCAAGGTTTTGGACGCGTGCGGGGTGGGATACGTTGGTGGGGATCTTCCAGGCTACTGTGCTATTCTCTTCCAAAATAAAAACCTGGAATGCCGTTTCCAGGTCGTTTTTTCGCCCCAAACGTGGAATAGTGCAGAATGCATCCAAACTCTGGTCGCATTCTGCCTAGCAATCTATCTGATAGTCCATCGCTGACGCCACCTTCACGTCTTCGTGCGTCTCATCATGGGCAACGTGTTTCTCTGTGCGTGTATCGATAAGACCAGACCCATGCGGATGGCCATTCACGGGGCATTGGCAATATGCCTGCTCAAAATCTTCAACGTTGTGAGTCTCGAGTTTGTCAAGATTGTGGCCGTTCGGGGTGATTCCGAAACGTGACGGCGTCTCAAACTCCCGCAAGTCCCTTGGTCGTCTGAAATCCAGACAGGATCAGAGCGTCGCCTCCGGCTTGGCCTTGGTCCGCAGTTCATGCACAGGCAATCTATTGCAATTTATCTTTATTCAGGTAGATATTCCGAGGAAACCTTTGCTCCTAGTGGAGAGGCTGACTTGGACTAATATTGAAGCTCAACAAATTCCATCAATCGTTCACTCCCACTTAAGGCTCACGGGTATGTGCGAAATGACAAGAACAAACGTCGACACTGAAAATCCTTGGGTCTACACCGAAGTAGATAATCTTAAGCTCTACTCATAGCGAAGCTGCCGATACCCTGAATATCGATTGTTGACGAGCTTTGGTCTGTTCGGGTATGGAGAGCCAAGGCGAAGGTGCCCAGAAACTTCAAACCTGAGCTGTCGCAGTTGGTCGCGCGGCACACGGCAACACATGGGTGTGAGACGCGACGCTCAGATCACAATTGATCGTCGACAGGGGCAAGGCAATGGAACAAAAAGTCGAGACGATACATTCGCTGACCGGCAATGAAACATGGTCAAAGATGTCGAAGAAGTCGAAGACCACATATTACAAGATGCTCGTTCACAGCTTCTTCAAGGGATGAACAACATATCACGTGACCAATGACTCAATGCTCGCAAATTCAATAAATTAATTTAATATGACAACAGACGTCTGATTGCGTCTATAGGTGATCTATGGGTATAACAGTATATGTACAGTACAATTATCTTCGTTATTTTTAGCGTTTCCAGAACTTCCACCACGGCCTTTCCCCATTTTCTCCTTGCCTCCGAGACATCTGATCTCTGCCCCGTACACGCCAGTAATATATCGGAATCCCTACGACCACAAATGCAGCAACAATAAGGGTTTGTAGCGGCTCAGCAAACACGGCCCTACTTAATAAAAACAGACTTACACAACAAAAGATTATGGGCGTGCTTATCCAGGTCTTATATGGGCGTTCCAGGTGTGGCTCTCTGACCCTCAGAACGATTAGGCCGAGCACGGTCAAAAAGTAGAAGGTGTATCCCGCAACACCGTAGAAAGTGAGAAGTGTGCTGAAATCGCCAATGATGATATACACAACTGCGATGAGCGCGTTGAACACCAGTGCGTTGACGGGCGTAAAGAACAGCCCTGTTTCGCTGTCGCCAAACAGAACAGCCAACTTCTTTGAAAGCCAAGACCGCGTCCGCAGCGTTGATAGTGATGGGTGTTCGACTTGATTGCCCACACCGACCTTGCCGAGGATAGATGGTAGATATCCCTCTTTGCCAGCAGCGTAGACCAGCCGGCCACTAGTGAAAGCAGTGGCATTAAGCGCACCAAGACAAGACGCACTGACGATAAGGGAGAGGATCAGAGAACCTGCGGTGCCAAACACCTTGGCACCGAAGAGAACAGCCACAGTATTGGTGGACTTGATGGCGTCGAGAGGAAGAACGAAGAAGTATGCAACGTTGGCCAACAGGTAGCTCACGATAACCATCGGCATTGCCGTATGAATAACCCGAGGAAGGTCTCTCCCCGGATTACGGAACTCTCCGACAACATAATTGGTCTATAACAGTTAGTATTTGCAAGTTCTTGAGTTAGCAAAAAACAACGTACATTATCCCAGCCATCGAAGGCCCATAACCCCGAGTACAGAGCAACAGCCCACGAAGAGATGTCTGTACTCGTACCCTCAAACCATCCATGGGTTTTCCAGTCGCGATTTGCTTCTCCTGATGCAGAGTATCCGGTAATGGCCACAACGATCCCAATAATAGTAACGCCCAGTAAAGCAATGAATTTCAGGAACATAAACATATCCCCAATGCGTGTTCCTAGCTTCGTGGATAGGCAATTCATAAACGTCACTGACAACAGCCCAAACAACGCAACGCCCTTGTTAATCCACGGATTGACACTCTCCGCTTCCGCGCCAACAATCGCGCGCACCAGGTATTCCCCAAAAATAATGGCAATAATGGCGGTTGAGCCCGGTTTCAGCACCACCACAGCGCACCATGTGAACAAAAATCCAAACAGCTCGCCAAATATCTTCGATAGATAGACTTGTGGACCCCCGTTGAGTGGTATTGCGCCTCCTAATTCGGCATAACTGGCTGCCCCCGTCCACGCCAGTACTCCGGCGATCACCCATATAATCAGAGATGCTCCAGGTGAGCCCGCTCTGGTGATGACCTGGCCAGGAGAAGAAAAAATCCCCGACCCAATGACTAAACCGACTATAAGCGACAGCCCGTTCAAGTATGTCAACGTCTTGTGCTTCTCCAACGACACCCCGCCCAACCCTGTCGCCGGATCCGACGGGGCTATCGCCTCTCCTATTCGAGCATATCCGCTGGCAGTAGTTGACGATAACGGGAAGAGGTTGGATGTGAATTCGAAAGCGGATGACACAGAAAATGTCCTATTGTGCCCCGCGGGTCTGGCATCTGCCGCGGCGTTATGTGTATCTAAAGGGTCTTCGGCTTCCAGTGAAAGTTTTCGCGAGGAGGAGACGCCTTGTGACGAACTTGAATCTGTGGAGGCGCGGCCATCTGGCGAAGACGACGCAAGTGATGCAAGCTCAAGAGAGTCGCGGGTATCGTAGTTTACTTGTGCGTATCGAGACATCGCGTTTGTGAATATGTATAGGTTGACCTAGAAGGTCTTGTTTGGCGTCCAATCATGCACCATTCATGTTGCGCGCGGGCAGATTGATATGTGTAGCCAAAGCGAGCAAATCCGATCGGTAGGTTTCGATTTGTCGAAGTGGGCACGTCTGGTCGATTGAAGCAAAGGGCGTTGCTTGTTGTGTTCTTGGAGCGTGCCTTGACAAGGACCCTTTTGAATTACCAGATATGGATAGCGGGCTTGTGCCGCTCTTGGACACTAAGAGTTGGTCCGTGCGTTACAGGCGCGGAACCTACAAGGCTCAATTATTGACGGCGACAACCCATCAGCAACGACCAAGCGGCGCAATGCATGAGCGAAAAGAATGCGCAAGGCTCTGATATCTCGAATTGGCTGGAACCAGCCTCAGCTAGTCTCATGGCGACACCATGGCAGGCTGGCGGCATCGCGGAGCTCAAGCTTCAGCCGACTCGACCATATTATTATTGCTTCCCAGAGGACATACGCCCATGGTGCGAAGCTTGACTTAGTCGCCCTGGACAAGAAATGGCAGCATATATGGGGCGAGCGGGAGGGGCCGCTGACGACACCCTTGGAGGATGAGAAGAAGATGTATATTTTGCCAATGTTTCCCTACCCATCTGGGAATCTCCATCTGGGCCATTTCCGCAATTATACCATACCGGACGTGCTGGCACGATTTCGGCGCATGCAAGGCTACAATGTGCTGCTTCCCATAGGATGGGACGCATTTGGGCTTCCGGCAGAGAATGCGGCTATCGAACGAGGAATTGACCCTGCTGTCTGGACTAAGGATAACATCGCGAAGATGAAGCATCAGTTAAAAGGAATGAACGGAAGCTGGGATTGGAGCAGAGAACTAGCGACTTGCGACCCGGAGTTTTATAAACATACCCAACGCATATTCCTCATGCTTCATGAACGTGGTCTCGCCTACCAAGCGGAGAGCATGGTCAATTGGGACCCCGTTGATAAAACAGTTCTAGCAAACGAACAAGTCGACTCCAATGGGCTCTCATGGCGATCAGGCGCCAAAGTGGAGAAGAGAATGCTGAAACAATGGTTCTTCAAGATATCAGAATTTAGGGAATCTCTGTTAGAGGATCTTGATGTCCTTGCAAAAAACGGGCGCTGGCCGGAGCGGGTGGTTTCAATGCAGAAGAACTGGTTGGGGAGATCAAAGGGTGCCCAGGTTCGTTTTCCTGTATTGTCCTTTGACAAGCAGGATTACGAGGGCATCCAAGCGTTTACAACTCGACCGGACACATTATTTGGAGTCCAATACATCGCACTGGCCTCCAATCACCCATTGGTTATCGAGCTCGCCAAAACAGACAATGAGCTGCAAAAGTTCTTAGAAGCCATGCCAACATTAGCAGCCGACTCAAAAGCAGGCTACGTACTCCCATCTGTACGGGCCATCAACCCTCTAGCATTTGACCCAAAAACGCCTGACGCAACGAAAGCCTCTGTGCCCATTTACGTAGCTCCGTATGTGCTCGGGGATTACGGCCACGGTGCCGTTATGGGTGTGCCTGGGCACGATAATCGAGATTTTGGATTCTGGAAGCAAAACTCGGAAGACCCAGTCCGAGTTGTTATTCGGTCGGCATCGGAGCCGGCAGAGGTAGCATCCAACTCGTCGTTGTCAGAGCCATTTCCTCATAGTGGCGTTTTGACTGACGCTTGTGGCGAATATGCCGGCAAGACGTCTGCCGAAGCAGGGGAAGCCCTCGTCAAGCTACTTGCTGACAACGGAGAAGTCGCCAAAGCAACAGAAACCTGGCGACTTCGAGATTGGCTGGTTAGTCGACAACGTTATTGGGGCACCCCTATCCCCATCATTCATTGCGATTCGTGCGGCCCTGTTCCAGTGCCAGTTGATCAATTGCCAGTCACATTGCCCTCTGTGGAGGGCCACTGGTTACGTGGTAAAGCTGGAAACCCGCTCGAAGAGGCGCATGATTGGGTCAACACACCTTGTCCGGAATGTGGTCACGCAGCTAAACGCGATACTGACACCATGGATACGTTTGTAGATTCGAGTTGGTATTTTATGAGATTCGCAGATCCGCACAACACAGAGAATCCCTTTTCCGCGGATAGTGCTGATTCCACTATGCCAGTTGATTTGTACATTGGCGGAGTTGAGCATGCGATTTTGCATCTACTATATGCGAGGTTCATATCTAAATTCCTGTCAACTACGCCACTCTGGCCCACGGGCGCGCTGGAGCTTGGAGAGCCATTTAAGCAGCTTCTAACGCAAGGCATGGTTCACGGAAAGACTTGCACCGACCCATCAACGGGACGATTCCTGAAACCTGAAGAAGTGGACATGGAGAATCCCAACAAGCCCATCATCATAGCGACGGGCCAGACCGCAAACGTTACGTACGAGAAGATGTCAAAGTCAAAGTTCAATGGTGTCGACCCTGCCACCTGTACCGAAAAATACGGTGCTGATGCGACCCGCGCCCATATGCTATTCCAAGCACCACCCACGGATGTTCTCGAGTGGGATGAGGGGAAGATAAGCGGCGTAACTCGCTGGTTACGACGCCTACATGAGAGGATGGAGCGCAACCGTGGTGTCCTTTCTTCGCTGCCCACAGACCCTAAAGTGTACTTCACCAACAAGCCTAGCGATCTGAACTCGTCGGCGCTCCTGGATAAAGAGACGGCCACCTGGCTCGCTGTGCAGAATACGATAACTTCCATCACCGAATCCTTGTCACAGACATACGCGCTCAATACAGTCGTGTCTGACCTAATGGGCCTCACAAATACTGTTCTCGACCTTCCAGAGTCCTCGCCTGTGCAGGTCCACGCACTTGCAACGCTGGTCAAGATGCTGGCGCCCATTACCCCAGCGTTCGCTGAAGAATCATGGCAAATCCTCCATGATTCCACATCGGTACCATCGGTTTTAATGGAGGCCTTCCCAGTGGAAGATGGTACGGCAGAGAGTTTAAAGAGCAGCCGTCACGTATGTGCGGTGCAGGTCAACGGAAAGCTGAAATTTACGCTAGAAATCGAGACTCCAAGCGATAAGTTGAAGGGAGATGTCTTGAAGGATTGGATCGTAGACAAAATAACGCTTCAGGCGAGCAGTAATCCTCTTGTGGAGAAGCTCAAGGGGGCGAAGAAGGTCATTGTTGTTAAGGGTGGGAAGACGGTAAATTTTGTCATATAACTGTAAAAATACTGTACTGCACCCTCGGTGTAAATATTTAAAGTTAAACCCACTCAATATCATGTTATAAGGTTATATGCAGCAAGCCAAATATATTTCTATGTGGTTCGCACTCTAACTGGTCATCCGTTTAGTTGGCATCACTTTCACTTCCACTGTCGCCCTCCCCCGAGGGTTCGGGCATCCCAGCGGCAGCTGCCTTCTTCCTTTTCTCCCTCTCTCTCCTCTTTATCTTCCTCTCTCTATTCCGCGCTGTCCTCTTCTCTGCATCCTCAGCACCTCTGCTCGCTTTCTCTTCCTCCATTTTCGCACACCGCAGCCGCTCTGCTTCTAACTTCTCGGCAAGAGCTCGTTCTCTTATCCTAACTTCAATGCGTCTCTTTTTATTCGGCTTTGTCCTTTTAGTCTTCCCGTCGCCTTCAGCAGTCCGCACGCTGACTGACTTGGCTGCCAGTGCAGCCGCAGGTTGTGAGGTTGATGCCGAGCCCGTTCGTATAACTGTCACCCTCCATGGCTTCTCTAGAGCCCATGCCCTATGTTCTCTCTCCCGCTGCACCATCTCCGCACTCACAGCTGCCTCTTCAAACTCCGCTTTCTTCGTTCCTGTGGCTGGTGCGGCGATATACCAGCTCAGCCTCCTCTGTGGTACGGTAAACGCGCCATCGCCTAGATCTTCGTCGTCTGAATTGGATAGTATAATTCGTTGGGTAGTCGTCTCGTCAGGCTTGGAAGATTGGTTGTCATTCGAGGCAACCGCTGTGGTGGAGGGAGCAAATAATCTGAACTCAAATTCCTCGTCTTCTGCCTCAGCTGGAGGGGCATCTGGGGACGGTTCTGTGCCACCAGGAGCGACAGGGTCCTGTGACGGAATGGTTATGGGGCCATAGAGTTGTGCTAGTTGGTCTTGAAGGAGCCTCGCGCGAGAGTCATCTATCTGTGACGCGGCGTCTTCATTGCCGTCGTCGGAGTTGTATAGGTCGTCGCGACGGACGCTGTAGATATGTCAGATCAGGTACGTCCAGGTTTTACATGGCAATTGAACTTGAGCACATACCGCTTCGCGCCGGGTAGGTCAAACATGGGACCTTTCCTCGAATGTTTAATGTCTAATATTTGGATTTAAGGCGCAGGCTGTAGAAATTGTCGAGTATTGGAGTTTTTACCCAGCCGATAACATCCTTGATTGCGTGAAGTTCCCCACGAGGCTACGATTTCAAGCTGGGCCAAATTTGGCCCAGCCTAGCCTTCCCGCCCAAGCGCCAAATTTTAATGGATAATCGATCCAGCATACCGCACACTAATGCTTAGTAAAGTGATGCGGAGTTTCAGAGACTTTAGTCTGATAGAGTATATTTGGTTTCTACATGAGCACCTAAATTCTAACAGTTCAATCAGCCTTAAACTCAAATATCAGATTTTAAACACACGAGGAAAGGTCCTATGTTTGATTTGCCCGACGCGAACCGGATGGATAACCACGTCTTAAAATTAGAGGTCAAGCTTTAAGCACAATGTGCCACAACAGGGCAGGTCACTTAGCATGAATATGATATATTGTTCTGTAGGTATGGAAGATTCGCCTCCCAGATCCTTTATATCCCCTGCTCCCATCCCCTCCGTGTAATGAAATACATTTCCTTCCAATCTCTGAACCGGACCCAAGATGAGTAAACAATTTCAAGCTGGACACAGATTCACCAAATAATGATAATTGGCAATACGCCGATCTCCTGCTCCCCTCCCTAAAACCCTTCCCTGTTTCCAGTTGTAAGCCACTATAACTCCGACGCTGGACAATGCTCGCATCTCAAAGCTATATCATCGCTTACAGAACAAGAAAATGGCGAGGAACAAGAAGATTAATATAAAAAAATCGAAAAACAGACGTCAAAACGCTAATTTTGGAGTAGATAGCTAACCGGCTATGGTACAAAGGGGTATATCGTGGCTCGTACTCGTGTTTTTCTCGTTGATAAATGTTTGGAATGTGTATTATGAATCAGCTAGCGGCGCTCCATGTGTATCCGATATTTTGGGTGTCGTCCCTAGCATCAACGTATGCTTCTGAAGCAAAGTTGTAATCCTGGGATGGCTGCCGCTGATGTTCTGTCTGATGGGTTTGATGTTGGAGTGGCTGTTGGGGTGGTAGGTGCATAGCCGTGCTATAGCTTGGCCCATCTGGCTCGGTGCCTGACCATGGCGGTGGAGCTGGCGCATGAGGATAGTACAGGCGATTTTGGTTGCCCGCAAGGTTATTTCCATACGAGGTTTCGAATTGCTGATAAACCGAGCTGTGGGGCACCTCCGTATGTCGTGGAGACTTCATTGGACGCGGGTTAGGGTCAAATTGCGCAGGTGACGACGTTGGGGGCGTGTAGAAATGCCGCGATGAAGACTCAATCGGTGAGGTTAGCTCTGGCAGTCCGTGATGAGAGGGCGGATCCTGAACCGCATGTATTCTTTGGGGTTCGTTGTGGTATGCAGATATGCTGCTGCTTGGCTGCGGAAACGTCGATGTGACTGATGCGGCGTGCCCAGGGTGTTGCTGCGCTTGATTCCACTGTGGATAGCTGTCAATTTGTAGTCAGCATACAGTTTATACATTATTAACCTATGCATGCTACTCACCCGCCGCGGATTATCAGAGGAGACGGAGGAAAGTTGACAGTATCGAACTGAAATGGGCGTTTCGGTAAATCCATCATCGTAGGCTTCGCGATGCCGGGTCTATCCGCCATCAAGGGATCTTTCTTCTGAGATGGAGACACGCGAGAATTATGGCCCCTTGGCGAAGCTGACGATCCTACTAGCGGTATTTCTTTTCTGGCTTGGAAGTTTCTGGGGCTTCGTCCCCGTACCACAATGGGCGCTGTTGCCGATTCGACTGTGCACACCCTCGATCCATCGGACAGCGTGGATATTAGTTTTAGGCGCAATACAAAATGTTGCTGTAGTTCTTTCCTACGACCATTGTTGGCTGTTGCAACACGGAACTGGAGTCTCCTCCATGCTATTTGTTGAGAGACCGTCTCATTGTTCTTGTCGTCATTCCCAAGGCTGTCAATTGATATAGCCGCTGGCTCCTGCTCTTGGCCAGATGGGAGATCCGGGGAATTGGCTGGTGGGGTCTTCCATGGTATAACAATCAGTCGGATATCGTGTCCATCCACAGATTCTGTAGCTGAAACTGTAATCTCATGCGACACAATAGACATAGACTCGCCGTGGCCAGTGACGACTGACAGAGGTCCCGCTGGGCATGTGACGGAACCTGATATCTGGAAGAGGTTGCGCCGGTAGCAGGTGAGTTCTGGCTGCATGATAATGTTGTCACCAGCATGGGTTGCTATTTCAGATAAAAAGAACATGCCATGTATTTGCGCAACAACCTCCAGTTTGGCGGGCGCTCCATATTGGTCCAGGACGGTATGCCCATGTGGCAACAAAGGCTCAAACGACAGTAGGCGATGATCGGATTGAATCGTTGGTTTAGTCGAATCGTCGAACTCCGGTATGCTTTCGTGCAGGGAGGAGGCAACATTGGCGTACGAGTGCTCGTCGAACGACTCATGCGGCCTCTTAAGGCTTGGATAGCTACGATGGGAAGTCAATCCTGAATTCAGCTTGGAGACTCCAAAAACAGCAAGAGACTCGCTGCCTCGGCGTGGTAGCATGTCATTTTGTTGTTGCTGCTGTGGTTGCTGGTGCTGTGTCGATGGGCTGTAGGGATCCTTTGCGCTATTGCTGTACAGTATTTCTTGCGGTTCCGATACTGGAGCACTCTGCTCGTAATGATGGGAGAATCGCGACATTGGCGCCGGGAGGGGGACTCGATAGCCGTTCCATAACGAAGTTCCAGTCGATCCAGGCTCCTCTGGTTTTATATCTTCCATCGTAAGTGAGAATGCTGTGAACGACGCCCGCACATGTCTTGAAATGGGCTGGAGACTATCGGGCAAGCCCTAACTAGCAAGGCGGGCGGAGAGCAGGAAACGTGGAAAGAAAGAGGAGGCTAGATACCTAAGCATAACAATGACATTGGAGAAGCTTGAATGGGAGCTCCACACTGTTTTAGGTGGAAGGGAAGTCCCGGATGAGGCGTGCCGGCAATCTGGAATTAAGTAACAACAGCTAGAGCGGTGATGGGGGGGGGTGTCTGGGCACAGGCTACCACTGTGCAAGCCAGTGGCAACTCTAGCCGCCAGGGATCAGTCGCAAAATGTATTCAGACAAGGAGTAGTGGCGAGTGGCGGTGGGAAAGACAGGTAATAAAACAGGAGATGGAAACTGAATTGGCCGCTGGAGTGACGAGAAGAAAATGAAACGGCTCGAGTTATTATATCTTGCTTGATGTCTGTAATGCTATCTGGCGGAACGCTACCCTTATCCTTAAATTGAAAGAACAAAAAAAGGAAAGGGGCCAGGGAGAAGAACGCATATTGATACCGGTATTGCGGAAGTCGCGCGAGATAGCTTCCATGGTAATGTGCCGATATTGGCCATTCCCCAGATATTATGAATAACCAAATTCCCCGCTGAGAGTACTCAATCTCGTCTAACCCCCAAAACGGTTTTCGTTGTGATGCGCCATGCCTGTTACCCACTTAAGCGTCCACATTTCCACATTCTCGAAGAGTTTGATGGGCCCTGTTGCTCGCTATTAGCAACGATTCCCGACATAAGAACGGCCCACCAGGAACAGATGACAGTCTTCGTATCTCCGGAACAGCGAGAATAGGTTCGAGTAGCGGTACCAAGGACCGGACTGTATGGCGCCCTGAAGGCCTAGTTGAAGACGCTTCAACCACATTGGCCCTGGGCTCTCGTCCGAAAGTACGTATGCCCCGAAAAAGGGATAGCACGTGGCGCTATCTCTCTTGAGAGGCATGAAAGAGGGAATCAGTAGTGCAAAAAAACCTAGCAAGCGCAGTGGTCAGTTATTACAAGTTGACGGAAGAGTGTTAGTGCCCGAGCTGGGACATTATCGAGACAGAAGACGATCAAGGCTTCGATATTGACAGGGAGCTCCTTCTGCAATCATAGAGCACCGTGACACAACAACCAGAAGGAGCGGCCCAAAGGCGCCTAGCCATGGGCGGAGAAACGTCGGTTTTAGAGCCATCACAGACACGTTTAAGGGATCGATCGGTGAGGATGGGTGTGAGGTGAGACCTGTTGTAAAATGGATTATTGCGCCAGTGCATATTGCTTGGCAAATGCGTCCGTAGACCGAATGCTGGGGTGGGGTCATACCGACAGCTTTTTGTTGCCCCTGGCGCCTTCCTGGTGTGGAGATGTGTCCAATTTGGCACCTGCTAATTATTGGTACCGATGTACTCACTCCACATGCATGGACTCTCGATCATTTGAGCACCACGATTTGAGCACTAACATAACTTTGGGGGCCGAACGCGTGGACGGCATTTTTTTATAGAAATCTAGAATGGCGGGCGAGAGACTCAATAAGCTCGCTGATGCATGCCGGCGCCGATATGAGTCTCGGAAACCAGCCGCACAAATCGTGAAAAGCCCCCCTTTTACAAGTGCCGCCCGCTGCACTCGAGACAGTTTTGTTCACAGGAATTTGCCCACCGTTGAGTGGCGTCTCTTGGCGGGGCCAGCATATTGGCGCTGACGGGGCCTGTAAGGAGCGAACGAGGAGAGCCCTGTGCCGTTCCCAAGTTTGATAACCCATGCCAATTAATCTCGATAATCCCCGTGCTCCTCGTGGATACGGGCTACGACCACTAGAGCAGAGTACGAGTCTCCCAAAAAGACTCATTTTGCGGTGGGGGTGGTAAGTCGGTCAGGGCCTCTGAGCCTGTCTCTCCCCCGCGCCCAACGGTCCGGTCCAGGATATTGTCCGCGCCGTGCTTCGATGATGTGCTGAGCTTCAGATGTGGAGTACTATTCAGACCCTGACGAACGATAGACGACTCCATACTGTGGATTTTGGAAGCTATTTGCCCTGTGTCATTTAGCCACTTCATGCTCTTATTGGCATGGCCAACGGCTCTATTTTTCGACGGTATTTTCCAACGCCAATTTTTCGCTCAGTGAAATATTGTGATTATCGGACGCAGACGCATCCGATTTGCTGGTGAACCCCTGGTGGTATTGCTATTGCTATTCTCAGCGGCGGAGACTCTCGTAAGACTCCCTCTCCAATGTTGATCTACAGCGCGAATCAAATATTTCTCGACTTTCATAAAAAATGTAGTTATTTTTGGCCCAGAGCGAGATCATCAAATTTCCCGGCGTTGTACTTTTCGTCATGGCTCTTCGCAATCTCGGGTCTTGCCATGAACAGAGGGGAGTCTCACTCATAAAAATTATACAAGTACAAATCAATCTTTGAAGCCACGGTTGGTCGTAACCACATAATAATGTAGGTCGTACTGCGCGTGCATATGGAGAGACATTCGGCTCCATCTCCCCGACCTCCTGTGCCATAGCACTCTAATAGGGCCTGTCCCAGTAACCAAAGTATTCCCATACTTTGGGATAAGTGCCTATCCACTCCTATCCCAGATATTACTCTAGCAGGGCTTCGGACGCACTATCAATTCGGCCTTGCTGACAGGCCTCCTTGTACCTAAATACCCCTGTTTAGGCCGATCCAGCGGCCTCGACTGTGCCCACATGCAGTAGCGTGGCGGAACAGACACCCATCCGTTACACCCGTCGAGCCTTTCTTTCCCCGCATTTGCTCGAAAACATCCTGTATGTTGCGACTTCTCCGCTGTTCTGGGAGCTCTGAAGAGTCTCGTGGGATGGTGGAGATGATAAAATAAACCGCGATATTATAATAATAATAATAATAGTAATAATGGCCGCCACGTGAAATAATTCTAGCCTGGTAGTATTGTGAGTATTGCCGTGTACCCCCCACTGGAATTTATAATGAACTGTACTAATATTAATTTACCTATACGTGTATTGCGCCGTTATTTTCGAAGCACATGCTAGAATCAGGGTAAAGCCAAATATGTTCCTTTGGGAAGAATAACACAAACCTTGTTCTAGATGTGGGACGAATAGAGAGACAAGACGACGGAAATACCGGTTGTCTCGCCTGCAAGATCCTGCACTGACGGCTACATCCAGTTATAATAGACATTTTTCCGGGACAAGCGCCTTCATTTGCTTAGAAGTTCGCGTGACCTGAAACTGTAAATCGATCGAAATGCGCTGTAATTGATTTTTCATCAAGATCATCTGAAAAGTCTCAATTTCATCTAGGTTTGTGCATACACAGATGGACTATACAGACATGGCCTAACCCAACAAGGTTCTCCTGCGTAGGAGCGGTGTCAGAAGCAGCAACTTCATTCGTTGGCAAAAGACCCCAAAACAGTGTTGACCATGGCACTGATGCATGTAGGCGCGGGGAGGCCGGAAGAGCTGTAGCTTGAGCGAAACCTGATGTTGACAGGGAGCTGAATGAATGACGCCTAGGTATTGCTGTGACCAAAACATGTCTGAGCGCAGCATTGAGTGTCCCCTTTGAGGATCGAGAGATCGGGAATGTCTGGAATGTCTGCGCTATGTCCGACACAGATTTCACCTGGGTCTTTCACACAATCCTACCCTGAGAAGGCGGACATAACACCTCCCAAGCCAATGAAAGACATCAAAAAACTAAAAATTGTTTCAGTTCGCCATTCTTCACTATGTTATCGTTCTTTGCCTTTCAGATATTTCGGCTTGTTATGAGACATCGTTCTCCTGAGGAAGGAGGAGAGGCCATCCTCTCTTTCCACTTCCCCTCTAGCTAGACTAGAGCAAGTCTTTCTTTACTACAGAGTCTCTTACCCAAAAAATCCGTGCCAAGGGAGAATATAGAAGGCGCCTCAGGCCAAGATGTATCAAGGTTGATGGTTCATCTGAAGATATGCCAGTAATATTCCTGCCTCGTTCGCAAGGCCACGGAAAATGTGGGGAGGGTGTTACAGGGGCGGATAACGATAGCGGATATCTAATCGCGATAGCTTCAACGTCAAAAAGATCCGCCACTTCTGGGTCTTTGAAGTGGTCTTTGTTGCTTCCGAATCCAAACTCTCTTTCAATTCCTCGATCTTCTATCTATTTGTCTCTACTAAAGCCCTGCATGGTTGCAGTTTCGCCCTAATGTCGTCCCTCGACAGTCGATACAGACGATCTCATAATGGCGGACGCCTCGGGAGAAACTGTTACGATGGCCACCGCCAACGAAGATGATGAGCGAACTATGGAGCTTTCTGCTCTCCAAGCAATCTTTCCTGAGCTTGTCATAGACGAGAAGCAACAATTTACGGCCACTTTGGAGCTACCCATTGCGCCTTCAGAGTCGGTTCCTATTGTCTTTAAAGATGTGTCGGATGACTCGCCCATTGAAGCCGACAGACAGCTCCAGATCCATCGACTGAGCTACTTGCCCAACATTCACATTGGAATTACTCTACCCGAGGGCTACCCAGCTGAAAAGCCTCCAGTCTTAGAGTTGTCTGCGACACCGAACTGGCTTCCTCGCAGGAAAATACATGAGCTATTAGGGCAATGCAAGGAGTTCTGGGAGGATATAGGACATGACCAGGTCCTATATATGTTCATCGATCACATCCAAGACTCTGCTCTTGGGGCCTTTGGACTCCTCGACAGGGAAGAACATCTGCAGCTATCCCCTGACCTTGAGATCGAACTTCTTGATCATGATAAATCAGCAAAGCAAGCGGAATTTGATAGACAAAGCTATGACTGCGGGGTCTGCCTAGGTAAGGGTCCTGATGGTATTGATGGAATGTAACCTGTTACTGACGGAAAATAGAACCGAAACGAGGAGCTACTTGTCACAAGTTGAATGACTGTGGGCACGTCTTTTGCCGCCAGTGCCTGCAAGACTTCTATAATAATGCCATTACCGAAGGCGATCTCGACTCGGTCAAATGCCTTGACCCGGGATGTGCCAAAAAGCGTGAGGAAGAGTTTGCTATATCAGACCGCAAACGAAAGCCCAAGGTGACTTTGCTACCGAGTGAGCTTCTTCTGATCCCATTAGAACACGAAATGGTTAAACGGTATGTCACTATGAGACACAAGATCGAACTTGAGAATGATAAGAGCACGGTATACTGCCCAAGGAGTTTTTGTCAGGGAGCCGCACGATCGAAAAAGCACACGAAGCCAATAATAACGCCCACCTTTGCAACAGCTACTGCGGACGAAGAGGCCGACGAAGAATCCGATGATGAGCTGGCATCCATTGACCCAACCAAGCCTCCAAACCGCTCTAGCCTTCTTCGTGTTTGTGAAGATTGTCTGTTTGCTTTCTGTAGTCGGTGCCTCCAGACATGGCACGGGGAGTATGTGCTGTGCGGGCCGCCACGGAATACGAGCGAGCTCAGCGCTGAGGACAAAGCTTCTCTGGAATACATCAAGTTCCACACTACGCCCTGCCCTACCTGTGCGGTGCCTGCACAGAAAACCCACGGCTGCAACCACATGATATGTCAGCGGTGTGGAACTCACTTCTGTTACCTATGCTCTAGCTGGTTGGACGTGGGCAACCCATACCAACACTACAACACCGAGACAACAGGGTGTTATCAACGGCTGTGGGAGCTCGAAGGCGGCGATGGAAACGATGTCGGATACAACTATGCGGGCGGAGACCACCCCCCCGACGAGGGTGATTTTTCAGACGATGGCTCTGATGATGAAGGCCCCGCCGATATGGATGGCCAATTACCTATGATCGAGGACATGCGCCTTGAACCTCAACCTTTTATAGCTGAGCCTGGACAAGACCCAATCGTCGATGGGGAACATGAGGGTGATCCTGGAGACCAGCCACAAGCACAAAACGATGGACCGCTTGTCCTCCGTCTCGGCCCAGTTCCACCGCGCCCTGCTCCTGCTCCTGCTCCTCGTGCGAGACGGGGACAACCAAATCCTCAGGCAGCCCCTGGCCGCTTAGGCGGGCGCTTTGCCCGTGCTGCTGCACGTCGCGCAGCAGCCGAGGTCGAAGAAGCTGAAAGACGTCTCAATGCACGCAATGCGGCTTGGAATAGACGTATGGGTCGTGATGCGCGACCTGAGCACGGAGGACCAGATATGTGAGGCGTGGTTTTAGGTCGCTTTGCAGGAGATTATTATGGGTAGCCTTGTTGGGTGGTTTATCAGCCAGGAATTTCGTATAGCGGGATATATTACGGAGTTGACATGGAGTTAAAACTATACGGTTAGAAGAAGTTTTTTTGGCGTTGCCGTATTGCTTAGGGCGCTGGCAGTAGATATTCATAGCTAGAAATGAAGTCGTTGAAATTCATTTTAGGTGAGACATGAGCCGTGCTGCGGACCGCGCACGTGCATCGGGGCTGGAAAACTCCTGGTCCAAGCTCCCCCTATCAGCGGCACATCGCAGTGCTAGCGCATCCTTCCCATCTGGGGTATTTCGAGACCCCTAATTTATTTGGGTACTTCTTTCCCAAAAGCACTCACAACAACCAGCATCGCCTAACCGGCTACTGTATATATCCTGCCATCAAGCTTTCTTGGATCATATACACAAAGCATCGCCAACAATGAGTTCCCAACCGCCCACCACCATCGCGGAACTTCTCGCAGACCGCACAACAGTGCTCTCATTCTCACTCGTCCTCGCGCTCATCATCTCCGCCTACGTCCTCTCCCTCGCAACACTGCGCCGCGGCACCTCCGGCGCGCTGCGATTCCTCTTCATCTGGCATGCCTTCGACGCCCTGATCCACTTCATCTTCGAAGGCTCCTTCCTCTACAACGCGCTCTTCACGTACGTTTCGCTGCCGTCGTTCGCCTCGGCCGCGCCGAACTGGTTGGGCTACACGGACCGTCTCTATGGCTCGAACTTCGGCGGCCCAGAGAACCACCTCGCTGCGCTCTGGAGGGTGTATGCGCAGGCTGATTCGCGATGGGGAGGCGCTGACGCGACGGTCGTGAGCATCGAGCTCCTGACAGTGCTCCTGGCGGGGCCAGTGGCTGCGTACGTTGCGATTTTGATCGCGCGCGGGGACGCGAGGGCGAGCATATGGATGATCGCGCTGGCGGTCGCTGAGCTCTATGGCGGGTTCATGACCTTTGCGCCGGAGTGGTTGACTGGAAGCCCGAGCCTGGATACGAGCAACTGGATCTTTACGTGAGTTTTCCCTGTTGCTGTTCGTGGAGTCTGGGTTCTGAAGCTAACATGTGATAGATGGGTGTACCTGTTCTTCTTCAACACGCTGTGGGTCTGGATCCCGATGTATGCGATCTACGTTTCGTACAAGGATATCTGCAATGCCTTCAATGTTCGCACAGAGGTCATTGTCGCGAGCGAGGAGAAGCTGAAGAAGGAGGAAAGTAAGAAGGCGAGGTGATGTGCGCCTGGTGGGTGTTGGGATGATGTGGGATGGCTATAGTGCGTAATGTAATAGGTGTAAATATTAATTAGGGAGATATAATATGCATATATACTCATACGGAGTATTATTTCTTATATTGGAGTCTCCTAATATTGCTTCTTGACTGGAGAACGTCATTGGCCTTGATAGCGGGACGGGCCTTTTCGCGGCGTGGCCGAGTATTACGTAGATGCGGCTAGATATCCGTAAGCTGACGGTGGTGTATCTGCATCTTTCATCTACGACTCTGCAGCTGTAGGAATCCGAAGCAAGTTTCATGAAGAATTTTCACCTGTGTTCGAGGGGCGAATGGTGAAATATACAAATATTCCAGGCATAGCTCTAATGTGACCGATAGGCGCCTTCAACAAATCTCCAATCCAAGAGGTCGTATTCGAATGGAACGTGTGACCGTAGAAATATAACATCGAAAATTGAATTAAACGTAACACAAGGCTTACTCCCATAAACTATAATATACTGTGAAATATTCGCAGATGCCTTCATTCTGTTGCCCGTAGTTACTATTTATGATGTTGCTGTTCCTTTGTTCTCCATACGCATACGGTACTAACCGCCAGGCACAACAATTCGTATACGCGCAGCCAAGTGGCGGCTTATGGCCATGAGCCCTACGAGCATCTCGTATCAGCTTCTACCTTCACAAAGTTGAAGCCGCTACGAGTACATCGAGCGAGGACAGCGACACCATAACTATGGAGGCCGCAAACCAAGGACTGGACTTGGAGAGGGAGTTGACATGTTCGGTGAGGAAGCCACAACCCGTTTATTTCATGCCAGGCGAACGTCACCGCGGCCACAAGCGGTCCTCAGCCTCGACAGCTAAGCCGCAGTCGTGACGACGCCGATGACAGCTTGGGAGCAATGCCTACTCGCCTTTGGCTCCTATGGCTACGCCTTGCAGCGCTTTATCTTAATCACTAGCTAACGAGCTCGCCCTGTAGATCTGCACCGAGGTCCTCTACCAACCCCTCACCCTCCTCGATTGCCTCCATACCTTCTGCGGCGCGTGCCTCAAGGAATGGTTCGCGTTCCAGCTCAACTCGGCGCGTGCCTCCGGCGCCTCTTCTTCGAGCAGCAGCAACCCCGTCACTTGCCCGTCATGTCGTGCCGTGGTGCGCGCAACGAAGAATAATGCGACAGTCACGACGCTCCTTGAGATGTTCCTCGCCGCGAACCCGGACAAAGGCAGGACGGCGGAGGAGAAGGAGGATGTGAAGAAGAAATACAGCCCGGGCGATGATGTCATGCCGAAATCAGAGGAGCGGGAGAAGACTATGAGGGAACGAATGGCCGAGGATGACGATGGGAGGCTGATACAGCAGGTTCAGATGGCTAGTTTGAGGGAGGTGGGGGTCGAGCTTCCGGAAGAAAGGAGGGAGAGGAGGAGGAGGAGAGAAGAAAGGGCGAGGGCATCGGGGCGCACATCTAGCCGGACTGCTAGCAGAGAGCCAAGCAGTGACCCTGCCGGGTCAGGACAGGACAGAGACCGAAGGAGGGCTGAGGAGGACAGCGGGAGTGAGAGCAGGCGTAGGCGTGAGGAGAGGCGCGAGGAAAGGGCATCAGCATCTGCGTCGTCACCGACTACATTACACCCAGAATCTACTCGAGCTTTAGAAAGGAGACGACGACGGAGCGAAGAAGCAGCAGCTCGCAGAAGCCAGGATGACTCGCGACGGAGGAATGACGACGCAAACCGAACTGCTGTGAGGCAGATTGAGCACCAATCGTCCCTGCGCTCCTTGATAAGCTCCTCGGATGTGGACTCGCGCGAGATGGAGGAAGAGATCCTACGCCAGATTCGCGAAGAAGGCCTGTTAGACGGCATCGACCTGGAGAACATCGATGTCAACCAGGAAGACCAAATCAGTGAGCGAATTGCAGAAGCATTTAGACGACGCCAAAGGGAAAGGGCTGAACAAGTTGTTGCGCCAGAGCCAAGAAATAGAAGCCCGAGCGATCGTAGTGAACATAGATCAGCTACATCGAGCAGGACTCGCCAGAGCACGACTACAGCACCTCCTATGGCGACAGCCCGGCGACTTCCACACTCTAGGTCCCTGAGTGCTGCTAGCCAAGCTGATGAGGCCACGAGAGCAAGTCCTCGTACTAGCGCAACTCGCCTCGAACCACAATCAAGTGATGAAGGACGAAGACGACGGCGAACGGCTAGTGGGGGACATAGGAGCACCAGAAGTGCCACATCACCTGCTCCATCATCATCCCCAGTGACACGACCTGCAGCTCGATCAGCCACCGATCTTACAGAACGATCTACTTCATCACACATTGCTCCTACACGTCCTCTAATGTCTGTCGAAACAAGAAGCACAACGGAGCCGGTGCCAACATCGTCAAACGTTGCCGACGTTGTTGAGCTTGCGACAGGCCGACGCCGGCCACCGACTCTCCCCCCGAGAAGCCAGTTAGCAGGGGAAGCTGAAATTGCTGCGTCGCCAGTTGAGCTTCAATCATCCCACACGCGCACAGCATCGCAAGCTCCCGCTTACCCCCCACCACCAGTACCTGTAGCAACCACCCCACAGGATTCGCAACCTGGTCTTAGCCCAGCCGCGGCGCTCTCCCACCATTCCACAGCCACCGAACGAGCCTCCGCCCTCCAAGCCGTCAGCCGTCCCACGTCTTCTGAGTCAACAGCCTCCCAGCGCGTATCCCTCCCCCGCTTCCCAGAGCCATCCATCCAATGCAATCGCTGCCACAAATCACACATCGAATACGAGCTCCATTACTCATGCTCCATCTGCGCCAGGGGGGAGTGGAACCTATGCCTTGGCTGTTACCGGTCCGGTCGCGGCTGTGAGCACTGGTTCGGTTTTGGGTACGCCGCGTGGGCGAAATGGGAGAAAGCCCGTACTGCCGGTCACATCCCACCCAATGCCGAGAAGCCGCATATGCTATTCGCCGAGCGCTATCTACCGCCGAGGATCACGCCTGGTGGTGCGGAGGGCAGGAGGACGTTGACGACGGAGGATCCGGCGAGGAGGCTACAGAGCGGGGCGTTCTGTGCAAGTTGCCAGGAGTGGGCAAATGAGTGTTACTGGCGCTGTGATTCTTGTAATGAGGGGGACTGGGGATTCTGCAACAACTGTGTGAACCAGGGACGGTGCTGCACACACCCTTTGCTGCCACTTCTCTACAAACCTGACAACCGCGATGGAGAGCCGATGAGCCCACCCCATGACCACCAGACTCCAAGGACGGCGACGCTACTGACGGGACCGGGTGTTGTCGAGCTGGGTAGCTTCAAGCCGCTAAGCTTCAGGGTCGAGTGCGATGCGTGTCACTACCCCATCCAGCCTACTCAGACGCGCTTCCACTGCTTCCAGTGCACATCAGCGCTGCCTGGACGCGAAGCCGGAGACTATGATCTCTGTACCACGTGCTATCACTCTATGGTGAACAAGAAGCGGATTAGCAACGAGAACGGCCATCAAGGATGGCGACGTTGTCTCCAAGGCCACCGTATGGTTATTGTGGGGTTTGAAGATGCGAGGGGTGGTCAGCGGCGAGTTGTCGTGCAGGACCGCGTCGGAGGACGTGGGCTCTTTGAGGAGCCAGCCAAGACGCAGGATGCTGTCGATGCAGGGCTTCAGCAGTGGAGCTGGGCGGAGGGCACGAGGGCGAGGCTGGTGACGAATAATGTTTCTTCCACGGCACCGACTGGTAACCCGGCGATGGCGAGGGAGTTCCCTCCCGACGGCGGGGTGGGGATGCGGGCAGTGGCGCTGTGGAGCTGGTACCCGAAGGAGGGGGAGGGGGCGAACGAGCTGCTGTTCCCGAGAGGGGCGGAGGTGCGGGAGGTTGTGGATGTGAATGGGGATTGGTTCCATGGGTCGTTTATGGGTGCCAAGGGCTTGTTTCCGGCGCCTTATGTGAGGGTCTTGGACAGTGCTTCGTGAGACGTGGGGTGAAATAGAGTGGGTTATAGTTACGAAGGTATGATGTGACGAGCGATTTTTTAGCATAGCGGATTATTTAGAATATTGTTATTATGGGCTTGCGGGAATCTGATAATTATTTACATATCATTTAGAGATTATGAGCTTCAGATCTGTGTATAATATCTACGTCTATGGTTCTATGGCTATGGTATCGGTTTATCTAGAAAGTATATACAGATATCCACCTATTCAGAGAATACCTACGGAATCAAGTCGGAAGCAATAAACACATACCTACTCATTCCACATCTCTTTCCGCCCAGCCCTCCAACCACATTCTCGCTCCTACTGTTCCCCTCCTTGACCTCCGAATGCACCCACCCACTCCCCTGCCCAAACGGCAGCAATCCATCATCGCCATCTACAACCCCCTTCCCCCTTCCACTAATCGACCTAAACTCCCCTCTACCCAACTTCCCCAAAAGCTCCCCCGCCACCGCCTTCGCAAGCCCCTTCCCCCTCTGCTCCGCAACTACAAACAGCGTCGCCAACGACCCATCAACATCCACAAACGCCCAGGCGACCATTTCTCCGCCCTCATCCAATATAGCCACGCTAGGCAGCCCCTGTAGCGTCTCTGCCTCCCTCGGAATCCCGCTCGTCGCTATAACGAGCCCCAGCTGCTCACGCGGGACGGGGGCGATCTGGAATCCCTCCGGCAGCGACGAGGCGTGGGGACCCGCTAAGGGGATGTTGAAGTGCGTCCAATTCGTGTCATGCTTCACGGCATCAAAGGGGCGCGCGACGCATGTGATGGCGTCGGCGAGGTGGGTGGGTATGCATCCGAACTTGAGGAGGGGTAGGAAAGGCCAGCCTGGCGCGGCGGGGACGACGGTATCGCGGAGGAAGACGATTGCGGCTTTTGCGTGGGAATTGAGGGTTTCAGATTCTGAGGCTGATAGGGAGGGGAGGATGGTGAGGGGGTTGAAGAGCCAGATCTGGGCTTCGGTGTGGCGGGAGCGGTCGGCGAAGAGGATGGTGGGGGTGGAGGAGGGATTGGGGGAGGAAGAAGGGGGGAAGGTGGCGGCGAAGAGGCAGTGTCGGGATGGAGTGTTTTGGGGAGCGAGGATGCGGTTGTAGAGAGGGTTGCTGTGGGGGAGGTGGTCTTGGAGGACTGATATAAGGATCGTTTGGGCCAGGTCTTGGGGCCAGCGGTGGAAGGCTACAGGGCCGGTAATTGCTTCTGGTGTGTCCATGTTCATGTCAAAGAAAATATACAGAATAGAAAATAGAAGCTTGAGACCATACGATATTATGAGAGAGTATGTATATCTTTCTAATCGATGCACTAACTACTATAGTTTGTGACTCAAAATTACTCATAAGAAGTTAGTTTATCACGTGTTTTCGACGATATTCCGACTACATACGTCGCAGTAATACACACACACGTCATAAAGCTATATATCATCTTACGTTCCATTAAATACTATGGGATCATTTAATATCATGGTAGGTGACGAACGGGTGAGCATGCGTGTGGGCAGTTACATTTCACGTGCCTGTGCTAATTCAGGAGTCGAAATAGAAATGACGGGATAAACCAGGAGACGAGGGTTTAATCCAGGTTAGTGCAGTATAGCAAGGGGGGAACGGCGCTATTTCAGAGGCTAAATCACTAGCTGCAAACAAGCTTCCCAAGTGAGAATTAATAACCGTTTGGGACTCGAAATATGGTCTGCTCTTCTCATATTTTGTATGGAAAGTTAGTTATGGTTCTAAGTATGAGTAACGCATTCGTATGATTTTGAAGACCACTTGAATTTCCAACTAACTAGTTAGGATATGTCACGTAATGCCCCCGATAATCCTCTCATTCCCTGTGTTCTTCCCTCTCTTCTTCCTGTTCTTCACCGTACACAGTCTCATTCATCACAAACCGGGGCGACAGCGGTAGTCGTACCAAATATCTCATCGAGAAAGCGCCTATCACATCTCAGGAGCTCTCATATGAATGAAAGTTCATATAACTTCTGTTATTACTATTTCTTAAATCCACATTCGCCCTCAAAAGCCCAATAAACCAGTACGATCTTCTGCCAAAATGCATCCCGTCATCATTTTGCTTGCGGCTATTGCCGTAGCCGCCCTTCCTCGAAATGTCGATCACATCGAACCCAACGAGACCATAGACTCGAACCCAGGAACAGGATATAACAATACGTGGGAGGCATCCAACAAAAGCACGGTCAGCAACGGAACACTTACTTCTCAAAGAAACCGGGTAATCGTGAACATGCACATGGCCACAGTTGGCTTTGACTATGGACGTTGTGGATCTGGCTTTGGTAGCTGCAAGACTGGTTCTTGCTGCTCTGATTATGGGTTGGTATCCCTCTCCTCGTCGTTTTAATCTCGCTAACATGGAGCAGTTATTGTGGTATCCAAGAGCCGTACTGCGGAGACCGGAACAGCACCAAATTCCAGAATTCAGGTGCTCTCTATCCCCCGCATACCAACGCCAATATATACAAACGGTCAACGGGTCCTACTACCTCGATAATCCCCAGACGCAAGGTCGGGTCTGTGCCATATGCAGGAAGTGGAGAGATCCGGCACTGTACCGAGATGGGTACTGTCGCTTTGACCTTTGATGATGGCCCATCTGCGTATACCGACGACTTGCTGGATCTCTTGGACGAGTATGGCGCTAAAGCAACATTCTTTATCAGTAAGTAAAATATCCATGCCGTGGTAGTCCCGTCTTACTGACTTCTCATAGCTGGCAATAATAATGGCGTACATGAGATCGACGACTGCTCAACCGGTTATCCAGCTATCATCAAGGTATGAGCCAGCGCGGACCAAAAATATATATAACTCATGCTAACTTACTCACAGAGAATGTATGACTCGGGTCATCAAATTGCCAGTCACACCTGGGGGCATCCTGACCTCAGCGGGGTAGATGAAGAAGAATTCGACAGACAAATGTACCGGAACGAAATGGCAGTCCGCAATATCCTTGGCATCATCCCAACCTACATGAGACCACCATATATTTCCTGCGACTACAATTGCGCTGAGAAGCTCGATGATATGGGCTACCACAACATCTATTTCGACGTCGACACCGTTGACTATTGGAACAATGACGCCGAGTTGATCCACAACTCAATGAATAACGTGGACGCCGCCATTGCCGCCCGTGGTGAGGACCCGAGTCAAGGCAGCTTCCTCATTCTCCAGCATGATATCCATTACCATTCGGTATACTCTCTCACAGAGTATATCCTCGCGGCAATGGCCGAAGCTGGATATGGCACCTCGGTGACCGTTGGGACCTGCCTCGGCGATCCTCGACGAAACTGGTACCGTGATGCCCAACCAGCCACCGTGGAATGTTAGGTGCCATCGACAATACCAGGACCTACTTACTGTATAGCGCGTTAGCATATATCCAGATTGCTGATGACCTGCGCCGTAATGGAGGATAGCAGTCTAGGGTAAGTATACATTTACATATCCGGGAAGCACAAGGCCCGAGACGACTGCTCGAATTGAATATCGTTTGTTATTTTTTGAACTTAATATTGGATATTGGGATATCCCAAAGGCATCCACTCAACCAGTGTTCCCCAAATAGTATTCGAATACTATTCGGGGTTTTCCCGAATACTCGCCATCTGAAAGTATTCGGCGAATACTCATACAAATCCTCGCCGAATACTATTCGAAAACCACAAATCCTAATACTATTTTGGGGAACACTGCACTCAACTGTTCCTTTGGATGGAATGAAATTGTTGAAATGTAGACGTTTGCATACAGTTAGTTATATCTTAGACAAAAGAAATCCAATTCTGATTCAAATTTGAGTGACATGTGAAGACTTTTCTGTGAAAATAATATTATCTGTTGTGATCAGCCTTGCAAGTCTTTTGTGTTCCAAACTGTAAAGAAGTCGACAACTTCTCCATGTTGGGGGGGGGGTTGTTCACGATTATGTTTGGCCAGGAACGATCCGATGATGGCGAGTCCAGCCAGAAATGTGGATCGCAAGGCTGCCAATCAGGTACAGTTGCTCTGGCGACTTCCCCTCCCGCAAAAGTAAACACTGCGAACATCGCTGAGGAATGTCGAGAACCACATAACTACGAAACTCAGATTACATTCTATAATAACTAGCTATTGTTCACTGCCAAACCGGTATCTGTCGTGCGTTACGATCAAACTCGAGTCCCGCGAATAAGCCCTTACCAAAGGTTTCCTCAACCCGCCAGCGAATCTATATCAGCCAAGCCATACGTGGGGAAGGAGGCTTGATACCGAGGCAGAGAAAGGCCGGATCGAATATTGCAGGGAAACAAGCGGAATATCGAGCAGTTCATGAGAAGGGGCCCCTTGCAGGAGCCGATCAGTTATGGCGTACGCAGCAGAGCAACATAAGTGGATCAACGTCCAGCAGAAGACATTTACGAAATGGTGCGTTATCACACAACCCTGGCTTGAGGGCATGCGCAGTGAGCTATTTCTTGGATGTATGGTTAGCTAACAGGTACCTCATATAGGCTGAACGCCAAGATATCAGCTAGGGAGGTCGAAGTCAAGGATTTGGTGAAAGATCTGAGCGACGGTGTAAGCTGCGAACTGTCAATATCCAACTACAGTGTGCTAAGACCTTCCATAGGTTATACTTATCCATCTTCTCGAATGCCTCTCCAGCGAGTCCCTGGGCCGCTATGCGGCGAAGCCAAAGCTACGGGTGCAACGATTCGAAAATGCCAACCTCTCGCTCGACTTTATAAAATCGAAAGGAATCCAGATGACCAACATAGGCGCCGAAGATGTGGTTGATGGAAACCGGAAGATTATACTTGGGCTTATATGGACTCTTATTCTACGGTTCACAATCTCCGATATCAACCAGGAGGGTATGACTGCGAAGGAAGGCTTGCTACTCTGGTGCCAGAGGAAAACGGCCTGTTACGATGAAGTGGATGTTAGGGACTTTAGTGCAAGCTGGAACGATGGGCTGGCGTTCTGTGCGTTGCTGGATATACATCGCCCAGATCTGATCGACTACGACGCACTGGACAAGAAAGACCATCGTGGAAATATGCAATTAGCTTTTGATATTGCGAGCAAAGAGATCGGTATACCAGATCTTCTTGATGTGGAGGACGTCTGCGATGTCGCCAAACCGGATGAAAGATCCTTGATGACGTATATTGCATACTGGTTCCATGCTTTCTCACAAATGGAGAAGGTTGAAAATGCAGGTCGACGGGTTGAGAAATTTGTCAGCAGCATGCAGGGCGCCTGGGAGATGCAGAGTGCATTTGAGCGAAGAATGCGAGCCCTCTTGAAGGCTATCAAAGAGAAAGGTCAAAGTTGGCAGGATTCTGACTTTGAAGGCACATATGTCGACGCAAAGAGTCAATCTGCGGAGTTTGGCGTGTATAAAAGGGGGCAGAAGAGGGAATGGGTAGCGGAGAAGAGCGAACTGGCAGCATTACTGGGTAATATCAAGACAAAGATGAGCACCTACCGCCTTCGGCCCTACGACCCACCGCAAGAGCTCCGGTTGGATACGCTGGAGAAAGAATGGGCAGTGTTGATGAGGGCCGAGATGGCAAGGGGGCAGCTCATCAACGAAACAATCAGGGAGTAAGACTAAACCTTTCTACCTTCAAGATTCTACGAGACTAACATTCCTTTTAGTATCAAAAATGCCTTGAGGAGAACTTTTGCAGACAAGGCTAATGACTTTGCACTTGCTTTGAATGCTATGCAACTCGCCGTTTCGGGGCTGGAGGGTGACGTTGAAGATCAGTTAAGACATGTCAAACGACTAAATGAAAGCGTGGCACCGCTCGACTCGTATCTCGAGACGATCGCCGAACTCGACCAAAAATGTGAAGAAGCAAACATCGAAGAGAACGACTTCACGACATACACATATGATGAGCTTTCCTACGAACTTGGCCTTGTGAAGGGTTCGGTGTCTAAGAAGCTGGCCTTCTTAGACAACCAAGTGGTGGCACGAAATATGACAAACCTCACACCTATACAGCTGGAGGAGTTCGAGAGCGTCTTCCGCCATTTCGATCGTGATGCTTCCAATAGTCTCCAGGAGCTGGAATTTAGCGCCGCGCTGGCGTCTCTTGGGCTGGTATTTAGCGAGGACGAGATGCACGACTACTTCCTAGAGACATCTCGTGGGCGTGACCGCGTGACTTTCGAACAATTTATCAACTTCATGGTGGACGTCACTGAGGATCAAAACACGGCCGAGCAAGTCTTCCAGAGTTTCCGAGAGGTTGCTGATGGAAAGCCTTATGTTACAGAGATGGACCTGCGACATAGTCTCGTGCCTGACGACGTTATTGAGAAGTTGACCAAGATAATCCCCGCACATAAGGGGCCAGACTTGCAGGAGGATCGAGGCATGCCACAATACGATTATGTCAGCTTTATGGATCATCTCATCGATGATCCAGAGGAAGATCTGCGAGCAGATGCTGGGAAAGGAAGCAAAGTTCTCGGGGAGATTCAAAACGCGCCAGGTGTCAAAACTCATGCGTCGCCTACGAAGAGCAATGGGAATTATTAACCGCCCGGCTCTGTATAGAAGTGTCAATGAAGAATTGTGCATAGCTGGGAGTTGGAGGGAGCTTTTGTCGATTTGGTGTTTTCGGGTAGAGGTGCATCGGGTAGGCCTTATGGGGCCGTTGGCAAGTTGGTGAGGAGGCATGGCACGGGCAGCGGGCCAGCGATGTCGGTTACAACTCGCATTAATTTTAGAAGGAGACAGTGGCGGCAGAGAACCCAACCGGTATGAAGCTCCTCACGCGGACCTAATATTCAGAGCAATGCTATGAAAGGAAGCTAAGGCAGCCACAGGAAAGCATCCAGGATCATAGTCGTTGAGTGTGCATCACCTCTGTCAAATGATTTTATATTAAGCCAATGTAGTGATTTGCTTGCTTTTGTTACTGTTGACTTCGTTACGTTTATGATCGTGAATACTTTGCCTTTCTCATTCAAGTCTCACTGTTGTCTGTCTGTCAGTCGTTCCCAGTATAGCCATGTTCAGCGCAGCTGGTTCACCAACTCTTATTGTCTGTACAATGCCAAGCACTATGATACCGAGTCATACTGTGCGTTTGCCGATGATGTTCAACTGATGGCATGGTTTGATCTCAGGGTCTTCTATTCACAGTCACAAAGCAGGTTCACGTCATAATACCTCAATGTGAGTGGTTAAGTTATGACATTGTATGCTCTAACCCCTGTTGCATTTCATGCCCCAGGTCATCACTCCACAGGTTCTCTGCAGAGACTCCCGCATGGTACAAAGCCCCAACAACGCTCAAAGAATAGCAATTTATGCTTTCGCTCCCTTTGCATTTTATGCTCAGGGACGCAGTTGTGCAGGAGAGTATGCAGAGGTCATATGTAACGGCGTCCCGCTACACATGAACCCCCGAGAAACCCCCTCGGCCTCTGGGAGGCATAACACAAACAATACATACAAAAACTCCAAAAACTCCGTTGCCGCTTCTTCTCCTGGGTATATCCGTTTTTCCTTTTCCGTGCTTGACGCTTTTTAAACTCCCGCTAATGCAAAATCTTGATCCATCTATGCCGATTAGGGTCTAGGATCCAACGGGTGTTCGGCTATAAACCATTCTGACATGTCGTCCACCAACTGGCCGAATTCCGCATCTGAGAAACTGCCGTATGTATCAACAGATGGGTCCTCCTGAAAATGTGGTCAGTAATTGCATTTGGAAATTAAGGTGGCAAAACTCACAAGGCCCAACGATAGCCCAGGGTTATTGACGTTCGACTGCGGGTGACTGGTATTGTCCCCTTGTGCAGGAAGTGTCAACTGAAATGTTAGGTCAGTTAATTCTCTTTGGCGGAATGGGGACTTACTAAGCGTGGGTCTATCGTAGCTTGCGAGGCTTGTTCGCTCGCCACGACTTCTGTGTGGAAGCTCCCGCCCAAGCTTGGGAGTCCCAACACATCAGAGGCAGTTTGCTTTAGCCAATCGCTGTCATCACCTTGCCATTCTTCGGCACCCGATCCGTTCACGTCCTCTAGCCAAAGCCAAGAGTCGTCTGGGGTCGATTCTGACCCAGGAGCAACAGGAGCCACTGCTGCGATACCCGCCACGTCGAAGGACAAAGTATTGTTCAGACCTTCCGGGATCTGCGGAGCGGCTTGGTGCGCGGTCACCATCCCGTTGTTCTCAACCGGGCCAGCGACATCCCGGTATGGGTCTGCCATGGCAATTGGGAGCTGCATTACAGTAAGTCGGTGTTCATCATACATCCTCCATTGGAGGATGGATACTTACCTCCACACCCATTTGGGGCGGACTATAGTCATTTCGCAAGGACGCAACTTGCTCATCACCGGCGTTCACCATAACTGGCTCGGTGGAATGCGCTCTCGGCCTTCTGGCCGGTGGAGATGGAGACTCGGGGTCAGCCTCCTCGATCGCCCGCTTCTTGCCCTTCGAGGGCTTGCCGGACTTTGCAAGCTCCTGTCCGGCAAAGGCTTCGCGTACGTTCTTGTCCTTACGAGTGGATGACTTGCTCTGTAAGCAGCAGCATGCGACGTACGCGGCCACAAAGCCCTTGGAAATACTCGCGGTGATCGGTTTGACTTTTTCGAAGACTGCGTCCCGACCCTGGTGCCCGTGATCATGGTGGATCCCGGCAAGGAGGGTGTACCAATGTTCTGTTGGCACTTCTGGGACGTCTGCTCTGACTCCGTCTTTGACTCCGTAGACATCTCCTTCGTAGGTGACCCACTTTGTTTTGAGCTCATATCTGCAACTTGTTAGTATTCTGGCCAGTCATTCATACACTTGTATGAGAAACAAGGAGATCTTCGGCAACTCAACCGACATGACGAAAACTCGGCATTTCTACAAGAGGTAACGAGGGGGGTAACCTACCTCCAGCTTGCGCAAACCTGTCCTTTATTCCTTGGGTAGTGCAATGGAGGAATTGGGTTCTTCTCCTTGATGCGTTGGAGAGTGTCCGCAGGTCTATGAGAAGAACGCTGTTTTTTTGGTGACTCTCTAGCAACGTAGCGTTCCAGACAGTTTTGGAAGCTACGCACTCCCATAAAATCTGCGTCCATTGCGAGGCCATGCTCTAGGAACTGCACCGAGAATGTGTGTGGATGTGATACTTCAGTCACCGGGCCGTCGGTGCCGTAGATTTCATCAGCCGTTCTCTGGTCTGCCTTGAGGCGAGCAGCATCTTCTCTAGCAATGGCGCCAGCCTGGCCATTTTTGATCATGGCTGGAGTTTTCTGTTTCGCGGACTTCTGGGCCTTGTAGGGCCGCTCACCCATGATCGAAGCCATTTGCGGCTCAATGTTTGGTCCCTCTTCTCCACTGGAACTTCCTTCTCCGAACTCAAAATGCTCGGACCCTGGAGCTACAGTTTGCTCAACGGGGTGCTGCATGTTATAAACCTCGATGGGATGGAGTTCATGGACGGGCATGCCTTGGATACTGGCTTTTGCACCTTGGAGAGGCATCGCTAGCGGGTTATTAAATACCGACGCAGTCTCGCTCAGCCGAGAGGCTGTTGCTTGCTCGGTGGGCTCAGTCACGGCAGCTTGGAATCTGAATTCCGCCATCTGTGCCTGATCGACTGTGTTCAACTTGGAATGCATTGCTACAAAAGTCAGTTCAGGTCTGCAAGCCAGCTACTGGGGAAACGTACTCCTTGGTCGGACGTCGGTAGAGTGACTGAAAGAGAGACTGGGCTATTTATCAGTGCCGTGTTCAGAGTCAAAATGATAAAGATACTGACCGACAGGCACTGTTAACCTGACAGTAGTCACTCAGGGGGGTCCTGCCGAACTTTGTCGTTGAGGACCTTTGGTATCTTTGATGGATATCCAATATCAGTGATACCGACACCAGTGGACGCACAGCTCTACCTGTGAGTTAGAATCCAAGTCCACATATATGTGATAGGAGTACTCACTTCTGCCAGGGGCCTTCTACTGTTATTCACAATTTTCTGTGTCAGACACAAATTCAAGACTTAAAAATCCAGTATCTCTCGTAGATGACTGGGTGATGCAGCGGACGTGCTGATCTATTCTTGGATATCTCCAGAATGTGGGTTCTTGTACTTTGACAAGGTGAGTGTTCAAGGGAGCTTTTGAACAAACGTAAGTTGGCTTTGAACAAACGTTGTGCTTGAGATGTGCAAAGGTGGCCCTGGAAGCTGTGTGTGACTGATGTTGTAGAGGGAAGGAGGAAATGGGGGGGAGGGCTAAAAGGGCCATACTATTATAGGATTTGAGGGGCAGACTAAAAGTTACGGCCAGGAGCAGGTGATACAGCGTGGAATGGTTTCAATCGGTGAGAGAGCACCATTGACATACACTAATAGAGGAGTCAGACATTTTGCGGCGTCGTTAGGAGAGTTAATGCTGCGCCAGAAGCTTCTTGGACGCTACTTCTAGTAGGTGAGCCTACGTGGAATGGTTCCATGCGGTAGAAGAGCACCCAGAAGAGCACCATTGACATCAACACTAACAGAGGAGTCACACATCTGGCGTCGTCGCCATGGAGCTGACGATTTATCAGAGGCTTGTTAAACGCTATTTTTGGCAGTTGGCCTCGAATTGGCGTCATTTGCATCAAGCGAACGCATGATTGTTGCCAATGGGCAGTATATATGAAGCATCTGGAACTTTTGAGCCACTAGCTATGAATTTGGTGTTGAGAGGAGCTTTCTACATCTCTGTCGAGAGCTTGTTTAACGCTGTTTCTAGCGGCTGACCTCCAACCAATGGTAACTTGCGTACAGATGGAATGTTAGCCTTCACATGAGACTATGGTTCATTATGAGAACCATCACCACAATAGCTATGGCGGAAAGCAATGGGAGGAAGGCGGCGGAAGGTAAAAGCGTCACGATTGACGTGAGAAGGAAACTACGATGGAGCGAGTATAGTTAGCTCTACAGCCAATAGCAACGGAAGGTACGAACGTACGTTGACTAGGCAAATTGGCTCTGGTAGATAATAGCAAGGGAAGGCGCGGACGTATTGGCTCTGGCAGATAATAGCACGGGAAGGTGCGAACGTAAATTTAACTAGGCAAACTATTCATCGCTCTGATCACAGGCAAGGAAGGAGCGTTCTGATCATTATGTCAAAAGTAAACATTGTATCTCCAGCGAGATGCAACAGGTAATATGCCATTATCAAACGCTATGAAGCCCATATTCTACTCCTCCTCCTCCTCAGAATCAGACAGACCAGCTTCCAAATGCACAGACTCGTCATCAGAGTCCTCTTCTTCGACAGCATCCACAGTTGCAGTTGTAGTCGTCGACTGTACTGTTGTGCGTGTCGTCGTTTCGGCCCTTGGCGCACCCTCGCTAATGCTAGCGGCAGGGGCCGCCACATCCTTGCCCTGCGGCTCCTTACTAGTGTAAACCTTATTTGTGGCGCTAGTGCTAGTCCCCCAATGGTTAGTCTCTTGTTCCCTCGTCTTGGTTGACGTGATCGGAGCATCAGTAGAAGTGGCATCGTTACTCGTTGACATCGATGTCGCAGTGGTATTGACGATATTCTCGAGGAGTTCTTCTTGTTCATCCACTGGCTGTAGATCATCCATCGCTACATCGTCGTCCTCCTCAAGCTCCTCTTCGAGAGGCGCACCCATTACAGGCCCAGATTGTCGGATGACAGGAAGGCGTGGCCTCAGTAGTGCCTCCACAGCGGCATCTCGCGGATATGCGCGGCAAAGGTGCGGAAGAATGCTAGGCAAGCTCTTTCCATTCCGCCCTAAGAACGGGCTCAGAACGCTAGCCAGCATTGCTTCTTTGTGGTGTGATAGAATGGCTGTCCTATCTAGCTCGGCTCGCGTATATGCCTCAAGGTGTTGTTGAGGAATAAGAGTGAAGAATAGTGGCAGGAGCGCTTTGGCGCTGCTGACAACTGTCGTATCGTGCACATCGGCAGATGACAGAATTGACTTGTTCTTGAGGAAACTGTCGGCATTGGCGACGCCATTGGAAGTAGCCTTTCCGCTACTGTCCTTCAGCGCTATAGCGGGAACCACCTCCTCGACAGTACGTAACTCTTTGCAGCAGGCAACTATCACCGACGTCATTCTGTCAATGGAAGGTTTTGGAAGGCCCGATGCACATAGAGGTAAAATAGCCGCAATGACGTCGTAGGCTTTTGCGCGGTACTGCTCGTCTTGTTTTCCTGATCGGAAGGTCCACGTAATCTGCTCCAGGCAACCTTGCGCTAGAGACGTAAAATTGTGCTGGAGACGCTCAATGAGGATTCCATACACTTCCATGACTCCTACGTAGGTTTGCGGTAGACCGGACCATAAACCTTCTCGCTCTTCACGAGAGATTGCTGGGTGGAGGCGCATGCCACCCTGGCCTGATCCATTTTTCGATGGCTGGGGAGCGGCAATGGACATCAGCCTGGTGAGGAGGTCGTCGATAATTCCGAGGGGCACGGTGACAGCGGTCGCCGTGTGGTGTCTGAAGTGCTCCTCCAGGTAACCAAGTAGACCTTGAAGCCTTTCCAACCCAGCGTCGATCCCAGTCCAGGCTGGATAGTCATCTTTTGATTTCCCACCGCCATGAAGCTCCTCGTTGACATCGATCGGCTGGGGAACGTATCCGGCAGCAGACTCCCAATCCTCCACAACAGCACGATAGACTTGATCCGTCGTGGCATGAATTTCCTTGACAAGCTCTCGGACGTTCTTGCCCCATTCTTCTCCGCTGGTGTTTTTTGGCGCTGTCTGATGCAATAACACGGCGAGAGAGCGGGCGGACTCCTTGAGAGACTCAGGCACGAAGAATCCATCACAGAAGGTAGGTGCCACATACACTCTCGTGACTTGCCTGATTTGGTTGGCAAAGGGTCGGAAGATCGCAGGATGTCTAGGCATTAACGTAGAAAAGGCGTCCAACACAGCCTCTGTAAGAGATGCTGGAACTTCCAATACCTTGCCAGTGGACTTTGAGGAGACCAGGGCAAGGCAAGAGGTAACAAAAGGTGACAGATGTGGCGTAGTGATCTCTCTGACGATGCTCTGATACTGATGCGTCTTGACAAATATACTTGTCAATGTAATGATGCATAGTCTCTTTGAGGCGACAGGATCTGGCTTCTACAAAAATGTCAGTCGTCTGGATCAAAAACCGTCGTAGATTTGCTTACTGTCAATATCGCTAACAGCCCTTGCACCCATTTCAAAGCCCCTCGTAGAACTTCCCATCCGCCGACGTCAATGATACCTTTCGCCAGTATTATCGCCGCGAATCTTCCTTCCGCACTTTTGCCGAATAATAACCTCGACACGTGAGTTTTGAGCGTGTGGACAGCAGATGCCTCAGACGAATCATCTTTGGCGGCATTTGTAGACGGCGCCGATAAAGGCCCTTGACACCTCAGTACATTCCGCAGGAGAAGAGGTGTTATCTGAGGCAACTGGGCGGTTGGGACAGTGGAGAGCTGGTGGTTTAGCACCCGCAACTCAGGTGGGATAGACATCTGATGCTTCTCGGCTTGTCGGAGTTGGCCGTGTCGTTCGTAGTATACAACAATCACAGCTTTGTCTCTTTCTTCACCCGTAATGACTCTTGTCTGTCTCCAAAAACAGATCTAGATTCCCAGTTTTCGTTTTCACTGGTTTCAACTACACGCGATCCAGCCTCGCTACATAATTCAGAATAAATTTCTCAGCCGGGATCCCATATTTAGCGTAAGGCTGTGGCTCTTTCTGATTGGCCACATGCTTACCCCAGCTTGAATTCAGATCGTCGCGAAACAGGTCCGAGGTGGACCATACGTTAACTGGCCATTAACGTAGATTCCATTGGACGTCGACCAGAATGTTTAACTGTTGTTATGTGTTAATGTTTCTGGCCTAAGATCTGTCCGGAACTCCATTGCTTCAGTAATCCGTCCAATATGGGGGTAAGATTCAATTCCCAATGTCAATCTCGCAGGGGCCTAGCAAACGAAGACCATACACTGATTGAAACCCTAGGGCCCAGATCGGTCGAAGGCTGTGAAGTATATCCAGCAGCTCGACCAGGCACAATGTGGTGGTGATTGGGAGGCCGTTCCGAATTTGGTTCGCAAGATCAGGAAGCACGCCCCTGCCCGAGCATGTACGTGAAGACCCCAAGTAGCCCCCCGTGCGCCCATTCATTGCGACGTCCACTCTTTGAACTTTGTTGACTGATTGCTCTGCATAGGTCTTACACTCGCTGCGAATGCTACCCATGCCGTTCAACAAGCCATAAGACACCAACCCTCGACGGGCACGAACCCAGAAATTACAAGTCTCGTCCAATACGTACCCCCCCTTATCGGAGCCATCGATGCGGAACACGACCACCCCGAAGATGTCTTCCAGGCTCAGGTCGCTCTTGGATGGGTACATTGGGCGCTCGGCGAACCAGAGCTTGCCGCCCTGCGACTGCCGAAAGACATTGAAGGGGATTTCTCGCTGCTCGATGGGACTTCAAAACAAGCGACGGGGTGGACGCGCACTTGCGCTTTGAAGGCGATATACATAAAAGGCGTGGCCCTAGAGAAGTCTAGGTCGCTGGGTGATGCGATTGAGGTATTCGAATCGGGGATGCCAATCGTTTCTGCGACGGCATCAGAATTGAAGAAAGCGTCGGAGCTGCGCAAGTGGACGGAGCTGTTGTTGACGAAGTTCTGCCTAATCACGAGCCAGTCCATAAAGAGCAATGCTTCACCGAGGATGGAGGCAGAGACGTTGGTGGCATTCCGAGCATGGGCGGACTTCTGGGAAAGACTGGCCAGCTCGTCGACGGCCGCAGTTGGGGGATATGCAACGGAAGCGGATGTGCCGAGACGGCTGATTTGGAAAGAATATTATGCCACACTTTCGTTTATTGTCCAAGGCGACCTGCCGTACCCATCCACCGCCCTGGGGGCTACCAGCAACAACCACGGAATGAGGATCATACAGCGAGGCGAATTGGCGCGAGTGGAAGCACGATACGAATTTCTACTTCTCAAAGAGGCGCATTTCCCAAAGGCGGAACAAAGCAGTGAAGAGATTGAAGAATTGGTTGAGCTTGTGTTAGGCAACTGGGCGGTGCTGTGTGGCGGCTGTTGGGATGAGCACGATCTCGGATCTGGTGGGAGAGTTGGCATCAGCCGTAGTGTGCTCGAAATCCTCTACAGGGCCGCCACGAAAACGTTCCATTCAACCCAGATTCTACGAGGCCTCTTCACAGTCCATCTAGCTCTCGCCGACTTTGAACTAGCCTTCAAAGCCTTTGACACTTACTTTGAGATTGTCAACAAAGGGAAACAACGGGTGCAAAAGACAGGAGAGCCGGAACATGCACTGGACAGCAACGAGGATGTATTAGTCACGGCATCCAAGTGTATAAGGGCCCTTTGCCAATTTGGTGGGGTTTCCGGGGCTGAGAAAGCAAAGAAACTTGCCCATTTTTTCGAGTCATGGTTAGAACAGCATGACCCGTCACATAGCCAGGAGGAGTTGACCAATGGCGACGCCAACGGGGTTACAATTGGCAACAAAAAGCTACTCGATAGTGGTAGTGCCGCGGAACACACATCCACAGTGTCACCTCGTGTGTATGCGCACGCCTGGCGTGCAATTGGCATAAGTAATGCTCAATGGGCACGCTTGACCCCTGATGCGAAATCACGACCTGAATACCAAACGAAAGCTATCACGAATCTACGAACAGCGCTTAAACCAGAGTACGGATGCACTGATGACGTTGATACCCTATTTGCACTTGCATTGGTGCTTTCAGAGAGACGACAGATCGGAGAGGCCATCCAGATTGTTGGTGCTGCATTAGCACCACAACGAAATGTCGACAAAGCCTCAAATCCTGCCAAATATGTCCGAGAGAGATCTCTAATACGTTTATGGCATTTGCTAGCACTGTTGCTCAGCGCGAAAGATCAATTTACAGAAGCATCCCATGCTTGCGAGGGCGCCTTTAAGCAATTTGGGGACCTCAAAGCCCTTTTCGGAGAGGGGGAAGGAGACTACCAGAGCGAGCATTTGAATGGCATGCAAGAAAAACACAGTGCGGCTATTGACGATATGGACGACTATGAGAAGGAGGCAATTATTGAAGTCAAAATGTCTCAGTTGCTTCTTATCGAGATCCAAGATGGCCCAGACGTTGCAGTCAACGGAACCGAAGAGCTTCTGAGCCTCTACTCGAGGCTTTTTGGCCAGACACAAATTCCGTTTGCCGTTCCAAGGAAGTCGCAGCAAATCCCTCCGACCACCGGAACTAGCACTCTTCGCAGCGTTAAAGGCAGCATATTTGGACGGTCAAAACGCTCCAACCGCGATGCATCTGGTGCCACAACCTTTGCCTCGTCTACGGCCGAAAATGTAAGCACGCCTTCCCGGCCACCAACCTCTCATACGACGGCAAGCGCAGCTCCAAAGATCCAGGTGACAGGAGAGAGTGGCGCGCCAGCAAAACTCACGCGGCGGAGCCAGCACCCCTCAACAAAGTCCAACAAGGGAGACAAATTGGCCCATAAGTTGAGCCACGCTAGCATCCGTAATCGGAGCGTAGCTACCTCGAAAGCGGCGTCAAACCCAGCGAGTGACGGGGAGATATCGCCTACGAATGTAGTTGATAGCATATCCCAGCAGGCACGGGAAGCGCCACCGAGACCTAACGGACAGGGTACGAAGTCGTTGAACTCATATTCACTATTGCCTTTCAGCAGCCCAGCAACGCGCTTGCCGCCGAGTAAATCGCGACGACACCACATTGGGATACTAGTGCGTGTCTGGCTCCTGATAGCCGGTTTCTACCGCCGCGCAGAGCAATATGAGGATGCCAAGGTCTCCATTGAAGCCGCCAGCGAGCTCGTCGAAGGTCTAGAAGAGGATGTCCTGCGCGATGAGAGTGGGCAACTTCTCGTCGACGCACGCGAGTGGGGAGTAGGGAAGAGCGTCGAGGAGCTCTGGGCGGACGTGTGTGCGGAGGTAAGTCTTAAATCCCGATTCAAACAAAACACCATGCTAACACATCGCAGCGTGGACAAGTCTCCCTCGCGGAATCGTGGCCATTCGTAGCTCTATCGCACTTCGAGGCCGCACTAACGCACTTCCCCGACCACCCCGCCGCCATTGTAGGACTCTCCAACATCCTCCTCGACATCTCATCTGAGGTCCTCGTCTACCCCCCTTCCATCCCCACCATCGCGACGCCGCCGTCTTCTTCCGCTTCCGCAACCCCCACCTCTCACAAACCATCAACTCACACCTCCACCACCTCGACACCACTCGGGCTTCCGCCGCCGCCCTCGCAGGGCCCAGCACCGCCTACAACAAAACTTTCGCTCTTCGACAGGCTGGCCGCGCGTGATCGTGCGCATGGGTTGCTAGATCGCTTGACGAAGCTTGGTGGGGGATGGAATGATAGTGAAGCGTGGTTTGGGCTTGCGAGAGCGTACGAGGATTCGAGGATGGAGGGGAAGGCGAAGGAGGCGCTGTGGTGGTGTGTGCAGCTGGAGGAGGCGAGGGGGGTGAGGGGATGGGAAGCGGTTGGGGGTGGGATTGCTTGAATGGTGGTTTGGTGGGAGACGGCCAGATGAGCTTTTAGGCGACGATAATATTCGTCCACGTAATTTTGGTTTTGGTTCAGAATTGTAATAGAAGCACGCATACCAAGATAGAAGAATTTCGAGCGACCGAGCGAGCTAGCATGCAATATACTGTATACCCTCGTCAGTCTTCAAGCGCTTCGAGTTATCGCAGTGACGTATTCTATATCACTCATCCCCAAATAAATCCCTCTCTTCTATAAACACCCCCATACTTTTCCCATTCCCACCTCTACCCAAAAACGCCCTTCCCAATCCTCCCCACCACACATACCCATCACCTCCCCTCCTCTGCCTCCTGCTTCCGATTCCACGCGACGCACTCCTCGAACGGCAACGCGCCCCCAAAGCAATCCAGCGCGCTCCCAATCGTGAGATCGACCTTCCCGCCACTCAAGCTCTTGACGAGCTCGAGATCAGCGATGCTGCGCCCGCCGCCGGCGTAGGTGACGGGGATGGAACACCAGGAGCCCAGGGCGCGGACGAGGTCGGTGTCGATGCCGCGCTGGAGGCCTTCGTTGTCGGCGGCGTGGATGAGGAATTCGGAGGTGTAGGGTTCGAGGGATTTGATTGATTCTGGGGGTGTTAGCTTGGTTGCCTGGGTCGTCGGGTGGTCTGGGTGGGGTGGTAGGGAGATGGTATAGGGGGCTTACCTTCGGTGATCTCCATATCCGTCAAGTCTTGCCATTTATTCATGGCCACGAACCACGTCCCATCCTTTCGGCGACAACTCAGGTCAATAACTAGTTTCTCCTTATCCCCGCCCAGCGCAGCAAGCACCTCGTCCAGACGCTCTTGCGAGAAGGCGCCCGAGGGGAAGAGGTACGATGTTATTATCACCTGTTCCCGTTAGCCCTCCATCCCCTTACAAACTGTCCACAAGACCCGCGGCTTCCAGAGCAAATAGAAGGAAACACACCTTCCCCGCCCCCCTCTCAATCCACTGCGCAGCATTATCCCCCCTCACCCCGCCTCCAACCTGTAACCCCCCCCTCCACTCCGCCACCGACTTCGTAGCAGCCTCCTCGTTCCCCGGTCCGAGCATTATGACATGTCCCCCATCTAATCTGTTCTCCTTGTAGAGTTTCGCGAAGTGTTCCGCGGGGAGTGTCGATACGAAGTTCGTCTTCAGCGTGTCGGGGGAGGAGGTAGACAGCGTACCGCCGATGATCTGTTTTACCGCGCCGGCGTGGAGGTCGATGCAGGGGCGGAATCGGGTCATTGTGTCTGTCTTTTTCCTCGGTGTGGTTTTATCGTGGTTTTTGTGAGGTGGGAATTGCGAATTGGGCACAGTGAGGAGGGGTGGTGGAGGGGGAGCTCTGGTGGGGTCGGCCAGCGACGGAAGGGTCCGTGCACGCGAGGCTGAGAAAAATAATTTGTAGCGCCTGGACGCAATGTTCGAGACGACGAGTTTATTTCGCGATTAGCATATCACGACAATGGCGGCGAAAACGATGGCTAAGAGTGTGTCTACGAAGCGGAAGCGCGAGGGGGGTCTGTCAGCGAGGAAAATTCGTGTTTTAGAGGAGGAGGAGGCGACGAAGGAGGTTGATGAGGAGAGGTCAAGCGTTGAGGATGAGGATGAGGATGAGGATATGGAAGACGGCGAGGAAGAGGAAGAGCCTGATGCGGCGGAGATATTTAGGCGGCATTTTGAGGCGCGGTTTAAGCCTTTACCTGATGTGAAGGAGAAGAAGGGTGGGAAGAAGGGTGCGATTGTGGTGGAAGAGGATGAGGACGAAGATGAGGAATGGGGCGGGCTTTCTGGGGAGAGCGAGGATGACGATGAAGAGGAAGACAGCGATGGAGATGATGGCGTGAAGAGGCGGAAAATTGACGTTGTCGAACATACCTCGGCGGTGTCAGCGCCGAAGATGTCCAAGGCGGAGTTGAAGGCTTTTATGGTATGTTCTCCCTCAAGTGTCTTTCCACAGTCCCCTCCCACGACCGCAAAGCCGGCGACGACTATAACCAAACACCTCAATCAAAAATCCAACTAACACCTCCCAGTCCGCCCGCCCTCCCTCTTCAGCAACGACCACCACCGCCCTCACAACACCCACCCCCACCGACCCCACCGACAAAGACAACACCGCCAACGACCTAGCCCTGCACCGCCTCCTCACCGAATCCCACCTCCTCACCTCCTCCACCGCCTCCTCCTCTTCCCACCAAACACACACCCTCGAAGGCACAAACCGGCACCGCGCCACGGACCTGCGCATCCAAGCCCTCGGCGGCAAGGGGTCGTTATTCGTACAAGCGAAGATGCCAATGCATATGCGTAAAGGGATAGCAGCCAAGGCAGAGGAGCGGGAGAAGGGACGCAGGGAGGGAGCGAGAGAGGGGGGCATTATTTTGGAGAGGATGGGGGGGAAGAGTAAGGAGAGGGATCGGAGGAAGGGGGGGGAGAAGGGGTTGGGGAGGGGGGATGTGGGGGCGCCGGGGGTGGGGAGGTTTGTGGGGGGGGCGTTGAAAATTAGTAAGAAGGAGGTTAGGGAGATTGAGGGACCGAAGAGGGGAGGGGGGAAGGGTGGGAGGGGGGGGAGAGGCGGGAGGGGTGGGAGGGGGAAGGGGAGGGGTAGGGGGAAGTGAGGGGGAGATGCTGAGGTGTTGAGAGGGGAGGGAAGAGTACGGAGTATGTGGTTTTAAGGAGTCAGTCACTTAGACTTTAGGAGAAGCCTACGGATACTGTGGCGGCTGTGGGTGTTTATAGCGATTATAAATGAAATGAAACTTAAAAAATTGAAGTGTTGAATTACCGGAGATGTGATTTATTATACTATAGACAAACCTACGCTTAAGAACTGCTCAGGTCCCTTTATAAATATTTCTAGAACAAGGAGTGGTGGGAGAGGGAGGGTGAAGTGACATGCTGAGGCGGTAAGGTGGTAAGATGCCGAAAAGAGAGAGAGGAGTACGGAGTATGTGGTTTTAGACGGTTAGTCACTCAGACTATGGGATGAGTCCGCAGATACTATGGCAGCCGTGGATGTTTATAGCGATCATAAATGAAATCAAAGATTAAACATTAAAGATTAAAGATTAAAATTACTCGGGGATGTGATTGTTACATCCTACACCGAAGAGAAGAATGGAAATATAATCCAATCGCGCCGGGTCTTCCTCCCTACTCGCTCTAGCATAGAGTCTAAAAGGGGGCATCTAGACGGTCAGTTACTTAAGGCTTTATAACAGTCTGCAGAACTATGGCGGCTATGGTTGTTTTACAGCGATTATAAAATGAAATAAAACTAAACAAAAAGAATTGAAGATTTAAATTACTCGAGGCTATGGATATTATATTATTATATTACCCCGAAACTTACACTTAAAAGCCCCCTATATAAAATATATGAGTATAAAAGATGCAAACCCAGTCCCGTTTATTTTTTTATGACAATGGATTAGAGCTCTATACCCATCCCATCCTCTCTTGTCTGTCTAATAGCAAAGTCAAACCAGCAAACTGAATGCCGGATAAGCCATGTCAAATCGAAGCTAATACTTTACTGTTAACAGAGAGACTACATTTTTTATTCATAATTCATCATAAGATGTGATTAAATATAACGTGTACATGGCTATGAGGTGGATATGATAGTACTATGCATCTGCAATAGCCTCCTAAGAACCGAAGACGAAAGAATATAGCTATCTAGATCCTTCGTTACGAGTACATCCCCCATTCTCAACGCGAACTGTATTTTTATATTCCAAAAATCTTGTTTATATCCAGATTTAATATAATCAAATCCAATCACCCCCTTCTTAATAACCCCCACCCAAGCAATCAAGATCTCAAATTAAAAAAGCAAGGAACCAGATGCTTGATATCACTATCACCTCACAACCTACCCCCACAGCCCCATTCTCAACTTCCAAAGTCCACGAGCAACGACTACCCCCCAACACACGCTCGGTGAACAAACAGGCGGCCAAGTGACGGACAACAAAGGAGAGCATGCACACCGAGCCGCCTCCCCGCCTCGCCGCCGTGTGGGTGCCGATACCCGTCTTAGCCATCCCCATCTATGAACCCCCCCTCTCGCTATCAATCCATCCACTCACCCTTCTATCAACCCCTCTATCAACGCATCAGCCGACAGCTAACAGCCAAGTGATCAGCCGATTGCTCTCCACCTCGTCTCCTCTAACTCCCACCCGATCTAGCAGCCAAGTATCTTGCCCCCCTCTCCCAAGACCTACACTACAGAACACTACAGCACAGCACAATAGAGGAGGAGGGGGAGAAACCCCCGATATTCCCGCCGCACCGACCGCCGACACAGACCGACATCTAGGGGGGGGGATCTATAAATACCATCTTGCATCGTATGCATAACATCGGAGACGCCGTGTTTACCCCCCCGTTTAGCGGACTTGCTTCTTATCCAGCTATTTGTCCATCTAGCATGCACCATCCACAATCCATCACCACAGCTGTCCAGGTGCCCACATCTCTTCTTACCCCTGGAGCTAACGCAGGTCCCAAAGCAGGTCCCACGCCCCCAACCCGCATCCTCCCCGTCGTCCGTCCATCCCCCTGCGTGAGTAAGGCGCCGGACAGATCACCCGATCCATCTCTAGCTCCTAGAAAAAACCCACAAACACACCAAAACAAAACTAAACAAACCCAATCCGAGCTCTACGAGGGGAATCAGGTCAAGGTCCAGATGCAGGTCCACAGCGCGCATGGCACGCACGGAGCGCTCATCTGAAACCCTTCCCCCCCCTGCTACCGCGGAGGACCAAGCGAATAACCCGCTGTTTCAGCACCCCACGCCGCACCCGCGGACCCCCTCCTCCCGCTTGCCGTCCGTGCCTGGGGGTCTGGAATGCGAGTGGCTGGTGCTTTTTTTGTTTGTTTGTTGATCTGTGGGAAGGGAGAGGGAGGAGGGGTGATTGATGGGATGGGAAGGGAAGGGAAGGGGCGGTAGTTGTAAAATGTCTCGGTAGGTGTACGATACTGTCTATCATCTACCTGTCTATCTGACAGCTCGATGTCTCGGGTAGCTGTGTGGTTCACGCATGCACGTATCCATTACCTATCTCTCTCCCTACCTCTGGGTCTAGACAAGCAAGCAAGTAGGCAAGCAAGCGTGAGTTCGCATCAGCAAGCAGACGAGACAAGTGTAAGAACCCATGAGTTCGCATCAAGCAAGCACGATAAGACAACCGCATCAAGCCGTCCGTCCGTGAGTTCGCATCTTTTACTATTCGTGTATGCGAACTCCTGTTTGACGGGGGAATGCCGGCGCAGGACAGGACAAAGGAAGGATGAAGTTGGATGAGCATGCAGGTACGCGCTGAATCTAGATACCAATCCCGGCGCCACATCGGGCTGCAACATCCATCACCAGCTTAGCTTAGATAGATCGGGTGATATACCTCACTCAGCCCGTACCTCCTTTGACAGCTCCAGCCTCCCGCTCCGTCGCTACCCATCACTACACCACAGCTCCCACGCCACAGCAACGTGAGGGACGATAGAAGAAAGCGACGGCATGGTGAGACGCGGACCCCTCGGTTTCGCACTCGTTTCGTGTTGAGTGGGCCGTTGGCGGGGAGCGTGCGTGTGGATGTATGCCAAGACGCTAGAGATGCGCGTGGAAGTGGTGGGCGTGTCGCTGGGGCGAAGATACGTATTTTTGCTGGTTGGTGGGAGAGGGAGAGGGAGGAGGGATTGGATGAGAAGGGAGGGTTTGGGGGGGAGGGCACGTGGTTGGGTGGTGTACAGTGGGGATGTATAGATGGACGATGGGATGGGTGGTGAGTGAGTGGTGAGGGATGGTTGATGGGGAGTGCTGATGGGAGGGGATCGTATGGTTATCGTTGACTGTTTGGGTGAGTGTTGCCGCTGTCTTGTTCTTGCCGCTGTACTGTAAATAGCACTCCCTCACCCACTATAGTATCTCTAAATAGCGAGGGCGTGTACTCTAAATAGCTGACAGTCTCTAAATACAGATCTGTCTATCTGAAAATAGCGACAAGGCAAGACATCGGCGGCTGGCTACTCGTCCTTTTGTATTGGGTGAGTGAGGGCGGTTGTGGTGCGGGTGTACCTGAGCGGCTGGGGTCGTGTCTGTGGTCGCATGGTCGTGTGGTTGACAACAGCGGCGGCGGTGTGTGTAGATAGTCTGTAGATAGGTACTGGAGAGAGAGACGACGGCGAGGGAGGAAGCACTGTAGAGACGGAGAAGTGAGTGACTGAGGGAGGTGTAAGAATTGCCGTGTACACTTCACATCTCACATCTCACCTCTCCCTCCCATCCTCATCCGATCCCCCCGTCTCTCGCATATCGTCGCATCTCGTATCCATCTCACGATTTCATCCATGTTTGAACCCCCCGTAGCAAGGCCCAAACAGACGCTTACCCGTTTCCCATTCTTCCATCCGTCTTCTCCGTCCGTTCCTTGTGTTTTGGGTGTGTGTGAGATTTTGGGGGGTGGGTGGGCTAAGACGGATGGGGGGTAGAGTGGGAGGGCTAGGTGGGATGGGGGATAGTCCTGGGTGGCTAGGCGGGAGGGGGTGTGTGTACCTGAATTGTGGTGGTGGGTGGGTGTGGGAGGAGCGGGAGGGAGGGATGGGAGGGATGGGACGATGGGGAGATGAGAGAGAGACATGTCATGTTGATAAAGAAGAGAGACACGGGAGGATGCGAGGGGATGGGGGGAGAGACATGTGATGATGATGGGGAGATGAGGAGATGAGGGAGAGTCAGGGGATATATAGGAGAGAGAGACGGCAGATGGGTAGAGGTAGATAGGATAGGAGAGACAGGAGAGACAAGATCGCGGATTAGGAAACTATAGTACGATCGATGATAGAGAGACTATCGACGGATGGGAAGTGGAAAGTAGAGACAGGCCAGGCCATGCGCACAGCACAGCCCATCCATCCATCCATCGTATCCCTCTACCCATTCCAGCAAGACGACCGAGGTGCAATTCCATCCATCCAGCCCATCGCATCGCATCGGCACATACATATCCCCTATTACCTTATAGACACGGGATTATCGTACCATCGCCGCCGTCCACTCGGAGTAAACACGGAGTATTAATTGTGTAGTATAGTAGCAGTAGTGCTATAACACGATGCTGTTATTAATCCACTAGATGCTTATTGTGGGAAGTGATGTAGTACTGTAGTACTGCACAGTGAACTATAGTTGGATATACCTTGGTAGAAAGTGGTCCGTTATGGGTACATTGTGGTCTAGATGGATGGAATACCCACCGTATTTGTTATTACGCTCCACTGGGAGATGGGAGAGATGAGAGAGAGGCGAAAGAGGGTATAACGACCACTATAGACCACTAAGATTACTACGTACGTACAGAGAGTATGGTACTCTCCTATTATTACTATGGTACTCTCTCACCCAAAAGCATCCCCATTCACCCAAAAACCACACCACACGGAACGCGGACACCAGGGTCCGACCGACCGACCGACCGACCGACCGACGCGGAAAGGTACAGCCAGGTAGCCAGGCACAGACAGGCACAGGTCCAGGCACAGACTCTGTTTTATACGGCAGACGGCACAAACCACAGACCACAGACCACCTCACCCACCTCGCTCACACCTCACTCACCCAGCGTACCTAGCTGGCATTTTACACTACACTACACTACACCAAGATCCATCCCCATCGCTCACACGCACACGCACACACACAGACCTTCTCACAGACCCTCTGCTCAGACCTTTTTCCTGTATAAAAAAACGGAGAACGGAGATAAGTAACTCCTCTAGCCTGTGGGATGGTGAATAGTACATCTTCTCCCTATGACGGACGGGTCGGACATCGCGTAGGTATAGGATGCATGTGATATACCCCTTCCTTCTCTCGTGCCTTCTTTTGCAGCTTCTTCTGTGTGTTCTGTGTTTTCCGTCTGTTTTGGCTGGGTAGAATCTGATCTATCTGCGTAAAATGCGTCCACTCACCTATTTTTGGTTCCAATACTGTACGGTATACGGAGGACTTGCTACTTACTTACACTAATATGGATATGCACGGCAAGTACTGTACCTTGCCTTTGCCTTTGCCTTTGCCTTGCCTGCACACCATCCACTCCATCTCTGTCTCTCTGTCTGTCTGTGTCTCTGCCTGCACGTATCTCTACCCGTATCTCTGCCTGCATGGGGCATCGGCTGGGTTGGATGGGATGTACTCAGTTACCTGCTGTCTCGCCTTGTGGACTGCATATTCTCGCGTACCTGGTACTTGCATAGTAGTTGGCTGGGAGGAAAGGTGGTACATGCTCACTGTACCTTCTTCTCTTCTCTTTCCCAACCAACTCTCCCAGCCCAGTCCTCTCCTCTCTTCCCCTGCCTAACTGACCCTCCCATCCACCATACACCCACCACACACATCCACCACACCCACCCACCCATCACCCACCTACCACCACCCACAGTCCCCCTAGCACCCTACCACCACCCCTACCACCTACCACCACACCTGCCTGCCACCTCTCTCTCTCTGCTCTTTCCCTCCCTCTCCCCCCTACTTCCCCTGCCACCTACCATCTACCCACCTACCACCACCCACCACCCACCACCCACCTACCACCTTCACACCCCCCTACCATCTTCCATAAACTCCACCCACACCCTCTTCACCACCACATACCCCCATCCCATCCTAAATCCCCATCATCCACACACACCCCCCCAATCCCTACCACCCACACCCCCCCCCTCCCTCCCACTCCCACCAAACCCAAGCACCCAAGCACTGACACCTCCCTTTAAATCCCCTCCCGCCCCATACCACCCCCATCCTCAAACTCATCTGACGCTTTCTCGTCCTCCCTCATCTTTCCCTTCTCATTTGCATCGCATTCTTTGCATTCTTTTGCACTCCCAGTCTCTCTTTTTCTGCTTCATCTCCCGTTTCCCCCTACAAACACTACACTACCCCACTTCCAAAACGTCGCAGGCGAGCATCTTCATACACCATACATCCATCACAATACTACCATCCGTCAATCGCGAAGCATCCGCGCGTTACATCTCGGGGAGAAAACAGAAACACAACACACTGTCACTGTCACTGTCGCCCTCAGCCGCCATCCATCCCCAACCCAGCCGCGGATCACCCTGACGAAACCGCCCTTCCCCCCCAAGACCCAGCGGGTTTTTTGCACTGTCGCCAGAGTCGAGTTTGAATAACAGCCCCGAGTTGACCTCGTCGCTACTCCTCCGCAACAGCATACGCTTCACACCTCACCGCACCCCGCCGAGCGCGAAACAAGTACAACACACACCCATACCATACACACACACACACATCCGTTTTTTTAATTGCACATCGCTATCGCTATCGAAACTTGAGGCTGGTCCTGAGACTGAGAAGAGCGATTGATTGATCCACCCGCGCGTAAACACGTACCGCACCATACCATCGACACTACAACTGTCCAACACAACACGAACACGATACGACACCGCGCGCGCTTCACACCGTGCCGCGCCGCCGCCTTCCCACGCCGTAGTCGTTTCAATCGCGAACCACCACACCCGACGTCGACGTCGATAACGACCAACCCTCACACACGCGCGCCGTTTTAGGTCGGCGTTTCGAACCGCGCGCATCATGGCGCACATGATGTATCCCCAGCATCATGCGCATGCGTCGATGGCGCCGCCGCAGAAGCCGGAGACGTTCATGTTGAGCAGTGAGGCGCAGCAGAGCCTGCCGCAGGATGCGCAGGTTGCGTTGCAGCAGGTTGATAATCGTGAGTTGACTTCGCGCGGGTGACGATGATGCCGAGGACCCCCGACTAACACACGGTGTAGTCAAATATTTCCTTATTTCGGCGCCGGTTGACTGGACGCCCGATCAGTACATTAGACGCTTTTTATTACCTACCGGCGAATACGTGTCGTGTGTCTTGTGGTAAGTGGCCCATCAAGGCGCTTAAAAGCGAAAAACCAACTAACCCTCCCCGCTAGGAACAACCTCTTCCACATCTCCGGCACCGACATCGTACGATGCCTCTCGTTCCGCTTCCAAGCCTTCGGCCGGCCCGTGAAGAACTCGAAGAAGTTCGAGGAGGGCATCTTCTCCGACCTGCGCAACCTCAAGTCGGGGACCGACGCGTCGCTCGAGGAGCCAAAGAGCGGCTTCCTCGACTTCCTGTACAAGAACAACTGCATCCGCACGCAGAAGAAGCAGAAGGTGTTCTACTGGTACAGCGTGCCGCATGACCGCCTCTTCCTCGACGCGCTCGAGCGCGATCTCAAGCGCGAGAAGATGGGCCAGGAGGCCACGACCATGGCTACCAACGAGCCTGCGCTGTCGTTTGAATTCGACTCCTCGCAGTCGCTGTTCGAGCAGCTCACCAAGGCTCAGCAGGCCAACTCGTCGTCCTTCTCCGCACAACAACAGCAGCAGCAACAGCAGCAGCAACAACAACAACACCAGCCATCCTACTCGCAATCCCAATCCACATCCCCCGTCATGCGCGCCATCGACTCCATGCCCCCACCCCAGATGATCCCGCAGGCAATGCCAATGCAAGACGACATGTCGCAGCACCTTGCCTACGCGCAGATGAACATGCCCACCATGGCGCAGCACGTCGTCAAGCGCGAGCACGACTTCGGGCGCGTACAATACAACCAGAACGGCGTGCCGCTTACCCAGACCCACCAGCGCCACGCCTCCATGCCCGCATACGGGATGGAGTACTCCCCTGCCCCCTCGTTCGTGTCGTCGCACTACGAGGACTACACATCCCGCGGCTTGTCGTTTGAGCCGATCACGCCGCCGCAGGCGTCGGGGATGGGGCCTGAGCCTGCGTATATCGCGAATGAGGATACGGGGTTGTATTCGGCGATTCCGGAGCACATGGTTAATATGCATGGGATGATGTCGATGCCTCCCACGTCGCTCCCTGGGCCGTCGTACACGAGGCCGTATGGCGCGTCGTACTCGGTTATTGAGGGGTCGCCGACTTATAAGCAGAGGAGGAGGCGGTCGTCGATTCCGCCTGGATTGTCGGCACTTCCTACCCCGTCGCAGGGACAGCAGGCCCAGCAGACTACTTCCCACCCTCCTCACAGACCCAGCGATCTCCGTCGCTCGGTATCGCACTCTGTGGACCCGGTGCCAGAGGATGCTGAGCCAAGGTCGCCGAGGTTGAGCTACCCAGCGCACGCCATGTCACACCACCATAAGGACCTCCTTGCGCTCTCGCGCACGGGGACCCCCGATGGCTCCAACAACGGCAGCGTGCACCCCCTCTCCCTCCACCACGACTTCACCACCGATCTCTCCCCCGACTTCGACTCCACCTCCAACGGCGTGGTTGATTCCCGCCGCGGCGGTTCCGTCACAGCCAGCGGTAACAGCGTTGGTGTCAGCGGTGCGGTGCGCAGGGCGCGCAGCGCGACGATGATGGAACTCGGGAGTCCGTATCCGCAGAAGAGCCATTCGTGTCCGATTCCTACTTGTGGGAGGCTGTTTAAGCGGTTAGAGCATCTTAAGAGGCATGTGAGGACGCATACGCAGGAGAGGCCGTATGTTTGTGGGGTTTGTAGGAAGGCGTTTTCGAGGAGTGATAATCTTGCGCAGTGAGTATTCCTTTTCCTCTGGGGGTTGTTGGGATGGTACGAAGGGATTAGTACTGACAGAGAATAGACACAGACGCACCCACGAGCGCGGCGACGGCTCCAGCGACGGAGGCGCCTACGCCTCCCTCTCCGGCGAGGAGGAGGAGGAGGAGGACTACGAGGGCGAGGACGAGCTTTCATCCTTGCAACAACAAGTCTCTGCCAACCTCGATAACATCTCCTCCACCTCGCACCCCTCGCACCCTGGCCACTCGAACTCGCACTCGCATACGAGGCATGCGAGTTTGATGGGCCTTGATGAGGGGGGTGGGCTCGAGATTGTAGGGGAGGAGGGATTGGAGATTGATGAGGGGCAGTTTGAGGGGGGGATGATGGGGAGTGGAGTTGTGGGGATGGGGATTGTGGCGGGGGGAGGGTTGATGTAGATTTTGTTTTTTGATGTGATGTTTTTGATGATTGTTGCCATGTCCCCCCGGTTTGTTGAGGTTGTCCCTGGTTATTGTTGTGGTTGGAGGAAGGAAGTTGTTGTGGCGGATGCATGAATTATTATTTCTTTCTTCTTTTCATGCCATCTTAGCTTTTTTGAGGATCGTTTTTGATCGTTTTTTGTTCACAGATCGAGATCGGAAATCTTGTTTCATTTATTTATGTTTGCGGTTGTCGTCGCTGTTCGTTTTTGTGGTTGTGGTTGTGGTTGTTCTGTTTTTGTAATTCTTTGTTTGGAATGTTGGAGGGGTGGAATGTTGTGGTTTTGACGGAAGGGGAAAGGAGGAAGGAGAAAGGCGGAAAGGAGGGGGGTGAAGAGGAGAAGGTGGAGGAGGGGAATAGATGGGGAGGATTTATCATGAATGTAGAGGGGAGTGGTGTGGAAGAAAAGAAATATGATATGATATGAGGTTTAGAAATTTGTGTCTTTGCGTGTTGTGTTGATGTAGATGTGTGTGTGTGTCTTTGTGGGCGTGTGATGATGATGCTTTGAGTGGAAAGAGATTCGAAAGTGGTGGAAGGCTGAATGGATGGATGGGGGTTTATTCGCATTTCTGTCTATCTATCTACGTTGCTACTCCTCTATTGCGGCGCGGTGTCTAAACAGCAGAATTGGGTGGGCATGAGTGTATCCATCCGCGCGCATCCATCCGTACATGCATCTCCACCACATTTTCACCACCAACCACCAACTAGCAACTATACAAACTACATCTAGCAGCATTTAGCAGCTACAAACCGCATTCACACTGTGGGAGTAGTGATTGCATTTATATCTGCATTTTTTTATATAGCAACAGCAGCGAGATGGCGAAGGGTGGGCGACGGTAGGGAGCATCTGCGCGCGGGGGAACAAACGAGCTCTACAGCAGCTAGGATGGGGGTGGGCAAACTCGGGAGAGGTGGATAGGGGCAGTATAGGGGGGAGGGTGGTGGGAGATGGATAGACGTACATTATCCCCAAAGGACTGACCGTGAGCGGTTGTCATCTGACAGCTGCGCGCACAGTCTTTAAGTGAATGTGCGGCAGGCGGCAAACAGGTGCTAGATTGCTGCTAGGCTACTCGCAATACTAGTAGAGGACCGTGACGCACGGCCCTTTACTGAAAATGCGCAGAACTGTCATTAATAGTTCTGAAATGCGCAGATTCGGTGAAGAGTTGTGCCGACAGCAACAGCAGCAGTGGTAGCAGCAGTGGTAGTAGCGGTGGTGGCAGCAGTGGTGGCAGCCGCCTGTTACCATATTGCCGCCAGGTCACTACTATAGTGAGTGGGTACTGGCGACTATGGCGCACGGTCCTTGACCGAGAATGCGCAAATCTCTTTGGAATTGCACGTAGGTGCGCAAAACCGGCGAAGCGTTGCGCCGGCAGCGGCAGCAGGCGGCCGGCTACTGGCAGATTGCCGCCGGGGTGCACGGCCCTTAGGGGAGAGTGCGCGGAACTGTCGGGGACAGTTCTGAAGTGCGCAGAATCGGTGAGGAGGGGGCGGCAGAGGGAGGGCGGCAATAATACTGCAGTCTGCCGGCAGAATGCCACCACTGGATTACTGACTAGATTACTACTGGCAGTGACTATGGTGCATGGTCTACAAGCGAAAACGCTTAGGATTAACTAAAGCTGTCTAGCTATGTGCGGAACCGGTGAGGATGGGGGTGGCAGTGGTCGTGGCGACTGGGTTGCTGTTATGAGGGGAGGGGAGTGGGGAGGGCGGCTGCAGGTGGACAAACTTAGCGGTAGATGGGGGAAGGGCAGGAGGAGACAGACTAATGAACACGGTAGCACACGTATTCACAGTTATGACTATGAGAAGACTAAGGCACACAGACAGCCCCTCATAGACCTGTTGACCCTCTCCGCCACGTTCTGGAGGAGAAGGATCCTATTCCTCTGCTACACTACCTAAGGGGTGATAAACAAGTTTGCACAATCTAGAGATGGGTTCTTCTTCATTGCCCTTTGTAGGGATATAGAGTTCTTATGACGTCTAAGGAGTCCGTAAATTTTTCTAGAGATTTCTCTGTCGCAGCTTGCAAGCTCTTTTATAACGTGTCTATAGTCTTTCTTCTCTACAGGCTCCTCTACAGGCTTCTCTGTTGCAGCCAACTTACTTCACAAGCTCTGTCTGGTCAAACCTCTTTCCTCCTACAACATTAGTCACACACAGTTTCCACGGCTACCTTTGCACATCTCAAGCACAAGGATCACTGTTTTCTGGTTACTGCTTTCTAGTCACTGTGAGACCGCTACCGTGCGTGAGTGATCACATTTGCGATAGCCGTCTCACACTGACTAGAAAGCAGTAAAATCTTGCGCTACCGTGCGTGAGTGATCACGTTTGCGATAGCGCCAGATTTCACGAAACGGGGTTGAAAATGCGCACAACTGCCCGAAAATGCGGGACATTATGTTTATAGCCTCTCATGTATAAGAAAATGACTACTCTCGGAGGCGAGTGCACGCACGCTCTCTTCTCCATTAGAACTTCCTTCTCTGAACTCAGACTGCTCAGACGCAGGAGCTACAGGTTGCTCAACAGGGCGTTACATATTTTAAGTCTGGATGAGCCACGGTCCTTATGAGGGTAGACCTTAGACACTGGCTTCTACACGTTAGAGAGGGATGGATCACTAATGGGATGTTGAATACCAACAGAGTCTCATCGGTATTCAATATCCCGCTAGTGATCCCTCTGCCTCACACAGTTTAGTTGTTGAAGTGCAGATTTAACACAGTTATATAGGGGAAGTCACATAGGCAGAGCAGTTCTCAGATGCATGCATGAATGAGGTTTGGAGTGACAATGATAGTATTTGTTTATCTATCTTATATCTTGTTTTGTTGTTTTGGTGGTAGGTAAGGTATATATTATATTCCATCGCCGTCTCCTGCCACTCACTCCCTTCTCCTCTCGCTTCTTCCAGCGGATTCATCTTCCTCATTCATCGATATCGTGTTGAATTCCTATCCTCATCCTCATCCTCGTCCCCCATCGTCTTGATCTCCATCATCTATCCATCCCATCGTCGTGCCCACCATCAGTCCCATCCAGTCATCATCATTATACCCCACCCCAACACCCCCCATTCCAAGCGCATAAAAATAATTCAGACAGCCGCCCAAGAACAAATGAAAGAACAAGCAAGCAAAAACAAAAGTAAAACAAATAAAAAACGAAAGAGAGAACCCAATCGAACTGCCAAATCGCACTCCTCTCAAATCAAGATTGTCGTGTTGAAGCCCGGCGGAGGAAGTATAAGGCCATCCCATCTCCATCCCATTGCATGAAGCAATCAAAAGGAAAGCCAACAAACAAATGAAGCAACGAAAGGAGCATAGCATAGCAAGCACATGGTATCATCCCGCCCCACAAGCAAACCACCACCCACTCCAAGCCGGCAAACCAGGTCCAAAAAAAAACCATAGCAAACCAAAGCAAGCGCAAACGCCTGTTAATCAAATGGCTTTAATCAATCAGATGACTTCCCATCCCCCATCGAAGCTACCCCTCGCACCATTCACATCCTCGTATGCCGGTGCCATTGGTGGAGGCAGGAATACCGCGCCTTGTCCCTGTTGTTGGGGCGGCGATGAGGTAGCGGTAGGCATACCAAACGACCCCTGCTGAGGTGGCGAGGAGGTGGACATCCCGAAGGGGTAGTGCTGCATTGGTCCCGATGCCGCGGCTGGGGGAGTGGGCCATGGAGAGCCGCCTGTGTAGATGTTGATTTCCTGTGCGGGCCAGGCGCGGGTTGGGTAGGACGGTGGTTGTTGCGGGTGTGGGTTGTGGGTGAGGCCGTTGTGGTGGTGGATTGGGTAAGGGGCGTCTGCGTAGTCGTCACCGGTGGTGGTGTCGGGGGTGGTGGGAATGTAGGTGGAGCGGAGGGGGAGGCGGGGTGGGTAGTAGTCTTGCATTTCCGCTGCAGCGGTAGAGGAGATTGGGTGCGATGGGGAGAGCGAGGACGATGGGGTGGGGAGGAATGGTGAGATGGTGTGGGCTTCGCGGTGCTGTGGGGATGGGTCAGAGTCCTCGTCATCATCGTCGTCGTCTGTGGTTCCGGCGCCATCGTTGACGGAGACTGTTGCGGAGCCATCGAGCTCGCCGCGGCGGTAGCGTTCTTCATTGTAGAGGACGCGGAAAAGCTGGGTGAGGAAGCCGCGCTTCTCGGCGTTCTTGGGCTTCTCGCGGTCGGCGAACCAGGTGGCCATGGCTTCGCGGGTGACTTCTTCAAGCTTTGCGACGGTGACGCCGCGTAGGCGGGCCTGGCTCTTGGAATCTTGGTTTACGACGAGGCCGAGGATGTGCATGAGAAGGATGATTCGCTCTAGATATTATATCAGTTTGAGTCCATTTCAAATCCGAGAAGGGGTAACATACCGCGCTTGTGCAAGTGATCTGGCTCCTTATGCCTAATCTTGTTTGGTCCCGTCATTGCGGGCCACCACGGAGGCCTCTTCGATGCACCCTTCGTGTATGGGTACGTAGACTGCTTCTTTGGCTCTAGGAGCTTGACCCATGCCTTGCCCAGGACCTTGCACCCATTCTGCTGCATATCCTTGAGGCACTGGCGGTAGACATCATCGCGGGCGGCGTCGTCGCCGATGGAGATTGTGCGGGTGGGAAGGGTAGGGATGGCGCGGTCGCGGGAGCGAGTACCAGTAGCACGGAGGCGCTTGCGAGACCCGGGGCTCATGGAGGAGTCGGATGAATCATCATCGTAGGCGTTGTGGGAGCGGGGAGGGGTGCGCTTGCGGTACGAGGAGCCACCAAATTCTCTGACGTTGTAGCGGGCGGTGCGGTAATCGACTTCTACGCATGCCATCTGTGCATCACATTCACGCTTGAAAATGGAATCTCCGATCTCTGGATCTGGGGCGCTAAGTTAGTGTTGATAGTGAAGTTGGGTGGATGGGACGTACACAATGGCGCGTGGCCTGAAGCAACGAGGAACTCGTTTTTGAAGGCAGGTGTGAAGAGGTATTTGGGATCCGTCTTCACCTCGTCGGACATGAAAGTAGCGATTGATCCGTCTGGACGGATCACAGCGAGGGCATAGGCGGTGGATTCGATACCGCAGTACTCATTCAGTGCGGTATTGATGGGCTGTAGCACGTTAGACTTGGTCCATTGTCTAGTTAGACGTCCGTGATGCTTACCATATTCCTCGGTGGCTGCTCGGCCACAGTGCGCGTTTCTTCAAAGTAATTGCCCATTGTGCTGGACTGGATTTCGGGTTTCCGCTCGGTCTCACTCGACCAGTTCACACGATCGAAGCTTGGAACGGTGACCATTTCGTCGTCGTCTCAAAGTCAGCAGCGCGGGCTGAGAGACGATGCGAAGGAGAGAGAAGGATGCGGGGTCGCTGGGGCTCGCCGTGCCTAATAGCTGACCTGGTGGTTGCTGTTCTCGGCGGGGTGCCTGCACGCAGTGTGCAGATAAGGCGGAGAGTGTGTGGTGCAGGTTGGAAGGCAGCGAATCATGCACTGGTAAGGCGGAGCTCGAGCTGTGCACTGCATGGTGATGTTAGTATTTGGACGATGCTGGTGTGATTTCGATGTTGCACAGCGTTGTGCTTGGGGCCACGGCGGCTGCCGCGGGTTTAGTTTGGAGGGGTAGGTAGGGATCCGTACAGTATAGCGAGGTGATGAGGAATCTCAACCGGTCTCCCGTCGTCTTTTAGAGTTGAGCACGAGGCTGGATGAAGTCGGTGGTTTGATGGGAGCGAATCTGACGGAATGTTAGAAACGGTATGCCGGGAGATGAGAATGCCGGCCCAGCCAGCCTTGGGCCTCAACAACTTACTTGCAAAAGCAAGGCTGCGAATAGCAGTGATGAGCGAAGTAGCGAGGATGATTGTATTTCGCTCGAAGAACCCTTGCACTGATCTTTGTGTGTTTTCGTATATATCTGTCGTGTCTGCCTTATAAACGTATCTTCCGTAATTATAGATGCCTGTCTGTTGTCGAACAATAAAAGAGTAAAGCCACCGTTGTATAATATAGTAAAGTATAAACCGAGAAATCTTCGTTGCCTGTTTCTCACATTCATTCATCCTCCCCAACGAGGAAGGAGGAGGACCTATATATAAAAAACCTGTACTATCCCAGACCCCCCCTCCCCCTACCCTACCCCCAGTCGTCACCATCCCTCCTAGATCTAATCCACCCCCTAAGACTCGCCCGCCGCGCCAATGCTAGTAACAAACAAGGACATGCAGTCGTGAGCGCGAAGAGTATAGACGCGGGTACCGGTCTCAGATCAAAAAGAGAGAGGGCGCCACCCTTGGTAAAGAGAGTGGGTCGTCCGAGGGGGGGATCGGGATGTACCCCGAGAGACGTGCGCAGGGGTGAGCGAAGGGGGAGAGGGGAGGAGGAGTGATAACCAAAGTAGCATCGTGCTTTCAGGACTGGGCTGCGTATGTATGCAGCGTATGTATGCACTCTAATGGTAGTTTCCTCCGGGGGGAGGCGTTCGAACTAGTGTACTCTGTTTGTAGAGCTGTGGGCGAGGACGGAAGGGGTAAGGGGGGAGCGGGATGGGAGGGGCGAAGTGGTGGGGGGGCTGTAGTGGGGGGAGGGTAGGGATGGATGTTGGGGCAAGGGCGATCGGCCGCGATTAGCGGCGATGTAAGATGTACTTTCTCTGTTTCTGTGGCAGGAGCCAGAATACGAGTTTCGATATTGACAACTATCGGTCGACGGTCTTGGACCTTGGCTCGATCGATAGGCCGCCCGCCGGGTAGGCGCGTAGGCGTCGGGTTTAGGCTTAATCGATTCTCAGATTTTGCGTAAGATATCCAGAAAGAAGGTTTGTCTGGTTGCTGGGTCAGTGTATCTGTTCAGTACGTACGGAACGGCGCTGTTTCTGGAATGGGGAATCGATGATGAATGAAGGTCCCGTGAGTTACATCGTCACTCTGCTATGACGACGGTGTGACTGCCTACGGATCTGGACTTCGATATGGACTTCGAGTACGCCTTACAAAGCATGTCACAGTGATCGCGCTCCAGACCAACCTAGACATTCTCATTCTAAGGCCCATGGCCCAAACAGAACCAGCAACCAACAACAAGAAGCACCACCACCACTCCCCCCCAGTCCAGCCCGGCTTGTTCTGGGACCAGCGCCCGAGGAATGCACCTCGAGTACTATGTACAGGGCTCCAGGCGTCGAGCGGCCAGCGACAGACCGGGGGCCTGAAGCGGTGTTTGCAGCGGGCAGGGAGGCGGGGACCGCGGACTCGGGAGCGGCGATGTGACGTTGGCGTAGGCATGCGATGGATGGTGGCAGGCGGTCCTGCGTTGGCGTGCTAAGGGGATGTAAAGGCATGAGAGGTGCTGATGGACGGGGTATTCATTGCGAGAGGGGAGGGCACATGGTGGCGATGGATGGTGATATCGCCATCCGTTGGGGGGGATAAAACACGCGATATGGGGGTGTTTGTCATTGAGGGGTCTATAGGCTGTGCTGAGGGTAGCTACAGCGGGAGGGTAAAGACATTCAAAATGAATGCGCGACGGACTGGGCCTTCTTGCACCCGATGATGTCGAGTAGTTCCCAATCAATGTCAATACAGCAACCCCCGTCAGGGGGAGAGGTAAGGTTCACACGCACAATACGCTATACAGGCAAGGAAAGGGGGAGCTGAATGCTGTTTGCATGCTCGCCGAAACCCCCTCCAGCTCCCTGCAATCTCACATTGTCCACGGCTGGGGCTGAATGAAAGGATAGGTGCAGGATCGCCCCGCGTATGCCATCTCCCCGTCACGGTTTCCGTTCCCTGTGTGCCCTCCGCTGATCAAGCCTTCGAGTGGGCAGTGCGTGGAGCCGGCGATAGCGCACCCATACCTATATCACGACCCAGTTATACTGTGCGACGCGCCCGAACCGAACCTGGACAGGGAGGTTCTTACAGGGAGATTCTACATGGAACCCATTTCTCGGTCGAGAAGCGGTGATGGACGATGGGCTTGAGAAACACCTGGGATACTCTCTCTTGCCCGCTCCCGGAAATGTGGTTAACGCATAAACGAGGTGCGAGGACGAGGATTGAGTGGTTCTCATGCGCGAATACTGCCCGAATAGTGAGCGACAGGGAGGGATGCGCTGGATGGGGATGAGTTTCTAAGAGCCACGGCAAAGATGTACAGTACGTACAGGAAGTCGATAATTGTTTTAGGCATTGCTATGCATATACTAGGACACCGCAAACACGATGCCGTCGGGACTGGCATTATGCATTGCGATGTGCTAGATTGAGTCTCGACACTCGATACTCGAAACCCCGCGCGAACTCCACATACCCAAAACAGGGCAGATACAGATAGAGTGCTGTTTCTTCAGCATGTCTACATTATTGCCTACTATATGTCTATAGCATGCCGTCGGCGAGTCGTGTTCCCTGGAGCGCAAAGACAGCCGATCGCCGCGGGACCCTCTCCGATGCTCAGTCATGACAGTGCAGTTCCTCTGTACCCTCCAGCGCAGAGTCCAGCCCAGTCGCCGGTGAGACATCGCCTCTCTAGCCTACCATCCACCACACACAGGCAAAAGAAAGTGCCCATCTCAGTGATGTACATCACTAGCATCACGCACATCAAGTAGTGGACGACACTGCACGTCGCCAGTCTTGTAACGCAAAGTCCCACAGTCTCACCTCACTGCATAAGCCCCCCAATCCACTCATTCACTGCCCTCGTCGCTGGCTCCAGCGCGCCCACTTACCGGCTCCATGGTCCACGTTGTGCTTGCATGCCCCACGGACGAGTGAGCGGCCAGTCTGTGTGTGCATCCTGTGCATCCCCATGTTGGCTGCAGCTGGATTGACGCCACACGATCGCATTCGCTGTGTGGCGCGTTGACGGCCGACCGTCTAGCCAGTGCCGAGGAGGCCTGCGACGACGTCAAATGCAGCGCGGCGCATCTGTGGCTGTTTGTGTGTGTGTTCGAGAATGAGGATTGGGGGATTCGCGCCAATCACGCGCGGAGGCGGACGCGGGGGAGGGAAGGGATGAGGAGGACGAAGGAAAGGACGAAGAAGGAATACTGTTCTGTTCTACTATTGTTTCCTGTACGACGTTGGAGCCACGCTCGGCCGGCGTGGCTTTATGGCCGCCGCGGTCGTAGACGGGAAGTTCTGCTCTAGAAGGCTATGAGGCTTGAATTGGGAGTGGTAACTGTACGAAGAGAGGCATCTCCTCCGACCCGTCCTCAGCCAATATTTCCATTGTTTCGCAGTTGCGATCCTTACCAATACCCTCCTGATACCGCCATTTCAATACTGTATGTACTGTCCCTCACCTTGCTCTCCTCTCGCAAACTAACGGACCAAACAGAACACCGTGCACCGTTCACCACCGTCCACTAACCGTGCACCGTTCACTAACCTCCCTCCACCAACAAGCCACAGTCCCCCCACACACGCCACATCCCGAAACGATCCAGACAGCTCCCTCTCCACATCCCGCTACCCCCCTACCCCAGCTACAAATAATCCCCACATTCACTGAAATAACATGCCAAGGCGCTACCGCGGATGCAGGCAGCCTTTCCCCGTACAAGGGTGTGAGTGAGTATGTTTGATGCATTGGAGATCACCCGGGGCCCGGCAGGGCATCCGTGGTGTCATCTAGACTCATGCTGCACTGTGTTGCGTGGGTAGTACAGGAAATCGCTGAGGGAGTTTGGGATTTGGGAAAAGGACGGGGGGTGGGAGGAGGATGTGCCGGGGAGGATGTGCCGGGGAGGATGTGCCGGGGAGGATGCGACGGGGGGAGCTGGATGGGAAGGATGGGAATGGGCAGGGAGACGGATACGCCTGTTTGGGGAAGTGTTTGCGAGCTGGGACGACGGGCGAGACGGATTGTTGGAATCCTGTATACGTTCTCTGGCAACATACAGTATATGAGTGCGTCGTCCCTGATTCCTGGAGAGGGAGATGCGTTCATAGGAGCGCGGTTATCTGGTTCTGTCTAGGTACAACAGGACGTTACTGTGCTATGCTATCCAACTCTAGAGATTCTCGCCGAGTTAAAGCGCGCTGTAGCGCTACCGAACCCAAAACGCAGGAGATCTTCGTGTCCTTGCGCGCATCCCCCTCTCCCTCCTAGACTATGCCCGATCTCCCGCAAAGTAGCGAATCTACGATTGACTACAGTGGTGCGGAAATATGGTAATCTAGTAAGGCTGTAGAGTGGTAACCATCCTCCTTGGCCAGGCTGTGTCGAGCCACACTCCAAACACCCTGATCCCTCCAATCCCTCTCCCCCTTCAAACTCCCCCTCCACTACCTTTCAAACCCCGCACCTCCCCCCCTTCCTTCCCCTCTCCATCTGGTTCCAACACGACCCCCTCCACACCACAAACACACCTAACGACACCCGGCCACAAAGCGGGCGGCACGATCAACCACCCACCCTCATCAGCTGAGCGATCGCAAAACTCAAAACCCGCCCGATCGGTTCGGCTCGATATGCTAGCCCGTTCCGTGCCCATCCCCGCTGTGCCCTCGCCAATGCCGTGCCGTGGAGTGCGAGCGCGAGATATAGCAAGCCAGTGCCGCTGTTGGACATGGCGAGTGCCGTCGAAGGCTGGCCAGTCAACGCATAGCAAGAGATGGGATGAGATGTAGATGGGGGCAGGATCTGGGTTTGGGTTTTGCCAATCATGTGTGGTGCCGTTCTGGTCTATGATGTTGGTGGAGGTATGGGCTGCTCGAGACAGGACTAAACGGATGAGGCTAGCATCGCTCGTCGCTCATACAATGCCCGAGGAGTTGTCTGACGCGGGGAGATGGGGGGTAGCCTCGCGGGGGGACGGTGACGCGGAGATTAGGATGACGGTGGCTTACATTCCTTATCAGGGCGCGTTTGGCGAGGAGGCGGCTGAGGCGGTTGGGGTGGTGCTGTTTTGTGGGTGTTGTGATGCTGAAGTGGCAGAGGCGCGATGTAACTGTAAGTTACGCAGTGTGATGTGATATGGTTCTCTGTGTGGCGAGTGATTCGAGTAAGCAAGTATTACTTCACACACCACAGCATAGTTCTCACTCACTCACTCGCTGCATCTGTGAAGAAAGTACTACTCCATGCACCCCTGATCGCTCCAGGGAGGAGAGGGCGTCCTGGGGGCTGGGGGGAGATCCGCCAAAGTCCCCGATGTTTGCTTCATGTCTCTCCCTCCCTCCCCCCTGCTGCCGTCGCGGATGCATACATAAGTACTTTTATGTCCACATATCCTATGCAGGGCCGCCGCGGCACTTGCACAGCACAGCCCTTATGCAGAACTGAGTGCCCGTACAGTGCCGTATAGTGCCGTGTGCACAGCTCGGTTCAGTGTGCTTACCAAAGCACCCGTATAGTATAGCTGCATTTCCTATCGTTCCATCAAGCCTAATAGGGACACAGGTCAATAGATCCAACCAACCGGTCACCCCAATCGAGCGCGCTGCAGAGCTGGCTTAATACAGCCGCAACGACGAGCGCTGAATGGTGCGATTTCCTGCAGCTAAGCACGGCGTGCCATGGCTTTGGGATGTTGAGAGACGGTCAGAGAGAGACTGAGAGCAGCGAACAGCAAGCCCAATTGTGAGTCCCGTGCTCAGAAACGTATGCGAGCAACATCAGGACGGTGATGTTGGTTAGGCGATACGACGTCGGGTCCGAAAGGGCTCACAAGGGGATTGGAGGGAGGGGACGGTGGGATATGATGGGATGAGACAGCCGATCAAACCAGTGCCGAGAGCGAGGTGGGTGTACACAGCATTCTGCCGTGTGGTTTTATGTCCTAGACAGGACTCGGTCGCCATTCAAGACGTTTAAGACAGCGACGACGGCGGCGGCGACGGTTGAAGCCCGATTGGCGAGCCCACTATGTTTCTCCCCCGCCGCCCTAGGACGAGTAATGTCGACGCTGCCGCAGTGGTTTGCGTACCCTATCTCCATCCCATCTTTTGCACAGCCGTGTCTCATCCCAATCAATGTCTCAATCCCCCGCAAACCAAAACGGGAATAGAAACAAAGAAGGGAGAAACCCGGTATCTGAGACATCGCGCCAACGCCTTTCCTTTACAATACTGGCTCGAGCCCGATACGGAAGGGGCCAGGCGTGGTCGATTTGGGCGAAGGCCACGGGACAATAGGAGGCTTGACGTCAACTAGCGACCTCCTTACATGGCGCTTGCAGGAGAACGGGTATGTATTGATGGGCAAGCTGACTGAATGCGGACCTAATGCGGACCAGTTCGATCTGCGGCGCGATGGTCAGCTACAGCGCTGAACTATTGAAGGAGCTTATGCTCTATTTCCTTGCCTTGGCCCGCCTTGTCTCGCCCTGCCTTGATTGCAAGAGGCAAGGAGCTGGTTAGGGCAAGATAGTGTAAGTAGGCTGAAGTGGAGATCGCTGTAGGAACCCGCTGGTGCATCCCCGACGGTCATCTCCGCTTTCACGCAGCCACCTACAAGTAGCCCAGCTGCCCTCTCAGTCCTTGCCTACGTGCCGCGCCACGACCTTGCCTTGCTTCACCACCACTGTAGACGCTCCAACTGCAGCGTATGCCAGATACGGCAGATATGGCAGAGGCGATGCGCATGCCGCAGCCTTGCGCGCGCTGAGCTCTCCTTGCAGCGGCGATCAACCTTTTCTTAGCTAGTTCGCACAGTGCCGTTCGTGACCGCCGATACAAATACCGCCACATGCCGCAGAATAAATGAAAACGGCAAGAGTCGGACAGGGAAGTGGCAGGCCTCGACCACGGCTCTGGGTCGAGGGTGAAAGCGATATTCGCTCTGTCTTACGCTGTATTGAATTGAAAGTTGGCTTGACAGCGGTGTGCATGTGGCGCATAAGCGTGTATGTATGTACGAACGTAGACAGTGCCGTGCCACAGACAGCGCATCCAACTCCTCGAGGATTAGAACCGGTGGGGAAAGCATGTTGGATGTTCCTGCCGTTGGTGCTATCGTAGTCGTTGTCGTCGTCGCCGATGTTGACCGTCCCCGGATCCATTTTAGTACACCATCATCCCCATCAAGCCTATCCCACTCCTCTGCATCCTCAATATTTCCCCGGTATTGCCGTATCCCTCCCTTATCCTAGCTCCTCCCAACTCGCTATAAAGTACTACAAATATCCTAGCGCATCCAAGCAATGCCTAAATCTCCAGATCGAGCACCAAGCATCCCCCGCCCAAGCTAGTACTCGGTCGCTAGTCCCGATGTCAATTCCTCGCTGACAGACTAGGCACGCAAATCCGGTAGCGTACCGGTAGCGTATCGGGAAGTGGATGAGTGGTGGGTCGCGCACTGCACGAACAGCGCGCATCCCTCACCGGCATGCTTGTCCCGGCGAGTGCCCGGCGAGCCGTAATCCGCGGGCGAGACCAAGGCCGATGAGATGGGGGTGATGTAAGGTCTCGGCGCGGCGGGAGGTGGGCGGCAAGCGCAAGAGCCTCCGTGCTTCCGCGAGAGTCAGGAGAGGGGGACTATTGATGTGCGCTGCTAGGGCGAGTCAGTAGTGTTCATGTCTCTGAGCTTGACAGGCTACCTGGCCTTCCGACTCCCTACTGTCTGAGTCCCCATTCTAGTATCCCAGCTGGACTCCCACCAGTTTGCCTATCCATTCCAGCGACTGTGTCTCCAGTGCCAAATGCAGGCTCACCCCACCATCCACTTGCGCCATTGAACGGAACCAGACCTACCCGCAGACACTAATCTGATCTTTCTCAGACTGCTTGCTGCATGATCTCCAATGTCTCTCGCGAACCTGATTTTTCCCAAGCCTCTTGCATGATCTCCATGTCGTCCACAACCTGATTTCATCTAGGCCTCTTGCGTTATCTCCATGTCTCTCACCAACCTGATTTCCCCCAAACCTCCTGCATGATTTTCATGCCTCTCACTTACCAACCTGCTCCCCCCCCCCAAGCCTCCTGCATGATCTCCAGTCTCTTACCAACCTGCTCTCGCCCAGAGCGACTTGCTGATCTCCCCCAGGCCACTTACATGATCTCCAAGCCTCTCACAACCTGATCTCGCAAGCGACATGCTTAATCTCCCCCAGTCCACCTGCATGATCTCCATGCCTCGCCTCGCCTCCCCTCGCACCACACCTGATCTCCCCCAGGAATCCCGCATCATCTCCTCCCTCCCCCCCTTCCCCCTCGCATGATGCGCGCAAGGTTGCCGGCATCTCCATCCCCTTTCAATAGTCTGCCCACGGCACTCCCTCCACACGTGCATGCCTCGCTGCACTCGCCATCGCATCGGGCCTCTCAGTCACCGAAGCGGCGGCGTGCAGGACGTAAGGGGGTGGTGGGACGTTGGATCGGAGAGTGCAGGGGGGGTGGAGATCGGGGTTTCTATTTGGGTCCTGAGGGTGCGTGATCGGGTTGGGGGTTAAGCGCTTTTTGGTGTATGGGGTGGTGGTGTGGTTGGGTGGTGGAGGGGATGGGGGGAAGTAAGGGGGCGGGGGGAGGGAGGTATGTTATGGGGAGGGAGATGGGAGTGGTGGGAATTGCGTGTCGCGGCAGGATTGTCTCGGGCTCGTGCGAGCTGATGCTGCTGGATGCGATGGAGTGTCATGGGATGGTTGGGTGATGGTGTTTATATTTTCTTCTGTGCGTTTTTATCTTCTGCATTTTATGATTTCCAGAGTTAGAGATCGGTATTAGAGGCACTGTTCGACGCGGTATGGCATCTTAGGCTCGTGCGATCCGGCCCGATGCTGTTGGAAGCGATGGAGTATTACGAGATGGTTGGGTATTGTTGATATTTCTTCGATGCGTTTTTATCTTCTGCATTTCTTATATCCAAATATGTTGGTGGGAATGGTAATTCTCCTCGATCTCTCGATCCAAGGTATGCCGCCGATGTCTTCGTACGAGCTGATGCTGTTGGGAATCACAAAGCGCAACGAGATGGTTGGTTATTCTTTCTATTCCTTCCCTACTTTTTATCTCCTGCATTTCTGATATCCAATTTCTCGTATTATTTACACACGCTCCCGCCCTGTCCTCTTCTCCCGCCCCCACGCCGAATCGGCGATCAATGCAAGATATTCTCTCCTATCTTCTAATTCCCCGAATATTTCTCCTGTACTACACTAGCACTACACACCCCTCACTTCCTCGCCGCCCCCTCCGCAGTCTCCAGTAGCCCCGCCTCGCGTACAAGCTCGTAGAACAGCCCCTTTTGCTCAATCAGCTTAGCAGGCTCGTCGAACTCGCGTACCCTTCCCCCTTCCAGCACAACAATACGGTCCGAGTCAAGGATAGTGTTGATGCGATGCGCGATTGTGATGATGGTGCGGCTGCTGAACTCGGTCGTTCGCAGCGTCGCCTGTAGCAGCGCATCGGTCTCGACATCGACAGCGGCCGTCGCCTCGTCCAGCACAAGGATGTTAGTCGGCGTTAGCAGCGCGCGCGCCAGCGAGATGAGTTGTCGCTGTCCTTGCGAGAGGTTCGATCCTGAATTCCGCGTTAGCTGGGTGGTCGCACAGGATTGTTTGGGTGGGAGGGGGGGTGGCGGGTGTGCCGCGGCGCTGCCGCGGACAGCATGTGAAGTGCGGTATTTGACGGCCGCGTGCATTCACTGACTGGGAAGGATGGGATGGGGACGGGGACGGGAGGAATGGGGGGGGTGGTTAAACATACCTCCTTCGTGGATCTTGGCTTCAAGGCCGCCAGTCATGGTGGCGACATGGTCCTTTAGTCGCGCATGGTCTGTCTTACCGTCAGCAAGTGTTACGTACGATACATACCCCTCTCTTGTGCGACCTGTGCGACGCCGGATCGTCCGACGAGAAACGGGCGTCTCGTCGGCTCACGGGGCCGCGCGGGGAGCACCAAAACGGGGAGCGGCAGGATGTGACTTACCCAATACGCTCCATAACTCAGTGTCGTCGTGCACGCCGCCAGGATCAAGGTTGTCGCGAACAGAGCCCTCGAATAGCGCTGCGTCCTGTGGGATGATAGCCAAACGCCTTCGCAGGTCCAGTAGTCCAAGTTGCGAGGTGTCCAGGTCGTCAATGTTGATATTTCCTTCTGCCGCCTCAATAATGCGGAAGAGCGCAAGGGTGAGACTGGACTTTCCAGCACCCGTGCGTCCGACAACACCAATCTTCTCGTGCGGCTTGATATTCAAGGTCACATTCTTGAGCACAAGGTCCAAGCCCTCGCGGTACCTCGTGCTGTAGTTGTCGAACTCGACGGCACCCTGAGCGGGCCAGCTGATCGGCACCCGCTTCTTGTGGAAGACCTCTGGTGCTTCGCTCGGCAGGTTCGCGTACTCGAGCACGCGTTCCACAGACACGATGTTCGTCTCAACCTCGACTGTCTGACGCACGATCCAGTTGAGCGACTGTGTGATCTGGAGCGCGTACGACATGGCCAGTCCTACGAGACCTGCATCTGGTCCGTCTCCAGATGACACAGCAATGATCGCGAAAGTCGCGGCACCGAGGATGATAAGGGAGCCGAGGAATTCAAGGCGGACGGCCAACCATCTGTTTGCGTTGATGGAGGGGAAGTAAGCCCTGAGGTTGGCATCCACGCGCCACTCGTTCTCCATAGTGAAGCGCTCTTGCTGACCATACGCTCTGATAGTTGAAATACCTCCGAGGGACTCCTGGAAGTGGGCATAGATGGGACTCTTACTGGTGCTGTCGAGACGCTTAAGTTCTCTCGATGTGCGCAGGTAGTATCGCTGCACCCACATGTACACGGCACCAAGCGGGATGATGACTGCAATGAAAGCGGGGGTGGCTGCTGAGATAACTACAAGTGTGAATATGGCACGAGCAGCATTTACGAACAACATGTTGAACGTCCGCGCCAACACCTCATCGACACGGTAGATGTCACTAGAGAAGCGGTTCAGAATTCTACCAGCGGGGGTCGTATCAAAGAAGCTCATGGGCGACCGGAAGATGGCATGAGCCATTCTCTCGTGTAGTTTTCTCGAAGCCTGTAAAAATATGATGTTAGCTCTATACTCTTGTAGTTCGGATGTCATCAATCGTGACCAGTCCCTTCACATACCTCAATAGAACAGAAAATCCACAAGATCAAAGTCTGCACCACAACCAGCAACGCCGACCCAATACCAAACGAGAAATAGACACCCAAATACATCCCCGTATCTCTATTCTCCGCATTCTTGCTGTTATAATCTGCCCAGTTCTTAAGCCACACATTAGCCGCAACCTGCGCCGTCTGCGCACCAACCAAGGTGATCAGGTAGATGGCGACGGCAACGAGGTTGGCTGTCTTCGCGTACTCCTTATAGACGTTCCACTTCACCTTACCCTGCTCCGCAAACTCCTTCGTCTGCCTCGTGCGGGTGGTAGGCTCTTCCTCGTCGCGGATCTTGCCTCTGGTGTCTCTCATAGTTGCCGCACTCGCGCGACGCAGTGTGCCGTCGCTGCCAGCGCGTCTTTTAACCTTCGATGGCGACGAGCGGATCGGTTGGAGAGTAGTAAGGCGTTCTTGGGCTTCCTCGGCGGCATCTTGGTCCTCATCGTTTGTGGTTCGGTCCACGACCGTGGAGGATTCGCTGGTGCTGTCATAGCTGGATTCGACTTCGTTTGCTGCCTGTGTGCTGACGCTCTTGATCAGGTTGGCGATATCTCCCTTCATAGCGATGAGTTGCGAGTAAGTTCCGCGCTCGATGATGCTACCGTCTCTGATCAGGGCGATGAAATCGGCCTCCATCAACACGGGAATCGAGTTCGTGGCGAGGATACGGGTCTTTCCGGCAAGTAGTCCAGTGGCGCCAAACACCTGGTCGATGATATGGCGACCGACGTGCTGATCAACGGCTGAGAGGCAGTCATCAAGGAGGTAAACATCCGCGCGTGCATAGACAGCTCTTGCGAGAGTAAGACGGGCCTTCTGGCCACCACTCAGGGAAATACCACGTTCGCCGACTTCGGTGTTGTCTCCATCGGGGAGCTGTGCGAAATCTTCCAAAAGCGCACATGCCTTGACCGTCCTATCGTAGAAAGCTGGGTCCCATCGGTGACCGAAAACAATATTATCCTTTACAGTCGCATTCATAACCCAAGGTTGTTGGGCAACATATGCAATCGAACCATGAACAGTAACTTCACCACCGACCTTATACAAGTCTCCGAGGATACTCTGGAGGAAGGACGATTTGCCAGATCCGACTCTGCCGACAATGCAGCTGAGCTCGCCCTTGCAGGCGCTGAAGGTGATGTTTTGGAGGGCAGTCTTTCCCTCATGGCGATCCCACGAGAAGGTACCATCGCGGATACGGATTGTCTCCTCGCCGAGCTCTTCGACGGCAGGTAGCGCAAGGACGGCGCTTTCCTGGAGCTCCTCGGCAGTGAAGAATGACGTCAGACGTCCAACTGCGACAGAGGCTTCGATGATAGATGTGATAACCATTGGCAGGATAGCCAATGGGAATGTGAGCAGGTTGAACAGAGTCAGAGCTGGGAAGACAATATCGATCGTCAATGGCTTATCCTGGGTGAGAACGAAGACTGCAAAAGTCGAGCAGGACACGAGGAAAGGAGTTGTCGACCAGGTGAAGTTGGCAAAGGCCTGGGCAGCACCAATCTTGCGGAGTGTCTTCAATTCCTGCTCGTTTCTGACGTAGTTCAGCTTGTTCATGAACGCGGATCCCCAGGCGTAAAGCTTAATGCTCTTCATGTTGTTGACGATCTCAGCGATCAAGCGCGTTCTCGAATCCTTGTTCTTCATCTGCTTCTTCTGTAGGGTCTTCATGAGACGGGCGAGGAAACCATTGATAGGAATCATGAAGATCATGGCGGCTACACCGGCGAACATAGAGAATCCAACGAGTTGGTAGAGAGAGATCATGCAGAGCGTAATCTGGTATGGTGCGGACCACAGCTGCTGACCGTATTGGGTCAAATCTTGTAATCTCTGCGTATCAACAGCCATGTAGTTGACAATATCTCCAGTAGATTTGCTTGCGCGCCCCTCGTTGGATAGCTTGAGAGACTTGCCGTAAATCTTCGCAGTCAAGGCGGTCTTAATACGCATTCCCGTCTCAAAAGATCGCTGGAAATATTGGTGAAGAGCTAAGGTTTGTCCGATAGACACGGCGAACATGCCCAAGGCAATAGCAACACCCTTGATAACTGGCTGGGGGGTGGAGGTCTTGTAGGACCCAACATAGACGATCAGGAGACGCAGTAGCTGAGGCTGAACGAAAGCCAGCGAATCGCTTACAATCTTGAAGATAGAGCCACGGAAATAGGGTCCGCTGAAGCTGTGGAACATTGCCATCCACAGGGACGGATTCTTCCTGTGCTTCAACTCGTAGTTCCAAGACTTTTCGAAAGAGCTTCCGGTCGATTTTGTAGTATCTCTCTTGGCCAAGTTCCAGAGGTCGTCCTCGGTCAAATACTCCTTGTATCCGTATCTCATCAACGGCGTCATCCAGCCGAAAGTAAGGATCGAGAAAACCGTCGCGTATTCCACCGGACACTCATCCTCATCGCCCAGAGCATCATAAGAGCTCATGCGTTTCTGCACCAACCACTCCAGCGCAAACTCAACAATCGAGAGTCCCAATCCCACACAGTACGTAACGAAGTATGGCAAAGATTTGCTGTAAATCTGCTGCGAAACCAGCGACCGGAGCTTGACGCTAAACGCGATGATGAGGAGAAGCCAGTAGAAAAGGACGACGCCGTTCGGGTTGCGAAGTCGAGTATGCTCGAGCCATTGGATCTGGAATATAACGCCGAGAGATATGATTGTGAGTACGCTGGTCCAGAAGCGGAAGTCGCCGGCCCAGACGTCTCGATAGCTTATGACTTGGATGATTAATTGAGCGAGTACCGTGGCCGCGATCGCAATAATAAGGACCTATTATTGCAGAACCGTCAGCAAGAAGCTCAATACTCATATATCATATACGAGGCTCCAGGTCCAATTGGTGACTCCCCAGTCCCCCAACCGCCTCCAGAATTGCCGTGCGGGCCCAAATCACAATCCAACATACCTGCTTTGTCCAAAAGTGCAAATCCCTCTTAACATCCTGTTCCCTCTTCCTCGACAAATACCATATCGCCGCCGCACCAAACAGTATACCATACACCGCCACCGACGAGACCCAAACATCCATAAAGCACGGCGTGAAGTCATATCGGAACGGGCTCAACGGCCCCCAGCCCTCCTCATTCCCACATAACGGCTGAAGTCTCTCCTTCGTCGCAGTCAGATATCCCTTCCCGAGCGCGCCGATCTCGTTGTGTAAGCCCGAGAAGGAGCCAGACGCCAGGATGCGCTGGGTCGTCGGCGAGTCGGAGCCCAGCATTGCGGAACCAGACCAGCTTCTCGCTTCTTGGTCGTACAAAGAAGCAACTGTTCGCCTGTCTGTCGTGTGAAGCCGCGAAGGGGGAGTGTGTTTATAGGTTCATGTCGTTGGGGGGAGGGAGAAAAATAAGACGTCAGGGAATAGGCAGGCAAGGTAGCTTGGTAAGCCGGGGCGCGGACGTGGTGGAGAAGAAGAAGCTTGGGGACTTTTGGGATTGGGGCTAGTGGAGTGAGGGAAGTCGTGGGTGGTGATTGGGTGGGGGTATGCAGGCGCCACGCGGTGGGGTGGGGAAGGGTTTGTAAGAGGAATGCGATGGACGTCGAGATGTTCCGTCTCATGCATTTTACTGCATTTACTTGAGACCAGAGATACAATTTGTCTTACAGGTTTAAATCGTAAATAAATTAAATTAAAAAGTTGTATGGCGGAATAATTTTTGTATTTAATCTGGTGATAATTGGTCCTTGGTTGAATATTATGGGTGGTTACCGCATTGTCACTATAATAAATTGTAGGGAATTTAGTTATGAAGTCATCAAATATTTTTTATGAGAACAACAACTGCCGCCATTCTCTAGTACCGTACGCAACGACCGCGGTACATAGGTTATATCAAGTGCTTTAGCAATATGGCCATAGAAAGGTCTCTGTCGTCTAAAGTTCTCGCGTCCAAACGTCAGAACCAGATAGCCATCCCTTCCCTAACCTGATAATCCGCAGAAACCCCCTACAGCTACAGCGACCCCCGATCCACTGCAGAAAAACCAATCCCCGACGTCAAACACACAAGGATTTAGTAAGAATGTAAAGAATAATTTAAAAAGAGTAGCACAGTAACAGACACGCCTAAAATGAGATTCGAAAAAGGTTCGGATCCCCCTCTCCCAGAATCAGGGTATCATCATCCTTTTCAGAGCCCCCGAGGGTTGAGTTGAACATTGCATCGTGAAGTCTTGACCAAGCCGCCCATTTTGGAGGATGTCGTGATACGTTTAACTCTCGGCAGCGTCTTCCTTCTTCGGGGCTAAGCCTGCACTTTGGCACGTCTTCTTCCAGGTCTCCACCTCGCGCCATGCCCTCTCGCACTCTGCCTTCAGCTTGTCGTTACTTGCGCTGAGCTCGGCGATGGCCTGCTCGGTCAGGAGTTTCTCCAAAGTCCACTTCTCGATGTTTTGGTCTTCGTTCTCCTTGAGCTGAGTAATGAACGATACTGCGCGTTGCAGGATCGAGCCCTTGTTCTTTTCGCATCCGGGCACAATCTTTGCTAACTCGTTGATACCCTCATTAATGGTCTCACGCCTACGGCGCTCAACTGTGTTATTGTCAGCTAGTTGTTCCGACTATCCTTGAATGAATAACTTACCCTCTTTATGGTTATCTTTCCTGACCTTGTGCCACTCTTCCGAACCAACAGCAGGCTTTGATCCGCTCCCTTGCCTGCCAGTACCAGCAGTGGAGTTGTCCATATAGCTTTCATTTTGCTGGCTGGTATCCATAAATGAATCCTGGTTCGCGTCGCCTTCCGAGCCTTGGGTTTGGAATTGGACACCAGTTGGCTGCGGGATAGTCATAGTTGGGTAGATGCCGAGTGCTGCCGCAGCAGTGGATGTGGCGTTGGCATGCTCAGAGCTACCGTTCTGGTTCTCGAGACTTTGGTCTTGCAGATTACTGTATTCCTGTAACGACTCGACGCCAGCATTTCCTTCGTGCTGGGCGTCTAGAAAGGCATTGGCGGACTGGTCAGAGCCATCGTTCTTCTGAGCATTCTGAAATGAGCGCTTGGAACCGGGACGCCTCGAGGCATCAGCTGACCCGTCCTGGTCGGTCACATCGCGCTTCCGCTTCTGATTCGTAGAGCCAAGGAGATCGTCTCCTCCCGAGTTGTTTCGCACAGCATTGGCTACCTCTTGCAATCCCGAGTGATCGAAATCCGCCTGGTCGGCCATCTCAATTGACATTTGGCGGCTAGTGACGCTTCTACGCGTTATGATTCGTGTGAATGGAAGGTGTGGGGGCGTTGGACGTTGTATGTATGTATGTCTGAACCCTCGGCGTAAGTTAGTAAATGCTGAAATTAAGTATGCGTGTGCATGTGCAGCAGCAGGGCTGCATGTGCATCTGACTTTGGCTAGGAGGTGGTGACGTGTCTGACATCTGCGTTACAAAGGAAATCTTGTGGAAAGAGAGAAGGATGCGTGCTTCCACTGGGACGATGCGGAAGGTAAAATACCCGGCAACGATTTTGCTCAGGTCCTTCAACGGGGAAAACGCCTTCTCTTCTTTTACAGGATGGCAGCAATGAGGACCGCACGTGTCAATGCATAGTGTAGTTCCACAAGGGAACACAAATCAGAGCTATGACAGATGGCTCTGGCGCTGTACATCGTCTTGATCTCGGTGCCACTCTCGTCCCCTTTTGTAGACGTCCCCCTGGAACGAGAGCTGAGCTAGACAAGCAATTGATTCCAAGCAAACACAAGAAAACAATTGTTTGACCAGCCTCGCAATAAATAAATGCGGAAAACCGACCACTCGTCAGGTTACGCTGGGCCTGAGAGTCACCAGGACGCGCGCGCGACAGCGACCAAACGATACAAGCACGGGAAGTGTAACTGGAAAAGGAAGGAAGGAAGCAGGCAAGCAAGTAACACAAGATCTAGTCCAATCAATCCTTGAATATGACAGGGCGATGTGGTGTCGTGTATATAAACACACGCACACACGCGTCCGGATTGGAGAAGATAATAATAAAGCGCGCGGTAGAAGTCGCGATAGACAACGGACGGCGCAGAGTGAGGGAGTGATCGAGAATTGAAGTATCGCAAAGTAAGTATATTGATATATTGCACATACCTGATTCTGATTGATAATATCACCTGATCTGATCGCTTGTTGAGTTTCTGACAGTTGGGGGGGACCTGGACCACGTCCTTCTCGGTAATAGGACTAACGGTAATCACGTTGTTTGTCGCGTGAAGAAAGGGCGAAAGAGAGGAGCAAAAAGAATTTGAAAATCAAGAATATATAATTCTTAATCGGGCAATAAGGTGGTTTAAGAAGAAGAAGATAGGATTTGGACCAGTTGAAGTGTTATAACGAGAATCTTTGAATTGGATGGGCCTACGCCGTGTTCTCGTGATGTGGGTGAAGGAGGAGGAATCCAAAAGGTTGCACGTGTCGGCGGGTCACCTGCCTTTAAAGAGGGAATGTCGAGAATCTCGCTAGCTCGTGATCGTTGACGCTAGACGATGATTGGTGCACATGACGAAGCCAGAAGTTCGACCCGAAATCGCGATGGGGGGCAGAATGGATGTGATTGGTTGGGATAAGCGGGCGGTGAACAGGGTCGACACCCTCACTTACTTTACAGAGGACCTTCACCCAAGGGAAGAGAGAAAGAGGCTGGTAGCCATAGGCTGGTGAGTGGCCAAGTCTGAGAAAGGCTGGCAACCAAAACATGATGGAGGTGGGATGAGATGGGGCAGAATGTGTATTTACAGTCTACCGTAGTCAATAGTCGATAGTTCAATATACCATACAAAAGTGCCTCATAAGTATCTCTACACGTGAATTGAGCTGTAATCTACAAGACGTTACCCCTCTTCCAAGTATCCAACGCGTGATCACGTTAGCCTCTCTATGCCACACACAAAAATCACTGGTATCCTATTACAGGCCGGGCAAATATGCTCCCAAGGTTCAAGGAAGCAAGTACGTGAGACATCGTTATCGCTGTTTCGCTGTGTAGAAGCGCCGATGAAGGAGTTCTGTTGACTTCTTGCCCGCGGAGGGAGGGGGATAGCGGCTGGGTACGAGTACGGTACGGCGAGTATGGCGAGTATGGCAAGTACGGTGCCGTACAGTACAGTCCAGTCATCCTTCGGCTCGGAGCTTCACAGTCCCGCGATGCGATACGGCAACGATAACGCTGCACAGGGATTAGAGGCGGCCACCAGGGCTACAGATGGCTTCGAAGTGACTTCACTGCTGTCTGACAAGCACAACCAGCAGCGCAGCAATGGCGGACCACACAGCTTCGAAGCTCAATCCAGATACCCATCTGATCCTGGTACATATAAACACACCCTCAAATTGCTAAGGTAGAAAGCTAATGACGAGAAAAGGACCAGCAGCTATTACGTCTTCCCTATGAGTTGCTGAGGAAGAATTTCAAGGTTGCCCAGCTCTCGGTGGAAAGAGACAGCACTGCCGTCAAACAGAGCCTCAAAGATACTGCACAGGCATGTCTCAACAACTCGTCGACCCCGGACGAGGTTCTCAAGAACCTCGACTCCATGATAGCTCGTATGCGAGGTCTGAAACGGAAATTGGCGGCGTGTGCGGAGGAAGAGAAGAGACTGCAGAGCCATTCTCAGGCCCGGGTAAGGCACCTTGGAGAACTGTATTCTATGCAGAGCCTGGACGACGTCAAATATGAAGCATGGAGTCGGACACGACTTGACCGCCTACTTGTAGACTACATGCTACGGAATGGTTACGTCCAGAGTGCTACGGCGTTAGCGCAGGAAAAACAGATCGAAGAGCTTGTGGATACTGGGACGTTTATGCAGATGGGCAAGATCAGAGACAGTTTGCGGAATGGAAGGGTTAATGAGGTTCTGGCTTGGTGCACGGAGAACAAGAAGGAGCTGCGTCGTATGGGTGTGAGTACAAAAAAGCATGACATAACGTCGACATATACTAACAGATTACAGAGCAAACTCGAGTTCATGGTTCGCTTTCAGCAGTATATTGAGTTGGTGAGGACACGGGATCAGGCAAAGCTACAGGATGCTATTGTTCATGCCAAGAAATATCTTCTTCCCTCCAAGGATCTCTATCCTTCGGAAGTAAAGCAGGCCGCAGGGTTGTTGGCATTCCCACCCGAAGCCGGGTTGGCGATATACACCGTAAGCATCCCCATTACCTTCTTACCTTCCTTCACTAACCCCCAACACAGAATCTGTATGCGGCACACCGTTGGGAGGATCTTGCTAAGCTATTCATGGAAACTCACAACACCCTCTTATCTATCCCAGCCGTCCCACTGCTCCATATTGCGCTTTCAGCAGGCTTGTCAGCGCTCAAAACCCCTTCTTGCCACTCATCACACTTGTCTTCATCAGCATCCCCATCATCTTCGTCTTCTATCACAAGCTCTGTCTGTCCAATATGCAGCACAGAGCTGAACGCACTGGCCCGAAATGTTCCATACGCAAATCACACCAGCAGTCGTGTCGATCCTGACGCTGTATTACTTCCCAACTCACGAGTATACGGGAGAGCGAAACTCGAAGACTATAGTCGGAAAGCTGGGCTTGACAAGGGGTTTGTAAAGGATTTAACTACGGGGATGGTGTTCGAGATAGCAAACGCTAAGAAAGTGTATATATCTTAGGTGAGGAGCCTAAGGGTGTTGGGAGGAGTATAGGAAAGACTGTATAGCGAGGATTTTTGTATGGTATCAATTATGAGCGTTTTCACACTGAAGTAAGATCTTGAACCAATTCGAAGGGTTACTGCCATTCAATTCTATCCAGAATGGGACGGGATGGCCAACAGCATTTGTATGATGGACCCATCCCCCGACCAATACCCCAACGTGTACCAGACCAGATATCAATGCACATTCCAGTCAGTAGTTCGTTTGTAGTTCGTAATCGGCTCTCCGGAGATGTCAACAACGTCACAGAAACAGCACACAGTTTCGTCAATTGGTGTTTTTATGCCATCTCCAATCTCTATGTCTGACCCAGGTCGCCTATATGTACAATGACCCTCCAACAACAACCCGCTCAATGATGTCCCTCCCCATGTCCAGCCTCGTGGTGATGGTCGTCCTGTAAGAAGAAGTGCTCGTACGCGCAGTATGCCGTGAATGCCACCGTCGCGATGCCCAATCCGGGGAAGCTGCCTCTGAATCGCTTAAGCCTGGTGAAAGGGCCGTTGTATCTCCATGCCTCTCTGAATCGTAGTCAGCAATCCATTCCCAGGTAATTGATACGTGGTTCCTTGGCTTACCTGCGTGCCCATGGGTCTCCCCTCCTGTCTCCAGCTGCGGCCGCGAAGGCCTTTGGGTCGAAGCCCGTGAGGTTGGGCCGCGCTGCCCTTCGAACACTGCGACGCCAATTGTTAAATCCATCCCTCATAAATAGCGGTAGTAATCATCCATACCTTGTAGGATACATTGCGAAAGCTGTAATGGCCCGGATTCGCTATGATTGCATGACAGTACTGCGATATGGACGGCAATCCTGACATTGCCGCCAAAACCAGTTAAATAAGCGAGCGCGGCTATCGCTGGTTCGCGCTCCACGCTTCACCGTAGGCCCAACCTCAAGCTTCCAACTAGAAACCCCAAGCTTTTCTTCTCCTCAACCACACTACGAATCAATCTCGAATATCGCGCCCCAGCAAACTTCTCCGAGCTCCACGTCGCGTAACACAACAATCCCATTCGGCATTCCCAGGTTGCGCCTAACGCTCCGCCCATGAACGCCGTCCGGATCTCGCGACTCTCCTCCTCGATCCAAAGTTCACACCGACGAGATGGGCCCACCGATGCAGCGATTCGGCGGTGGCCCTAACAGCATGGCGCACTACCAGCAGTACCCGCCTCACTCGCAGGGCCACGCGACGGGGCTTCCGCCGCCGACGCTGGGCGGGAACCCAGCCTTCATGAACCCTAATAGCAATATCAACCCGTTCGCGGTGAATGGGAATGCCCTCAGTCTGACGCAGGGATTTGGCGGTGCGGGTGGTGGGATGGGAGGCGGGGGTGGGACGGGGCTGGCGAGCCATGCGGCGCAGATTTCGTTCGCGCATGGGGCGGCGCTGCAGCAGTCGGCTCATGGGGGGATTAATGAGCAGGGGGGGAGGGGGGTGGTGAATAAGGGCAGGATACGGGAGGTTTGGAAGCATAATTTGGCGGAGGAGATGGATACGTTGAGGAGGCTTGTGGATAGGTATCCGTATATATCTATGGTTAGTTTCGTCGGGGACGGAGGTGTGTGGATGTGGTTGCTAACGTGGAACAGGATACGGAGTTTCCAGGAGTAGTGGCGCGACCGATGGGCTCGTTTAGGGGGAAGAGCGACTACCATTACCAAACACTGAGGACCAATGTCGACCTCCTCAAGCTCATACAACTAGGCATCACCCTGTTCACCGAAGACGGCGACACGACACCCGCACGACCCCAGTCCTCGGACTCTGGGATAGACATGAGCCTGCCCGGCTCGCGGAAATATGGTACCGGCGCGGCGACGCTGCCGTGTACATGGCAATTCAACTTCCGCTTCTCTCTCAAAGACGACATGTACTCTCAAGGCTCGATCGACTCCCTCCAACAAGCCGGGATCGACTTCCCCGCCCTCGAGCGCGACGGCATCGACCCCTTCGACTTCGGCGCTCTCCTCATCAGCTCGGGCATGGTGTGCGACGAGGACGTGAAATGGATCTCCTTCCACGGCGGCTACGACTTCGGGTACCTCACCAAGCTGATGATCTGCCAGCCGCTCCTGGACGACGAAGTCGAGTTCGAGATCCTGATGAAGAAGTTCTTCCCCTCCATCTACGACGTAAAGTACCTCGTCAAACAATCCATCGCCCAGCACGCCAGCGGCCAAGTCACCCCCGCCGACGCCTCAACCCTCGAGGTCCTGCAGAAATTCGAAACAAAACCCTCCCTCGAAGTCCTCGCGGAAGCCCTAAAAGTCAAGCGCCAAGGTCCCGCGCACCAAGGCGGCTCAGACGCCCTGCTCACGGGCAAGGTGTTCTTCCAAGTTCGGGACCGTCTCTGGAACGGCGAGATCCCGGATGAGCATCTCAGCAAGGTGTGGGGGCTGGGGAACCCGGATGCGGGCGCGCAGGCGTATAATGCGAATGCGGCGGAGGCGGGGCAGAATGGGACGTACGCGGATGGGGTGCCGAGCACGCCGAATAATACGCATGCGAATATGGTGACGACTCCTGCGCCGGCGACGAGCGCGTCGACGGGGGCGGGGTCGATGACTCCCGGTGGGGGTGGGGGGGTGTTTGGGGCGTTTCAGTTTGGGAAGTAGAGGGATGGCGCAAGTGGGGGGAGAGAGGGATTAGGATTAGAGATATGTTGGGCACATAAAACGGCTGAGCTTATTCTTTTTTTTTTGCGGCATTTGACTGGACGTCTGGTGGGGGGATGGGGGCAGGTAGTGGGGGGTTTTGTTCGTTGTATGGAATGTATGGGGAGATGGAGTTTGTGTGCGCGCTCTTGGGGACGCGGGTAGGGGGGCTTGTCTTTGTATGAGGAGCTGGGCGGGGCGTTTTGAGGGATGGTTTTTATAATTTTTTCTCGAATGGAATGGGGATCGCGTTTTTGATAGGGTGCGACTGTAGTATAGTATGGGATGGTAGAGGCGGTGTCTGGATGGAGGGCAATCCGATCTTACTTTCGACTACTTGAATTGTGCCTGTTGATGGTTACGTAGGAATCGACGAGAGCCATGTTGTAACTCCATTACTCATTACACATACTTTGTAGCTCCCGAAAGTTTATGCAATGGCCATGTATAACATATAATGTTTACAGAAACTATAATTAAAATACATGGGACTATTCACCAGGTCAGTCTCGCCCTGAAAAGGTCGTATTTTGAGTGTAAGGTGTACACACGCGCGATAATCGAGGGATATCAGAATCTCGGCATTGAACAAGCTATGACGTAGCCCTCGCACTCGCAAGGTACACCTCAGTCTCTGTTCCAACATTATTCAGCATCTTGATAAAAGCGTGCCCCAAAACTCATCTCTATCTTATTATAGGACATAACAAAATAACTACTGTATATAACAGGGTTGTCTACCCTCGGCTCCAATTGCGTGCTGCATGTATTAGCCAGTAGAGCAGCTAAGCTCCGATCAATGATGCCACCCCGCATGCATGACCTAAGCTGCTTCGACAAGTGATAAATAAGCCTGTGAGACAATGACGATCGATCCCTCGATTTAACTACTACATCTCTTCATCTCACCTCCTTCACCCATTAACCATTAACCCATTCCCACCATCAAACCCACAACATCCAACCCCTCGAACTCAACAACCCAATCCAAACCCACCCCACCAACCACCACAATGCCACCACACATCCTCCTCCTCGGCGCCCACGGCAAAATCGCCCTCCAACTCCTCCCCCTCCTCCTCACTCGCTCCTGGTCCGTAACGGCTCTAATCCGCGACCCCTCCCAAACCGCCGCCATCCTCGCCACTAAACCCCCCAGCGCGACCGGCACATTGGACGTCCTCGTCGACTCCCTCGACGCCATCCGCACCACCGCAGACGCCACGCGGGTCCTCGACAAATCGCGCGCTGACTGGGTCGTCTGGGCCGCCGGTGCGGGGGGGAAGGGAGGCGCGGATAGGACGAATGCCGTGGATCGGGATGCGGCGATTGCGTTTGCAAGGGCGGCGGCGGGGGAGGGGAGGGTGAAGAAGTTTCTGCTTATTTCGGCGTTGAGCGTGAGGAGGCATGCGGCGCCGTGGTGGAGTAAGGAGGCTGCGGAGAAGGTGAAGAAGGCGGCGGATTCGTTGGCGGTTTATTCGGCTGCTAAGTTGGAGGCGGATGAGGTGTTGACTGTTGTTGGCGAGGAGAGGAGGAGGGAGGATAAGGGGTTTAGTTATATTATTTTGAGGCCGGGGACGTTGACGGATGGGGAGGCGACGGGGAGGGTGGAGTTTGGGAGGACGGAGGGGCCGGGGAAGGTGGCTAGGGGGGATGTGGCGGCGGTTGCGGCGGAGGTGTTGGGGAGGGAGGGGGCGAATGGATGGTACGATCTGTTGGGGGGGGAGGGGAAGGTGGAGGAGGAGGTGGAGAGGGTGGTGAGGGAGGGGGTGGATGCGAGGGAGGGGGAGAGTGTTGAGGAGATGAAGGGGGCGCTGGAGAGGGCGATTGCGAGGGAGGAGGTGAAAGCCTGAATTGGGGGGGGGGGGGGGTGGGGAGCGGGGGGGGGGGGGTGG